ACGSCRWYSACCKMGATCTACACGCTGAAGAGGACGAAGAGGATGCAGACTCCGGTATCGACGAAGACCATCTGCTATCCTACCGACTTGGCCAGGTACATGTTTCCTCTGGCCTCAAACGCACATCCCCCTCACATGAAGGCGGTTTCAAAAGCATTAGTCAGAGTCTGCCGCAAGAGATTGACTGGGCCCTCTTTGAGCTTCTACCGCCTCGCATTCACCACTTCAACGTCGTCAAAGGAGGCTCTCGATACTGTACCACTGATCGCCCGATCTCAATCCGGAGCAGCGACAACTTGGCGTGCGCCAAAGTTCATTGTCTAGGAAGGACTAGTGGCCTCAAAACGGGTGTTGTCTCTAGCACGATGGAGCTTGTGAAGATACATGGACGACACACGTTCTCGGCCAGTTGGACGATTGCTGGTGACTTTGGCATTGGAGGCGATTCAGGGGCATGGGTTATCAGCAACGAAGATGGCGGTGTATGTGGCCATGTTCTCGCTTCTCGGAAAGGCCGAACCTATATATGCCCTATGGATCTTTTGCTCGAAGATATCAGGGACACATTGGGTGCGACAGAGGTAGCTTTGCCTGTTGGTGCGGCATCGAAGACGAATTCCAGTGGCAAGAAGAGCGGAGAATTGAGCGATGCCATCACGAGGATGTTTTTGTCAGAGCGTGAGGGAGGAGTGCCACTGCCAAGCTCAGGGCGTCGTTCAGWTGTGAACTATGCTGTGGTTGAAACTGTTGGGTAGTAGGCTTGCTTGTGTTGCGGTGGCCTCTTTGCCTGACTCGGGGAGAACTTCGAGGGGCTGAGAGATCTTACGCGCAGACGGATGAAAGGGTGACGATTTAGAACATTCACCGATCGCGAAAATCTATGACACACGACGCTGCAAGGTTCGTATCGCAGTGTTGTTGAAGACTAGCAAAAACCATCAAGTCGTGATATGCCAAGCACATTACCAGGCCGTAATATCCTCCACCTCAGCTTCCCCAAAGGTAGAAGCCTTCGCCTCCTTTGCCTCTTCCTGCTTTGGTGGCCAGTTCACGGGCTCACGCGCCATGATATTGGCAAGCTCCTTGTTCATAAAGTCACGCAGGAAAGTGTTGACCTGTCTGAACTCCAACAGGAATGCGTCATGTCCATCTGGACTATCAATCGTCTGCAGAGTCGCATTGGGGATCGCAGCCGCGAGCTCTTGCTGCTCAGCATACGTGAAAAGTCCATCGGACTGGATGCCCAATACGAGAGTTGGCTGCTCGATCATGGCGAGTGCGGCCCGTACTTCCTCTGGAGTCGGAGCACCAGTTGTATCGGTACGACCTCTGGCCACATCGTGCGTGTCCAGCTTACGGGTGATTGCAATGTAGCAATTCGCATCGAAACGTTTGATGAACTTCTCGCCCTGATAGCGAAGATAGGATTGCGCAGAGTAGTAAGTTGACACTTTCTTGCGGTTGGGTTGGGCTTGGACTGGAAGCTCTGCGGCACCGGAGAACTGTGGATCTTTCACTGACAACCCTGGCGAAAATTCGCTCGAGTTTGTAGTGCGTCTGGGCGAGCCAGCGTTCTTGTGGCCTTCGTTGTGAATGGCAAAGTGCTCGCTTTCGGGTGTCTGTGGTCTCTGTGGCCCGTTGATGTTCTGTTTGGAAGATTTTGGATCTTCGTGCTTGCGGCCAAATCTCGATTCGAATGAATCTCTGCTGCGGTAGGTGAGGAGAGCAGACATGCGAGCCGCACCTAAGCCGGCCGCTGGTGGATCCTCGAAAGTGTAGTATCCATCGTCGTACTTTGGATCGCAGTAGATGCTTTGACGCTGAGCCTCTCCCCAGCTGATTCCCCACGCACTGTATCTCGCAGATGTGGCCATTGGTACAATGGTCCGCACGTAGTCCTTGCCAAAGTAGGCAAACTCCAGGACCAGCATGCCACCCATCGACCCTCCAATCACCACCGCCACCTGCTTCACTCCAAGCTCATCCAACAGCACTTTGAATAGGTTGACATCATCTCGGATTGTCGTCAAGGGAAAGTCTGGCCCATAATTTCCATTCTCCGGGTTGCCGTCCTTGGCGGTGACGGGGCTGGCACTCCCATACGGACTGCCTGGGCTATTCATGCAAATCACGTAGAAGCGTGAAATGTCGAATGCTCTTGCCTCCTTGCCATTTCCCGCCGGCCCACCCAACAGCGGACCCCACCAATCCTGCACATCTGCACTCCCGGTCAAGGCGTGGCAGATGACCATGGCGTTGTCACACTCGGGCGAGAGCGACCCGTATGTTTTGTACGCCAGCGGCACATTGCGAAGGGTGGTGCCGGATTCGAGGGTATATTCGGGGATAATGGCAATGTCTTGATTCGGAATCAGGTGGACATATGGGTTCTCGCGCTGATCTTCTGGCTTGATCCGCTCTGGGTGATGTAGTTAGCTTATGATATTGCCAGCCATTTACAGGAGCACGATGCRCGTACTGAACGGGGTTCTGTTGCTGGTGGTGTGAACCAATCCTGCATGATCATTAGCTGGAGCTGCCATGATGTTTGAAGCTTCACTGACCATGAGGGGCGGTCATCTTCTGGCGGGCAGACGTTGTAGCATCAGCGGAGATCTGATGTCAAAAGTTTGTGGCGAGAAGGAGAGCTTTGGATGTTTGTGACCGTAACTATGACTGTGTGAGCGAATGCAAGTGAAGCTATTCGTTCAGCCGAAAACTTTATGAATGGCATCATACCGCGATCGGAGCCGCGTTTCGCGATGCACACGTGAGTACAACACGCGAAGTACATGCACGTGTGTACAAGGGTATACGACTTGTGTGGGTGACTGAAAGCGTGACGGCAATTGCTTGAAGAAGTGTAAGAGACGGTCTGCGAGTTGAAGCTGGTGAAATAGTATAACAGCTAACAGCTATACATATGGTGATTCCACAACCACAACATGAATCTCACCGCCATAACTTCGTACTGCAGCTCCCTTCTWCCCCATTGTGATGAAGCATACTGTAGCCACATAGTCCTGAGCCGGCCCTATCGCCGCTCGATGCAGCTGGCACTCGTTTCTCAGCATCTGAATGGTGTTACGAGTGCGGCAAATGGTAATGGCGTATCTGTGGGTCAAGCTCCTGTGGGTCAAGCTCCTTGACACGTTCTCACCACTTCCCACCCTTGCCTTTCTTCTTCTTGTTCGCCCCGCCACCGCCGGTAGCCTGTTTCTGCTTGAGAACCTCAGCACCTGGTGTCGCAGGTCTACTGCTTTCACTGTCATTTCCAACAGCCCCTTGACTGAACATCGCCTGGCGAGCCTTGCCCTTCTTGCCTTTTGGTCTGTAGGTACTGCGATCCTTGAGGGGTAGCCACCGCTCAGGATCTGCCTTCTTGCTCGGATCGTAGTCCTTTGRTAGTCGGCCTTTGCGCATCTTGTTTGGCTTCTTCGGCTTAGCATCGTCTGCAGGTCTCTTTCGGGACGCAGAAACTCCAGTGTTTGGTGGTTGCGCAATACCAGCACTTTCCAACGCATCGATATCGATACCACTGACCAAACGATCGATTGATGTTAGTGTGGAGAGTTGCTCTCTTGTGGCCTTCTGAGGGGCAGATGCGAGGAGACCCGCTGCTGCATAACGATCGCTCGGGTCTTGAGAAGACAGCCCGGCGAAGATTTCCTGGGCAAGCTGCAGGTGTGCTTCGTCCTGCGATTCCAGTAGCGCACTGCCTGCAGCTTTGATCAAGTGCGTGAAGCCCGCAGGTTTGGTGCTCGAAGATTTCTGCCAGTGCGACGCTGCTTTGACGAAATCTGCTCGTATGCGCTCTTTCTGACCTTGGTCATCATACAGACTAACCACAGCCCCGACGACGCCGGGCGAGAAACGCACATCCTTCTCAGCGGCTTCAAGACGAGGAAGAAAGTCCTCTGCAAGGCCGATGGCTGAGCTGGCGTTGCCAGTTAATACGTACAGCTGCACGATTGTTAAGAACAATCCAACATCGGTAGGTCGTCTTTGTAGTATGGGAAGAATGTGCTTCAATGCCTCCTTTCCTGTGCTGTTCTTCGCATGTGCCGCAGCGTTTACGACGGAGAGCGAGTTTAAATATGCATCAGTCGTTGACGAGGACTGTTCCGCTAGGATGTCCCCGGTTGATGCCGCGGTTCCGCTGAATTTGAGAGCTGAGAGATCCGAAGCATATCCGTTCCGTCTCAGAATGGAAGCCTGGTACTCAAAAGGATAGTTGGGCCTGAGGGAGTCTAGGTCTGTGGATACCAGCCTTTGCGTTAAGAAGGGATTTGTAGATGACGAGGCCGCAGCGTCGTTGATTTGGGCAATATGCCGTGTGCTCGCATCCGGAACACTGGTAACATCCAATCCTCGTGCCAGGCTCGCCGCTTCTTCAGATCTTCCCTGCCTGGAGAGGACGTATATCTGCTGCATAGTAATTGGCAGCAGCTCCGCTTCCTTCTCCTCCTCGGTCATGTCCTCCACGGCGTTGCATAAGTCCTTCGCCCGCTTGAGAAGCACCTCTCCCTGCCCAAGCTCACCTCGTGCAATACTCCCACAAGCTGCATTGTATGCCGTCTCAAAAGCTTCCAGATCTTCCCTTGCCGGCTTTTTCGTCTGCACCAAGTCGCCATTTCCTGACCATTCCAGCTGTGCATCCACCGCCCCCGAATTGACCCTCAAGTCTGCCTCCGCATCTTCTTCCAAGTCAGAGGCCAATTGTCGGTAAAGATCCGCCGCACGAGCGAATTCCTCATTCCTGTACCTTGCTTGTGCCTCTAGATGCTGCAGTCCTCTATGTGAGCTCTTTTGCGCCAGTTCCGCGGCCGCGGCGGGCTTTCCAGTCTTGTACAGCGCATATGCGTGCTCCAGCGTAGCCCGCTGCTTCAGCTTCTCGCCACCATTGTCTAGGGCGTGTAGAGCATCATCGTATCGGTCCAGCTTCAGCAAAGCGACAACTTTGACGTGCAGGGCCTCGACATCGCCCTGGTTCTGCTTCAAGGCCACATTTGCTGCTTTGAGCACTTCCTCGTCGTCCTCGATATGTGTCTTTTTCAATAAAGCAGCGAGCGTCGACATTGTTGAAGGAGCCGAGGACGGCAGTGGCTCATCAGATCTGGTCGCGTGTCGTTGGAGAAGTAGTGTGTGAGCATTTGTTGGATACATACATCGAAATTCGGAGCCCATCGTATTCGACCCCACCTCTCCACCTTCCATTGCGTGCGATCTTCCAGCATCGTCCTGACWTCAACAATCACACAACCAGTTGACACAAGATGGCAGACGTACTGCCATCACCTCCCTTTGTGGAAGTCCCTGGCATCTATAACTTCAGAGACATCGGCCATGGTCAGGAGGTCCGCTCGGGCCTGGTCTTTCGATCTGCAGATCCCTCCAAAGCCACCGAGGCTGGTCTCCAGAAGATGAGCCAGGACTTAGGTAAGGTCAGTCTCGACAACATCTCACGCACTATGCGCCGTCACTGAYAACTCCCACAGGATTGAAAGTGGTATTTGACCTGCGCTCAGCTCAAGAAATCGCCCGTGATGGCCCTGAATGGGCGGGCGTCGAAGTAGACAAGACCCAGCCGTTCGAGGGAGTAGGCATCAAAAGAGAGTGGGTTCCTGTGTTCGCGACTCAGGACTATGGCCCAGAGGCGGTGGCGATACGCTATCAATATTATACCTCCGGCAAGGAGGGCTTTGTCAAAGCATACCATGACATCCTGAAAGCTGCGCCAACAGCATATTCGACGATCTTCAGGCATCTCGCCCAGCCTAATCCAAGTCCCTGTCTGGTCCATTGTACAGCGGGCAAAGATCGGACCGGTGTGCTGGTGGCGTTGCTGTACTTACTGGCGGGCGTGGACAAGGACAGCATCGCAGAGGAGTACTCTTTGACGGATCAAGGATTAGCTCCTTTGAAACCACTCTTCATAGAGCGTCTTCTGCAAAACCCTGCGCTCAAAGGCAACAAGGAAGGAGTAATGACAATGGTCAGCTGCAAAAAGGACAACATGGTTGCTACACTTGAGATGATAGAGAGGGATTTTGAGAGCCCGGAAGCGTACATGAAGAAGCAGTGCGGCATGAGCGATCAGGAGATTGAGCAGTTGAAGAGCAATCTTAGACAGGGCTAGATATATGATGGAGCATATGTACAGATACGTGTACATGTAGTTGTACTTCTCGACTCATTCACATTACGTCATGCATAGATTATCCTCCATACGAGAGAGACTACATGTCGGCGCAATGATGCGAAAACGCCGAAAGAATGATGGCGGTGTCRCTATCTGTGTTCCACATCCTCGCCGTGTATTGCCAGCCGATGGTGTGGAGGCTGCCATGTCCATGTCCATCAATGTCTCTCGCCCCGCCAACTCTATATATCCCGCGTCATTCACTTCACCTCCACTTGCTTCCATCCACGGGGTCGCTAAATCAGCATCATCAGACCCGTGTGACGGAATTCCATTCAAATGTCCGGTGATACAGAGGGACGTCTCCATGCCCTACCAGAAACCAAGACTACGATAGTCACACCCGACCGCAAACGCGGCAATGCCTACCAGAAATCCTGGGCCGTAGCACAAGCCCTTCTCCTTGCCACCGTTATAACACAATTCATTCTGATCCACCGCGGCTATGTGTTTGGCAGTGTTGATGTATGTCAACCGGTAGATCAAAGCCATGACAGGCCGACTGCACATTCCAAAGGCATCCCGGATTACTATCAGACATCGCCAGAGCTCTTTCCTGGTAGGTTAATTATCACGCTTCCTTACTACAGCTAACTCACCGTTGCAAGGCCCGACTCCTACAGGCTCTCCGGCTTTTCTTGCAGAGACAAGACCGGTCTTCACGGGAACTGTAAGCAACATCTCTCAAGACATTCACGCCCCTTGCTCACTCTAGACGAAGACATATATCCCAAACTCGCCTTTGGAGACGCAAGTCCCTATTACCGGTAACAAACGTGATGGCAACATCTTCCAGCTGCATGGTCAACTCTCCCACTATTTCCCGAACCCTGATGGCTTTGGCGTGGATGAGTATGCCCTCCCCAAGAACGCATCGATTGTGCAGCTACACATGCTGTCCCGTCACGGAGCACGATATCCTACCTCGTCTGAAGGTTTCGCATCTCTCACAAGAAAGATCGCAAATCACACCTCTGAGACTGGTCACTTCAAAGGACCATTAGACTTCCTAAACACGTGGGACTATAAGCTCGGTGCTGCGATCCTTGTTCCGGTTGGGAAACAGGAGCTGTTTGATTCGGGAACGCTTCATCAGGTGCGTATGTTTGTTAAAAGATACCGGACTATGCTCACATTCTTCCGCAGATCATGTACGGGCAGTAAGTATGCCGCAGACCACATTCAAACGTCGTGATCCTAACCATTTGCCGTAGCCTCTTCCCAAACAACGGGACCAAACTCATCGCACGCTCTACAACCCAAGATCGTATGGTCGAATCCGCGGAATATTTTCTTGCTGGCTTCTTCGGGCTCGGTTGGACTGACAATGCAACACTAGTATGGTCGCTCCTCTTGCTTGAGACATCTACAATTGAGTTGACAATGATAGGTCCTGAATCGAGAAGGCTCCTCAGGCCCCTGGAACAACACGCTGGCCGGATATTTCAACTGTAACAATTCTCAGACAATGAGTAACGGCGGACGCGATGCCGGCCTAGAATGGCAGAGTATCTATCTGGTGGATGCCACGAAGCGATTGAACTCGTATGCTCCAGGTTTCAACTGGACTACCTCAGACGCCCATGCAGCTCAATCGCTATGTGCCTATGAGACTGTCGCATTGGGCTACTCCGCCTTTTGCGGTTTGTTCACTTACGATGAATGGGAAGGGTAAGGATGTACCGAAACACCGCTTCAAAACACTCCACGTATTGACAGTACAAACAGATACGAGTACACCACAGCTCTAGAGTTCGGAGGAGGCGCCATGTTCCAGTCACCCACAGGAAGAGCAATGGGAGCTGGATACGTCGCAGAGATTCTTGCTCGTCTACAGCATCGTCTGATCACCGAGCCCACCGCTCAAGTCAACGTCACGTTGGATAGCAACCCAGACACATTCCCACTCGATCAGGCACTGAACTTCGACTTCTCCCACGACACCAATATCGCTAGTATCCTAACAGCTTTCGGACTCACTCAATTCGCACCCGTGCTCCCGACCGATCACCTCGAACGGAATCGTTCGCTCATCGTATCGCACCTCACCCCATTCGCTGCTAGACTCGACATGGAGATTATTGAGACCCCAAAACCACTCGATCCATCCAGGAAGTCTGGAGATTCGTGGGATGAAAAGGGAGATGTTACGAGATATATGCATTTCATCCTCAATCAGCGAACCATTCCTCTCGGGAAAAGTTTCCCCGAGTGTGGGGACCGAGATGATGGGTGGTGTGAACTCGGCACGTTTTTGAAGGTCCAGTCGACTAAGTTGAAGGAGGCCCAGTATGAGTATAGTTGCTTTGGGGATTATGAGGATGTGCCTTACGGGAGCATTACGAATGGTGTGCCGCTTGGGAAGAAATAGCATTCATGGCTGTGTTCCTGCGTCGCCTTGTGACAAATGGGCATACAACCACAAACCCCATTGCTTCAAAAGGGCATCAACGCCGTCGCCCAGGGTAATCCAGCAATATATACCATTTACATGTATCATACACGTCTCATTTACACATCGACCGAGGCAGTCTGATCAATAGGTCCCAAAAGCGTCTCCCACTCTTCCCGCATCTCCTCCAACTCCTTCCAAGCATCTCTGCCCATGACCTCAAACTCCTGTCTGCTTCCCGCAGTGAGTTCCTTACTTTGACGCCATCGTCCCGCAGAACCAGTGACGCTTCCATCAGGCACGACACCAACTCGACCGCAATAATCCCATCCATCAACGAAAGTACGTGCGACCCTCTCATTACCAGAGACACTCACCGCTGATCCCCACTTCCCTTTGCCTTCCTGTGCTTCCGAATTGGGGAGCTGAGAAGAGAGAACAGCAAATGCGGCACTGACTGCTCCTTTGTATGGCGTTACTAGGTGCCAGGGTGATCCGAGCCAACGCGCGATATACATTGTCGCGACCATGAGCAATTCCATGATTAGATTGAGTCCAGCGATCGATGTGCAAACCACACCAGGGTGAACAACAATCATTTTGGGTCTCGAATTTGTTTCTGGTGCTGGGAGGAAGGATTGGACATAAGGTCTTGATGATGGGAGTTCGGAGGTCAGGACAAGCAGGTCTGTGAGCCGCTTGGATGCTTCGTATGCGTGAAGGCTCCTCAGACCTTGAATGTCTTCGGGAGAGAACGTGTCGGGAACAGCACTGACGCTGGAAAGCCAGACAATGCGGCTTTCTCCCGTCATGATGGGACTCAGCCAATGGGTAAGCATGTAGTGGCCAAAGACGTTGGCAGTGAAGACTTGACCCAGCCTGGGCTCGGTCTTTCCAGTCTGAGACTTTGTCGAAAGTCCCACGTCGCRGTTCGTATACATCGGATAGGTTGTCGCGTGGATGAGGTCTATTGTTGTCGTCCAGATGGCTTTGGGCCAGTTTATACCGCTCCAGCCAGCAATGCCCGCATTCCAAACTAATGCATCAATCTGCTGGCCTCGACGAAGAAGTTGCTCGGCCAAAGCCTTGACAGTAGAAAGCTTGAGTAAATCGACCAGAACGCCTTCCAGTTTGACGCGAGATTCCAACAGGAGGCTAATGCCAAGCGTGGTGCCATTGGCCGCTCGGAGAGCTTGTTGCAAATGTGCCCGGAGACGCTGCAAAGTGTCTTCACTCTTCTTGACATCTCGTGTGGAGAAGAGGATGTGGAGGGTTTGTGATTGTGGCCGGGTGTAGAGAAATTCATCAATGAGGCGGCAGCATAACGCGAAGCCCAGGCCGCTGTTCACAAGGATGAGGATGAGTAAACTGTTCATGTTGGGAGACGGCTTCTGCCCGCGTTGACTTACCTGTTGGCTCCAGTAACTAACACTGTGAATGTTGTCTTTTCATTCAGCTCACGAGGTGGAACTTCCATCATGAAGATTGAAGAGAAGAATRTGGCGTTGATCGAGGCGAGGTTCGACAGGTGAGAGTAGGTAAGTCTTGGCAGCATCAGCATTGACTTCTACATCGTACCGTGTACGAGCAGCTGGTCGATACATGGTATACAGCACCATCTTGCATCGGAGTGGTTGAACCTGGTTTACACTGCTTCCGAGGATTGCCGTTGGCGACACACCCTGTTCGGGGCTGTTAAGTATATACTGTAGCGTTTTACCACGAAGGTGCTGTACCTTGCAGTGCATGGGTCATTTTTGCTTTTTAGACGCGGCACAATCACTACAAGAGAGTGATGGGACGATATGGTCTCAATTCAACACATCTAATGCCAGGGGTATATCCAAGATTATGGCTCTATCTATTCCATCGCCGTCAAACGCCTAGCTCAAATGCATTTATGCATGTCAAGGACCGAGCCTCAATCCCTATAATTCTTACAGCCCACACTAAACACCTCCTGATGGCCCTTGGCGTCCAGTACCATTGTCGTGAGTTTCCCACCGCCAACGCATCCAGAGTCTAGACCCTTCGACCATCGGTGCATCTGCAGGCCGGTATGAGAGTCATGCCCATAGATGACAACCTGCGGCTTGGAATGCGCATGTTTGTGTTTTCCGAAGAAGTTCTTCCAGAATCCTACAAACCAGACGCTGGGGTCAGATTCTGGCAGCGAGGAAACTGGTTCGACTTGATTCTCGGAGTCATGCTTGAAGACCTTGTCGTTGTACCAATTCCAGATATCGAACCATGGCTTGGCATTCTTGCCGGCGCGGAGTGCAGACGGAACGAGCGTCCGGCGGTTGATGCTCCGCATGTTCATAACAAAGTACGGATCTTGCTTCTTCAAATTCACACCTGGTACTAAGCCAGCATGCACGACGAGCATGTGCTCCATGATGGGGGAGTGTTTCTTCTTGGTAGCTCCAGTGGCTTGAGGCAGAGATGGGATGTGGAGCATCAAAGGCATGTTGTGGAGGTAGTCCAAGTGTCGCGGTTTGAGTGTTCGAAGAAGTGCACGATCCTTGTCCTTTTTCCTGGCAGCCTTGACGTCGTCGCTGCTGGTGATTGAAGACTCATCCTCATTGGCAGCAATTCGTCTAGCCTCCAACAAAACGTTGTCCTCGTGATTCCCTCGTACACTGGTGGCGTTCAAGCGGATGAGCTCGTCTAGCACTCCCACGTTGTCCGGTCCTTTGGAAATCGTGTCGCCCACCAAGACTAGGTGATCCAGCTCCTCGTTAAAGTCCACCTTACGGAGCAGCTTCATCAACTCCTTCTTACACCCATGCACATCGCCGACAAACACCAGTCTCCGCTTTCCATCGGGGTCTGCCTTCCCTCCAGGCAGTAGTCGTTCGTCCAAACTCTTCAAACGCACTAGGTTCTTATCCACGCGATGTCTCTCAATTCCGTACGTGCCATCATCGCCCACCGCCAGCTCTGCCCGGGCGGCCCATACCTCGACGGAGCTGTCTTTTAGAAACATGGACCAGCAGTAATATGCGCCCACAGCGAGCAATGCTGCCAAAGCAATCATCCTGCGTATGCTTCGCGGGCTGGATAAACGAGAAGGTGTGGATCTCGCATAACGCGCATCATCGTCGTCGGGAATGTTGTGGAACAAATGCGTCGCCTTCCCGTCAGCGTATCCGTGGGCGCGTTCCTGGTCTTGGTGTTCACGTCCGCCGACCATGACACCAGATCGCCCACTGCCATCATCTTCCCCACCACGACCCATAATTTAGTCCTTTCCCTTCTGTTGCCGCTACCAGCGAGAGAAGGTTCGTGCGATCGGCGGTACCTTTTTGTTGTGGCGGGTGTGAAAAAGGCACGGCAGTAATGAGTAAAATTCACTAGTACATGCACGACTTCAAGACTGTGCAGGAGGCATGTCGCCTTTTACACTCGGGAGATTGTCACACAGCCGCTGACAGCGGTTGGACTTGGTGTTTCAACAAACCGCGTCATTTCACGGGAGCGTCCGCGCGCGCGCACGTGTCGGACTGCTCATGTGACAAAGATTCGCGCCTTCCCGACAATGCATCAGAGCATTCATCATACTTTGCTCCAAGATTCACAAAGCCAATATGGAACGCTTCGGGAAACAGCAGACTACACAGTTGAGAAGTCCAAGAAGACGCCTACATCTTCATGCCTTGGTGGTCCCCGTTTTCATCACCCACTGATCGACCAGCCCCTTGTAATCTGGCGGACCGTACGGTTCCGTCAAATCCTTCCACCATCCTTCCTTTCGGTTCGCTTTCAACCCAAGATCATTTACCATCAAGTCCACATATGGCACGGCATCAAAGGCGAAATCTGGAAGCGATGCCCCATATCCAATCGGATGTCTCCATTTGCCCCATTGAGTGTGAAGCATAACCTCTCGAGTGACCTCCTCCTTTGAACCGGCAAGTCTATCCAGACGTCCGTCTAGAAACGCCGTTATCCACAACGCTTGAACGCTGGCACATRTCGACGTCGATACCGAGCTTACCATTCCTGCAAACGCGATGTTGCGATCATTGATACGCGCTGGAGGCACCATGAACCTATACAGCCGAAACGGATCTGCTTTGGGCTTGAAGTTGAGAGGCGGCTGGTTTTTGAGGCGTGGGTAGCGGGAGAGAATCTCGGAATCATACTGCGTTGCGAGATCCTTTTGCTCGGATGGTGTCTGAGTGAGACCGATACCTGCAGTGCCAAAGTTCAAGAAGCGAATCGATGGCTCTTTCCTCCATCCGGTGGAGCAAACGAGAACGTCTGCTTTGAGCTCCGTTCCGTCGGTGAGATGCACCGTGTGGTCTGTGAGCCGTTCCACATCCGCGTTGTGGATTCTAATCTCCTTCCGCCTGATCATGTCGAACAAGTCGCGATCATAGTTGTGGATAGAAAGTCCTGAACCGATCCAGAAGGCCGGATTCCATGGCTTCAACTTTTGCAGTTCGGGATTCGAGTMATAGCCAWTGGCTGTTACCACTTCACCTCCAAGGCCGCCCCTTGAAATGGTCAGGATGCCCTTGGAACATGCCGCGAGTTTTACTAGAAGAACTCACCAAAACTTGTCGACGATAAAACGACCAATGGCTGTTCCATGCAAGAACCTTCTAGCCCATTCAAACCCGCCTTGACCGCCCCATGGACAGGGAGAAAAGAAGCTCATCCACCTGACGTGGAGCAGAGACTCTAACCTTTTCCCGCCCATGACATAAGGATACGAGATCCATACGCTAATCAAATGTCAGATGAATATTGTATATGATAAGACATCGACTTACGGCCCATTTCCAGAAGGTCTGATGACCATGTCGACCTCGACCCCTTTGTCGGCATAAGCATATGCAACATCCATGGCGGACTTTGCGCCTCCAACAACGACCGCTCGCTTCGAAGTTGAGATCGTGTCACCCTGCCGACAGAACTCCTTCGCGTGAAAGTAAGGTGCTCTAAAGATCTCTGCCCCGGGATATACAGGGAAGTTGGGCTGGGACGTCAACCCTGTTGCAACGATGACTTTGTTCGTACGGATCTTCTGCTTCTTTTCGTTGCACTCAGTCTCTATGGTCCAACCGCCATCCGAAGACGGTTCCAGAGATTGGACCCTAGTATTGAAGCGAGTCCTTGAGAAGACTCCGAACTTTTTGGCAAAATCGGTGAGGTATCGATGAAGTACCTTGCCGGGAATGTGGTCATCGTGAGTGATCCCATAGTTCTCTGGCACCATGGGAAAATCTGGGTACTCTGAGCCGAAGGATTGCAGGGTCAGCATTGTCCTCGATGTTCCCTGGGTGGATGCAGGCCTAGCATAGCTACTCTAGGCCAGCCGCACCTCACAGACTTACCATATGAACCGTGGAGATCGTTAGACTTTAGACCTGCGTAAAGCCGCTGACAGGGGTCGGACTGTTAGCGACGTCGCAGGCAAGAACAACGATTCTCAGACGAACATTCTCAGACCATGTTCCACCGCAACTGCTCTCAGCTTCCAAGACGACGACATTCTCGGTGGGATGAAGTTCAACATATGTCTCGAAGAGGTTAGCAATGCAGAGAAGTGAATGTTATGTTCATACTTTAGCTGCAGCCAAGCCGAACCAGCCTAGATTTGTCAAGAATGAGACGTGAACTCCAGTGCCATTGGGAGCATTTTCGCTTACCGGCACCTATGACAACCATGTCCTCTGCCATAATGGGTGGAATGCGTCTCGGCTTTTCGTTGGGACGGCTGTGTAGGGTCCGTGACGATTCGGCAAACTCCCAATCCGTTCTTTCTGCTCCTAGCTTGCGTGTGGAGTGCTGCAAAACCTCACAATGGCGTCTTCCGTGTATATGATGGTATGATTATGAAGGCCTCTAGATAATAGCAGGACACGTCGTCAAAGACGTTCGTGTGCTTCACTTCTGCTTGTGCACGGTCCGATTACTATAGATCAAGTCTCCGCTTTCTTCACCCCCGCAGGCCCAAACCCTCGTCTCCAGTTTTCTTCGTTCCCTCCAACCCGAAGGCATTAATCTACAGTCAGACTACCTAAACTCTGATAAAGCTCCCCTACAACCTAAGGTCGGTACCTGCGGTGCATACCATTGAAACCGACTCTCCAATCGTATTGAGGGTATAGATATGAGGGCTCGGTCCGGGTCCAGAGGTATGTCTCTGGTCAGGCATATCCACAGCCGAAGATGCGCAAAGGTGTCAAAACTCCAGCYCAGATGGTCCCTGATGGAACAAATCGGCCGGCAGAACGGTCTGGCTGGAACGCAGTCCCGAGGCAGGTGGAGAAGTTACAATTGACCTCTGAGATCCATGATACGGATTAGCTCGCAAGCAACATCGCCCAAGCAAAGACTCCGGAATAAGAAGACAAGAGGCATATTCGAATATTCACACACAAGATTTCGCCTGCAATAGAACAAGAAGCTAATCCTCACGCCGGATAACCTACAAGACTTTGTCTGCAATACACCTTCATCATGGGGATCAGCGCGAAGTTCAGCCTCAAGGGCAAATCCTACATCGTCACGGGAGGTGCGATGGGTATCGGTAAGTACTAACGTGCCTTGCAGTTCTGAGGTGTCTTTCAAACGACGCTTGGCATCAGTTTACATRGAGATAGGAGGTACTGTCTTGCACATCGCTAACCTTTCCTACCTCCGCTCTGCAGGATTTGCAATCGCCAAGGACATAGCCGAATCGGGTGGAAATGTGGCAGTTCTCGATTTGAGAAGGGAGCCTCTGGAAGATGTCCACGGTCTGGCGAAGGAAGGCGTCAAAGTCTCGTACCATCAATGCGACGTCTCCAGCGAGGAGAGCTTGAAGGGAGCCTTCGGAAGCGCCGTCCAAGCGCTAGGGAGTATCGATGGTATAGTGACTGCTGCTGGTATCGCTATTGACAAGCCGTTCGTCGACCAAAAGTGGGAAGAGGTCAACAAAGTCTTGCAGGTCAACGTAGGTTTCATGAGTTCTGTACCCAAGAATGTCGCCAACGTTGCTACCTAGTCCATGGGGTCTTTCTTTGCAGCACAATTAGCCGTGGCACAAATGCAAAAGCAGGGTACACCAGGCAGTGTTGTGTTCATAGCTTCCATCACAGCTCATGTCAACCTGCCTGGCTACAGGTTCGCCTGCCGAACAACCAAGTCTTTTCCCATCAGCTTGCTAATGTTTCGAACAGAATGGCCGGCTACAACATGAGCAAGGGTGGAGTCAAGATGATATCAAAAGTGCTCTCGGCCGAGCTCGCAGCGTCTGGTATTCGAGTCAATTCCATCTCTCCGGCCTTCATCGAGACAAATCAGACCCGTGGAGCGAGAGAGGGCACTTCCAAAGCTGCTGGCGATCTCATGCAAACTGCTCCACCAATGGGAAGGATAGGACAGCCAGACGAAGTCTCTCCTGCCGCCATCTTCTTACTCAGTGACGCTGCGGCCTACGTCACCGGCGCCGACATATTGGTTTCGGGAGGCATTCACACTGGTCGTGGTGGCGACTACGATATGTGCTGATGAGAGAAGTATGTCTTTTACATCATAGAACCTAGGAAGGAACGATCTTCGATACTAAGGGATTTGGAAGAACGTGTATCTTCAGGCGTGCCATGTGGCACAGTAAGACCGCGGAGTAAACCGAATAGTAGTCGCAAGCTGGAATCTGCTAGAACACGGCTCCTCGCAGTCGGTCGGCAGAGCTGCAGTGTAAGGTAGCTTCGACAATCAGTGCTGACATCTTGAAGAACCTGCGTAGGGGCGACTTCAACACCGGAGAAGTGAATCTGTCCCTAAAAGAACTCGAACGTAMACAGAGGGAAAAACTGTACACTCCGCCACCGCAACTTTGTAAGGTTTGTTGTTCAACTATATCCTCGACATGCTACTCTCCAAGACCTTCCATCTCCGACATGCTATTTTCAAGTCCCATCGTCATTTGTCAAGACAGCTACTGGTGGCCTCACAACGCTTGCCGTATCAGGCGTCCCGCCATGTCGATCATATGCATTCCTTCAAAGGAACATTCCATGGCCGAACAACCTTGATCGTATACACGCCACGCTGTTCCTATTCTGGTGCTCTTACTTGGGACTATGATCTCACACGCAGCCCCTCGTGGAACTACTTGCCCTTCGAAGCTTTTGCGTTTGGCGAAAGCTAGAGGATATACGGCGTCTCTTCACAACGTCAAGCTGGCTTGGCACTGGCACGAACTGTCTCCTTTAATAGCATCAAGATCGACGTCAGAGAGTACGCCTGATGCGTTCATTGGGAGGGTCAAGTCTCGACAGGTTTGATGTTCACAATCTATATAACGAGCATGTCGTTGCCGGACACATGGCTTTTCATCAACACAACCATCACCGCAAACACTACTACGATTCCCGACTACCTACCTACTCCTGATACCCGATCACCAATACCATTTTAACAAACATGTACAAATTCATCACTCTGGCCTTGGCAGCCGCTGTCTCCGCCCTCCCAGCCGGAGGTTCTCCAACAGATCTCGAGAAGGGCGAGTTCCGAACCTTCATGACCGTCTCAGTCGACAAGCAAGTTTCGCTCAACGGCATCAGAAACGGAACCAGTGAGAATCTATCCATCGTTGGCGAGCGAATCTCTGTCTATCCCGGCACACAAACAGTATCGGAACGCAACACTCAAGATCCCGGCGAGTCCATTAGCTTCCACGTAAACGGGGAAAAGTACGGCTGGGCAGTCACTGATGTCGTAAGTAAACCAGCCATATCATTTCTATCAACAAGTACTGACAAGAAATTCAAATATAGGGTCACGCTTGGGGCAACGTTCATCCTGTCGTGGCAAGAAAGGGGTATGAAGGGGACTTTAAATTCCACACTAGCAATGGAGAAATCACACATGACCTTACTGCTACTACAAACAGCTTCATGGGTATGTAATAGTTTTTTTTTGCCTTCTCAAGAAGCTTCCTTTAAAAATGTGGCTGATATTCTCGTCTCTCTAGCTTGCGATAGCAATATTAATGGAGTTAATATTAGTGTGCTTGCTTGGGGTAACCCCAACTACGATGGCACTCTTCCTGAGGGCTGCGCTTTCACTAAGGTCTCTATGAGCGAGCCTAAGGAGTGAAGGGGGAGCGATTATAATGGTGGGAGTGTAAAAGTAGTCTGATCAATAGGGAGTTGCATAGCGAGGTGATAGTTTGATAGGAAATAAGCATACCGTTTAYACCAATCGTACAAATCTGGCGATGTGAGTGAGTGCAGGCACGCGGTAATCGATATGCATGACTCTCGCAAGATTTCAGAAATGGCAAAATTTCAAGAATGGCCCCGAAAATGACCAGCATGAGTTTGATGAGCTGGCTTGGAATAGTATATCATCGACGCCCTGCCTACACAATCCATCTTTGGAACACTCTCTTCAAACCTCCTTAGCCTGAAACCCAAGCATCCGATTCGACTCAACAGAATTCTTATCCCTCATCTTCGCAACCGTATCCTTACCCGCGACAGGAATCACAACCTCAAACCTCTTGTTCAACCCTTCCGCCCCTCCATTCCCATTCATTTCCGCCTCATCATCATCATGTGCAACAACAACAACAGCAAGCGGTAGGATTTCGGGCAAAATTCCAATTTGACGTAACGCAGTGCCTTGATCCCAAGTAATGTGTTCGTGATATAATCTATCGCCTCGGATATTCACCACGGCCATCATTGGGATTTCTACGTATTGATATGTAGGTGGTACTCCAGGAAATCTGTAAAATTTTTTGTCAATATACTGTTTGGAGCATATAGAGAGGAATGTATGGTGACTCACAGCCAATCGACCATCATATCATGCGTGAATTTATAGATGAATTCATCCACAACTCTATCAATCCCTACCGTCCGACTGATGAGTTCCAGCTCCGTGTCTAGGGGATTACTAAAGATGAAGTGATTGGTGTAGAAATCCGTCAGGGATTTCCGTCCGATACCTCCTGTAAGCTACTCAATTATCAATATCATATGTGAAAGGAGCGCTCTGCAGATATGGACGAACTTACAGTGGGGACATGATTGACATAGGGCTCCTCGACCATTGTCGCCATAGTGTTCTCAACAGATCGATCTCCGAATTCATAGTAAGTGTGTTCTTCCCACAGTAGCTCCAAGTCGAATGTAGGACCGTCCATATACTTCTTCAAGAATGCGAGGTTTCGGCTATGTGAGACTGCTTCAGTCGCATAGTGGARATCCTTATGGAATGGGATTGGGAAATGGGCATTTTTCGAAGAAGCATACTCGTAGACTTTACTATCGGCTGTCTGCTGGATTTTGGTCTCTGGTTTGCCTGTCAGGTGGTAGATTGTAGGGATCGATGCGTGTGAGGAAATGGATGTATGCTGAGAAGCTTCCGCGTAGATTGCTGCGACGACGATTCGATCTTTGAGTCTTTCCACAGCGGAGGCGGCTCGGGACCACATTTCTGCATCGTAGCCTGCGGTGATGATATCAGATCAGCGCGTGGAGTCAACAACAAACTTTGCCAAACGTAGAGAGACATACAAACCAAGCCGACCTTGTTCTTTGGTTCACACTCTTTACACTCATTCAGTTTTTGCAGTGCAAGTTCAAGTGCAGAGGGAGAAGCATTGTGCTTGATCTCAACAACAACATAGCCCTCTTCGGCCCATTTCATTCTTAGCGAAGGAATGCCATTCTGGATCTCAATGTTAAATTCCGCATTGGAAGTCAGGAGGATCAGACCAGGTCCTGAGCCTTTTCTCGATAATGGTCGGACGAGAGTTACTCCTTCAGCTAGTACCTCTAGTTTCATGGGTGGTWCTGGCTGGGGTGGACCCGATCCATAGGCAAATTCCGGCATTTTTCGGTGTGTTTGCGGTTGATCAAGTTATATTGATTTAAAGGGGTAAGATTGCCTGCTATATCGAGATATACATACAGTACATCAATGGGATGGACGAATGAAGTCGTAGTCGGCACTGGGCAGCTGGATGATTCATCATTCTAACTGCCGGAGCCGAGGTGGTGGACGGCAGAATTAGACACCGTCTAGATGTCGACGCGACAACTCACTGGCTTGGAGGAGTCCAAATGACAACTTCCACGGAGGATCGTCGTGAGCCTGTTTATAGCGTTTGAATTTGTATCAAGAAAGGTAACCGAGGAGAGAATGCATCCCAATACGTGCCTGCGTCCTGTCTCTCACTATACAGTGTAACATACAAGTGATGGATCGCCGAAAGAAAATGATTCACTCTTCATGAGAATCCCTTCCGATCCCCTGCACCCCCGTCTCGAAGGCCGGTCTTCTCAACGACCGTTTCCGCCGCGTTTTGTTCGCCTGACTTGACCCTGACTTTTTCCCACTGCTCGCCGTCCTTTTCAGCATCAACGACATCAATGACCTCCCGATCGTCATGCTCCTCGAGTCGGAGTTTCATGCGTTCTTCCTCGGTCAGCTCCCCCTCRGCCTCTGCCTCCTCTAGCGCAGCCATCTTGGTCTTCTTCTTCTTCTTCTTGGAGTCTTCATCCTCAGGCTTGCCTCCGTTCAACTGCCATTCCATGAGCTTCGCAAACGCGCCTTCAGGWTCCTGCGAAATTTCCCTGTAGCTACCCATCTGCGCAACCTTTCCGTCGCTTCCTATTACAATGATGGTGTCACTGCGTTGGATCGTGCTCAATCGATGCGCGATGGAAATGGTTGTGTTGTCTCCACGGAGGAGTGTCTGCAAGGCTTGATTCACAAGAGTTTCACTCTCGGCATCCAAAGCAGAAGTCGCCTCATCCAGGATGAGAATGTCTGGTTCTTTGAGCAGAGCCCTGGCAATCGCAATGCGCTGCTTCTGCCCACCAGATAATTGAGTGCCGCGAGCGCCGGCGAATGTTTCGAGGCCGTCAGGCTAACAGAAAGATTCAGGTTAGCACACACTCGTGTTGTATTCGGGTTGCGGTACTCACGAAATCACTAATGAACTGACAATTCGCCTGTCGTGCTGCTGCGACAATCTGGCTTCGGCTTGCATTCGGGCGACCATACGCAATGTTTTCAGCGATGGTGCCTGAGAAGAGGACAGGCTCTTGYCCAACATAACCAATCTTCCGTCTCAACTGTTTGGCATTCATCAAGTTGATGTCTCTGCCACCAATAGTGATGGTACCAWGAGTGGGCATGTAGAACCGCATCAAAAGCTGGGCCACGGTACTCTTGCCTGCACCAGAAGGTGCCACAATAGCAACATTGCTACCTTGTGGAATCTTAAAGGTGAGATTCTGGAAAATCTGCACAGCTGGCCGAGTCGGATAGGCGAATGCCACGTCTTTAAACTCGATCATGCCGCGCGCGGATCGTACCATCTCACCCTTAGTCGGGCTGATGGTGGGCTCACGGTCTTGCAATTCGAAGAGACGTGATGCAGCACCGACACCTTTCATCAGCTCTGAGTAGAATGATGACAGGCCAAACAAGGAGCTTCCTGCGTAACCAGTGTACATCAAGAAAGTGGTGAGGTCGCCCACGCTGATGGTACCAGATTTTACCATGCCACCTCCGACGTAAAGGAGTGCTAGGAACGTCATGTTGCCCATGAATCCGGAAGCCGAGAAAAAACTGGCAGAGATAAAAGCCTCCTTTCTGCCCAGGCCAAAGATCTTACGGACTTGTGTGTTATACCGGTGCACCTCTTGTTGCTCTCCTGCGAATGCTTGGCTGGTGCGAACGTTGCCGAGTCTCTCTTCCGCGATCTTTGTCAAACTTCCYAGATTCTTTTGTATCCTTCGCGAAAGATTCCTGATGGCTCTTCCGTAGAAGAATGCCGCAAAGGCAACAGGCGGAAATGCGACGGCAAGAATACCAGTCAGCTTGACACTGACATATGCCATCAGTGACAGCCCTGCCGTTGCCGATACCAGAGATCTCATGCCGTCGGAAAGATTCTGAGTGATGGATTTACCGACGATGATGGTGTCACTCCCCAGTCTGCTGATCAMGTCTCCCACGCGATTCGCGTCGAAGAACTCGGCATTCTGCACGAATGTGCGCTTGAAAAGAGAACTACGAAGCTTCGTCACGATGCGCTCACCCACGATCCTGAGTAGGATGATGCGGCCGTAGTTAGCACAAGCACCAGTAGCCAAGAGCATGGCCAAGCCGATGTAAAAGTGCTCCATCTGCAGACCAAAGAGAGTGCCTTGTTCGTTGGTGGCGGCGTCCATGATCTTGCCAATGCTGAATGGAATGGTCATGGTGATGCTACTGCTAATAAGGAGGAAGAGCAGCGCCCAGCTGAGAGTGGGAGCCTCTGGACGGGCGATCGACAGCAGACGTACAATCTCTCGCCATCCACCACCAGTCTTTCCCTCGCCATCCTTGCCTTCTCTAGACAGCTTTGCAGAGAGATTGACCTGTGATGCTTTGGCGGCGCGGTCCGACTTCTTGAAGTTTTGTGTGTCATCTTCCGGGTCCTCGTCCGCGGGGTCAGAAGAATGCTTGACCTGGTGCCTATACGGCTTTTCCTGCTCTTGAGTCTTGAGCGAAGTTTTGTCTCCGTCTCGCTGTGGAGGTGACGTCTGCAAAAATCTTCTCTGGACAACGTCCTGCCTTGCAAGGGATGATCCGGCGATTATCGAGCGTGGGGTTGAGAGCCCTAGGAGGGAAGTATTCCGTGTAGAAGACAGCCCTCGCAGCTGACCGACTACACTGTTCAATGGCTGAGCTCGCAGTGCCAGCGGAGCTGATGGCTGCACAAGACTTCTCCCAATTCCCGATCCAAATTCCCCCACAGCACCGGTCCGTCGTATTCTCGTAGTGTACAGCGCGCCATTGCCCAAGCTATCCCATGCTCGACACGCCAGATTCGGTGCACGCATGGCCATCKCAATCCCCGATCCTGCTCACTCTGAGCCCTTCTTTGACGCGCGAATTCCTAGTCGACTATCGTTCCCCGTCAGTTCGCCGCGACATGTTCGATGACGCGGATATGTGTAGTAGTCTCGCCAGTCCGGCGGGTGAGGGTGAGAGGAGGTAGAGTGAATCGAAGGTGGAAAATGACTGATCGGACAGTAGAGAGCCTTTTCCAGTCCGGTGGAAGTCTGCAGTCGGACGGTCCGAGGTAATGATGGAATGGCGGTTCAATGTTCTAGATTTAACAGCACGCGGTGATGATGGTATGAAACGAAGCAGGGGTGGCTTTTGAGCTGCGGGCCGAAGCCGGAGACCGAATCATACCGAATTCTGGGGACGCAGCTGCCACAGCTCCTTCCACAAACGCTCGTTCCTGCAGACTCCATGTTCCTTCCGTACCACATTCGCTCAACGGCACAAAGTGAGGAAACGTGGTGTAGATATTCCTTGGTTTTCGATCGTAAGCAAAATTAGCCCAGCWCCCGTAACCATGCGAAAGATTGGTCGCACTCTATATATTCCACGTTATTCCCTCCCCAGAGTTCCCATCATCTCAATGATATCTCTTCCCACGCGACGTCAACATCAACTATTGTCCATCTCCTAAGACCTCCTTTCCAAGTTCAACCAGTCACAAGTGAATTAGCCGCAAGTTCGCTGCCCACATACTCAGATCATTGAGGTGTAAACATCTCAAAAGCCAACAAACGCAGCATGTCCGCGATGACTGCCCATAGCACCGTCGGCCGTTCGCTCGACCAGGACCTATAAAAGGCAACCAAGATGCTCGAGGACGATATTCTCGAAGAACTGCCCCTCGATCTGGAAAACAACCCGGCTTTCCCGCGATGCCAGCGTCAAGATTCTCAACATGCTGGCCGCTATTGTTGAGGATTGGAACCAGGCCAATGAGTACCGTTTCGCGTCCGAGATTCTTCGGGATATGGCCAGGGACTTCCACCCAGTAGGCCGCGATGCAGGCATCGATCAGTCACTTGGCAAGATCCGCGTAGAGCTCGAGGGTCTCAACGAGTCCTTGGACCCGGATGTGGTTTCGCTCCCAGAAACCGCCGAGGAGCTGTATGTTCGTCTGGACGAGTTCGTCATCGTTAGGAGCTCTGTAGAGGGTCGCGTAGAGGACAATGAAAGGATTGAGCTCGAACGGGCAGAGTCCAACGGCTAACCGGCGAGATGAGGTGATTTATGATTGAAAAGGCAGCACTCAAGGCTCACGGTCCAGAGGTAGGATGGCAGACTCCGTGATTGTCACCTCTTGTCCCAAGATTCAATGTAGAACCAAAATCCCGAAGTAAAATTGGACCTTAGAGCTTCGTCCCATGGATCGCAAGAAACAGAGTTTGACCAAAAGGGTTGTTGTGAGCACACAGCACTTCACATACAGTAAAGGCGCGCTCATGCGGACTGCATCAAGACTTTAGAAATAGAGGAATCATGAGATACGAGGGAATATATGAGTCTTCTATGTGCCAGCTACACAGCTGAAAGGTTCGGTAATGGCTCCGGTGTCCTGGATGGAGAAATAGCAGTCAGCATTATTCTGTCATCACAATCGACAAGCTGTATCAAAGGTCCACTTACATATGCAATCAGAATACCCCTGATGTTCACATACAAGCCCGCCACGCAGATGAACAGACCTGCTACGACAGTCGAAACTGCCATGAGCGTGCCAGGCCATCGCGTTCTCCAGGAAAGTGTGCCTGGACCATCGTGATACGAATCGTGAAGCCAGAACATTCCCGCGCTGAAAGCAAAAAATGTCAGCCGAATAAATCAATGGTAGCAAGTCAATAACAGCCAACGACTTACATTCCATAAGTGAACCACGCTGCAAACGACGCTGCAGTAAGACCAATCAGGTAGTTGAAAATTGGTACTCCGACGGCCAGCACAAAGGCGATGCCGTTCATCAACGCAACAAGTGCTACCCAAACACCCCAGCCCAGAATCGTGTTGGAGTGGAGATGGTGGGAGTTTCGGAAAAGTCTGAGAAAGAGAATCTTGCTGGCCGTGTGCGTGTACAAGGATCCAGCGATCAAGAGGTTGGGAATGGCAATCCCGTATGCGGCTTTCGCCCAGGTTGGATCAAGGGAAGAAAATGAGGGTGATTTGACGTTCATGCCGATGTAGCCGTAGGTGACGGCTGCGAAGATCGCGTAGTAGGATGTGGCGAAGCCTTGTAGAGACCACGCAGCCTTCATGGCGTCACGAGGCTGCTTCATCTCGGACATCAAGGCGAAGAACCTGCGAATGGTTAGATGGATAGGATAGCACAGCCGAGTGTTACTGACATGAAGTGTCCGCAGTATGCGAAAACGGGGTTCTGGAAATCGGTATAGGTTAGCATAGTCATTCACCCAACTCCGGGAAGACAATAAAGGACTCACAGTGATGCTAAAAAAGGCCGTGTAAAAGTCCGATGACCGAGTGGCCACGACGACTACTGGTTCCGCAGGGAATGGTCCTTTCAGACCTGCGCCGACCATTCCAACGGTTCCAGCAACCAGAATGCACAGGACGCTGGGGATAGACATCCAGCCTAGGCCGTCAAATGTACGTGGAAGCGAGCAGACAAAGGTTGCCGCGGCGAAGATTCCCGCAAACTTCAGGTTGCATAGTCCGTTGTCACTCAAGGCCGAAAGGGCAATTTGTCCGGAAAGCATTTGGCCACCTGCAAGGCACACGGCGAAGAGAAGAGTACCAAAGGAGAAGATTTCGCGTCCAATCGGTCCATACATGATCATTCCAGCGTCGCCCATGTTGTGGACCTCTGGGTGGCGAAGCTTGAACTTGACGAGTAGCCATGAAGTGTACAGGGCGAAAACACCTAAGTTGGGGAGCTGTCAGCCAACATGCCAGACAAGACACAAACATGAGAGAAGCTTACCAAAGAATATGATGAGGATCAATCCGGGCGCCATCCCGACCGTCGCCAGCGACGAAGGCAAAGAGAGCATTCCATTGGAAACAATCTCAGCAATCATCAAAATCGCCACGATTTGCCAGCTAAGTGTCTTGTATTTGATGTCATGCCCCTGTTCGTTTCCAAAGACGTCGCGTTCGTGATAATTGTCAGTCGGCGAGCCATCGCGGCTATCCCAAGCCATACCAGCGGACTTCTCCATGTTGGCGTTGGGCTTTTTTTCGCGCGTGCGTGCGTGCTGTCGGTTCCTCTCACGCAGGGTCCGGGTGGGATGAAGAGGGTGGACAGCGAGCAGCGGACAGTTAAGATCAAGATCGAAAAAAACGTGGACCCACGCGGCGAGCACCTGGCAACGACGGGATGCTTCGTTAGCTGATCCCGGGATGATGCCTCGTTAGCTAATCCCGCTAAGATAGGAAGGTGGCTTGCCCAAGTCATCTCCTTCATGTTGCCGCACGCGGGGTGGTCCTAGCAATCAATCTACGGAGGTGTCCGTCTTGCTCATCCCGGGGCCTTGGCCCGAGAGATCAGCAGTCCACAGAATCTCTCACGTGGCTGGACATGGCTCTGTGGATATGGCCCGCGCCACCGCCGAGAGATTGGCTGTCCAGTCCGAGCCAAAAACTATGAGGCTTGCAGCTTGTTCTGGGTGGAAGTCAATTCTCAAAGCTGAGTGGTATCCCTGCGTGACGCCATGTGATGAGCTAGTGTTCGCTAGGTACTGTCCCATGTGTCGAGGGTGGTACTGTGGTACGTCGAAGACAGCTTGCTGGGCACCGTCATAGCCCTGYGAGCGATGGAGCCACAGCAGATGCGAGATTAGCGGGTACCTGATCAGATGTAACGCTACGGTGCGTGACTCCGTATCGAGTGAGCGAAGCCGGTTTCAACACGTTCTCGAATTTGCAACCCCTTTCCAAGGCCCTAGTCCAGTTTTCGGACATATTCTACAGGACCAACATATCTATGCCTCGCCCAGACAAAATAGAACACTACACCCCATATTGCGATGGTGCTGAAGACCAGACTCGACCAGTTCATGCTGGACGGAGCCAAAGCCGGCAAAGGCTCCGGCGGGAAGAATGCCATGACGAAGACGACGGCGAGGAAGGCTAGCGAGATCAGATTGATCGGCAAGCCTAGTCTTCCCATGTTGAACTTTGAAGGCAACATGGGTTGTCCAGACAGACGTCTCCAGACAAAGCATCCGATACAAACGGCGTACGACACCATGAGTGTACCGTTGGTCAAGGAAACCAAGTTATTGAAAGCAGCTTCAAAGTGGTCGGTCAGCTGTGCTCGCAGACTTCTGGTGAATACGAGAAAGTGAGACGTACCGGTGGAGCCAACGTTGATCAGCGACAGCAGGCATGAAATAATCGTGGATGTTACTACGGCGTTCAGAGGCACGTCAAGCGTCGGACTGACCTATTGTGCAACGATCAGTCTATAATCAAGAAGCATGAAACGCAAGCTGCYTACTCGTGCGAGCCACTCAGAGTAGGGTGTCCCATTATCTCGACTAAAGGCAAACATTTGGCGACTTGCAGAAGCCATGATTGTTACAGCACTGAACGCAWCCATGAATACCWGAAAGATTGGACAGTCAGTAAAGCTTCGGTAGGGAAATCGCATGACTTGGGTTGCCGGTTGCTGCTGAGCTCTTTCGGTGAACATACGATGATCTAGAGCCGTTAGCGAATGTTGATTGTAGGAACTATGTCTGAATACTCACAGATGCCATGGCATTCGTCGCTGCCAGGGACTGGGTCGAGTTGTAGAACATTTCCAAGAAAGGATATCCCGTTTTCGTTTGGAGTACTGTAGGTGGCGTGTAAGCTGATGGGGGAAATATCGATGCGGGAGAAACCGGACGTACCTGTTTCAAGGTCACCGATACAGTAAGCCACAGTGATGGCAGTCATCCAGCCCATGGCACCGTTGATGGTAGTAGCCCACATCATACTTCGAGGAAGCGTATATGCTGCATCCTTCAATTCTTCCGACATGTGGACTGACGCATCAGCTCCAAGCATAGGAACAACCGACGCCTGCATTCCAATCAAGGCAGAGAGTCCAGCACTGCTCCATCCGGGATTACGAAAGGCGGACCAGGCAAATTCTGATGTTGATCTCGGGGACAGTACCCAGAGAGGTACGAGCACACATATGAAGCCGTATCTAGAGAGAAATTTGAAGTCAGCATTCCGGCGCCGGAATTACCCCTGAATCAGAGCTCACGCACATGTGAACTATCAGAATAGTTCCTTCGACCAGATGCAGTCTTGTCGCAAGGAAGATGTTGAACAAAGCACCGAATAAGAGCACGGCCATGACAAGCAGGGTTCCGTGCCAACGCTGATATGTGTAAGCGTCTCCATAGTTGAGCACCAAGAGGCCTTGAATGATAGTGCCTGCTTGGAAAGCGATCGATGCCTGAAGCGCCCTACCATACCGGTCAGCTAGTCTGTTACGAGGCTGGGCCTAGTAAGGTTATGAGGGCGAAGATCCTCAGAGGTACAACATACTGCCAGCCCAAAACTCCAAGCCATCCTACGAGATGTGTCAAAAACAAGGTTGAAGAAGATGCACCTCAACGCAACATACCCACGACGTAGCTCAAGAACCGCTGGTACTTTCTGGGCTTATCAAAACGGTTAGTGAACGTTGGATCGCACGTTGATGATAGACTAACCGAGAACTCGGAGACCCAGTGATACTGGCCTGATATGCATGGTCAGTTCAAGTTGCCTTCAACAGGAACTCAAAGAACCTGCCTCCAGTTGTCGGTGCCATGGAGCCCATCTCAGCCATGGATAGATAGATCATGGTGAATCCAATCCACACACTCAACCACGTCCAGACCAAGCCCGCGGTCCCGCCATTTGCCAAGGCAATACTCAAACCTGACAATAGCGATTCCCACGAGCACATCAAAATGGCCGAAAAGCCCAACATCGAGACCAGCTTGAAGTTTCTTTGAAGCTGCTGCTGTTTGTTCCTTTCACGCAATAAGTCAGCGACATTCACTTAGCGGCAGTAGATAGACCAACATTCTCGCCATATCACGCATGTCAGCGGCGTTTCCACCTCGAGTGGCCTGCCATGCTACCTCTCTCGAAGGCTTATCTTCCGCCATCGGTGCCCAGTTCGAGTCCGAGTTGCCTGTGGCAGTGAAAGTGGAGGGGTGAGACTTGTGTGGGCTGTAGACACTGTCTTCATTGCTAGACATTGGCAAAGGATGACTGTCGACGAGGATATAACAAGCACTCGATCCAACCGGTTCAAACTCAGATCAGGGCATACCGGCAACGTGTGCTGTGGTATAAGGGAAGTTGGGACTTGGGCGTGCGCGGCTGAAGTCCATGTCCGTGCAGGATCGTGGATAACACATCCATGGATCTTGCCGGGTGATTCTGAAATCCGCCATTAAAGTTAAAGACAGCCTACCGGTAGCCGAGAAGATCCCCACCCTTCAAAAGTCTTCCCTGCATCTGCATCCGTGCTAGCACAGTAGAGAGCCATGCCACCCTGTGCTGTGCCGTGTAGGATGCTCGGTTCTACCACTTTTCCTGGGAGAGGAGAGCCACAGACCTTCGCCTCGGCCATGAAGCAAGTACCTGTTGGTCATACTATGTTATCACATTCGAGAGCCCTCTTCCAGGTCCCTTCTCGACCGACGTCCAGATCGATATCAACATCATCATCATCTGCCGTTGAGATGCTAAACCCAAGGTGTAGTCCGCTACAATTTCGGCACCAGACCATGCTGGCACCTGTTAATAATTGTGCTCGTGCCGCACCATGTTTGTGTCCGCCGGGAAGCCTACCCGAAGCGCCCTAGCACAAGCATTAGATGTCGATAGCGCCCTGCATGCTGCGTGATTCAAGCTTGCATAACCTCTAATTGGCCCAACATGACCAGGTGGAGCCGGCAAGCAACGCACCCGCCCAGAAGTTGCATACATTTAGCCTGGTCCTGTAGGAAACGTGCCGAAGCCGAACTTGCGCGCAAGCTTTCTCTCGTCTACCGTATCTGTACACCAACGCTGTACAACATCTTCTAAACAAGTTACCCATCTGGCCACAGTCTTGCTTGCCGTMAGCCGAGATGCCCTCGGAATGATCATGATCCAAGTCGTCTGCCTTTGAAATGGTCCGTGACGAACTTTTGCCTCCGTTGGCGAGGGTCACCGATCAGGATCAACGAGGAGTCCTGTGGATTATTGCAACAATATGTYTGTTGTTTATGACCCTCACCTTCGCCGCCCGAGTCTTTGTGCGATGGATGCGGTTTCAACCAGATGATTATGCGATTTCCGCTGCCTGCTTGCTGGTCGTGGCTCAGACGGGCGTATCATTCGCGGCTGTCGGTTTGGGCCTTGGAACTACAACAACCACGCTCGAAGATGGCAGTATTCAGACCATCTGGCGAGTAAGTCCTTCTCGCAAATCTCCGAAATCGTCCACCTGCTCACACCCACCCAGCTCGTCCTTGCCAGTGAGGTCTTGTTCATCTTGGCCATCTTCACAGCAAAGGGAGCTGTGCTGCTCACGATAAGAAAGATCTTGCCACCAAATATGACCTTGAGAATTGCTTTCACATATACGATCATGGTCGTGGGAGCGCTCTGTTTGGCCTCCGTGCTCGCCGTAACCATCAACTGTGATAGCCGTAGCCTCTTTGCAGAGGAAGAGCGTCGCTGTCATCAGGTAAGCGATGTTTCGAGTGTTCAAAAGAGACCAAGATTAACAGTTACAAAGTGGCCTCGGTGGACCGGCGTCGCTATTGCAGACTCTGCGACAGACATATGGGCGTTTGGTCTCTTCTGCTGGGTCATATGGCCGCTCCAGATGCGCGTCGGCTACAAAATCACTTCTACGGCACTGCTAGGTCTTCGACTCATGTAAGTCCACGGAGGATTAAGCAACTCAGCGGATGCTAATATGCGTGATAGATGTATAGCTTTTACCGGCGTGCATGCGCACTACGTTGCCGTCTTTGAGCGAAGCACCAAGCCTTCTGTGGACGTTATAACCCCACTGGTCTGGCAACAGCTGGCTCTCACCTATTCACTACTTTCGGCCATGTCAATCGCCCTCAGACCTTTCTTCCGCGACTTCGTAAGTGTTCCTCTTCGATTGTTACGTCGCATTCAGCTGACATGAGCGGCAGCACTCTGGGATGGGTATGGATGTCGGGCATCTCAACGAAGACAAGTACGGGAAAGGCAGTACCATACAAGACAGCGGGGCATTTCAGATGAACAACCTACCCTCCAAGCAGCAGAAGTCAGAGGACAAGAACACAGCACCTGCGCAAGACGGCGACAGCGATCACGAACTTGTCGACACCTGTGAAAGGTACCGTGGGACGAAGGGTGATACGCACTACGAGGCCGCCATCTTCCAAGGTGATCGAAAGCCAAGCAGCGGCGGCGGCGGCGTTAGCCCCCATGATTTCATCCGGYGCGACGTAGAATATGTCGTTAGTTATGACAAAGCATGAATGTACAGAGTTCCGTCAACCCCTTGTTGAAGTGTGTCTGGAGTTGTTTCATGAGTAGCGGTACGGATTTTTGACTTTCTGCAACGACAGCCACATTTGCGCCTCGAGACCAAGATCCGCTGAGCGGGGAAGCTTTCGAGTATACATCAACGCTGGCTTTGATGATCAGCGTGCGAAGGGCGCTCTCATCGTCATCGCAAAGAAGCCAGACCGCTTGAATACCTGTATGAGTATGCAAAATCGCTGACCTCTTGCTTTGCTTTATGGCTTGGCGTGACGGAGCTATATGGATTGAGCTGCATATATTTTGCCGCCGCTGGTCTGGCTGGCACCTTCCAATTTTTGCAGCTACAAGTGCGGGGTTAGGGTTAGGATAGACCATTTACATTAATCGAGTCTCTCGTCTTTGGTACTAATCTAGAACGACACAACTACCACTTACACTCTCCTGTCTGAGTGCCGCGGAAAGAAGAAAAAAATGTCGTACAACATCCCAACGCAAGAGACTCCCAAGCCGCCTGGCCAGGTCCGGCCATACCCTGCTCCCACTTCGACTGGAAAAGTGGAATTCACAGTACCAAAGACTGGAGAGAAGACAACGACCATATATCGCATTTGGGGCCAGGTGACTCCTGAGTCGACACCACTTGTWTGCCTTCACGGCGGACCTGGGATGTTGCACAGTACGTCACCTACAGCACGAACATTTTCGTCCAAGGTCTGGTGAAATTGAAGGTTGCCGCCCTCCCAGTAGCAGTTGAAGATGTTGTCGTTGTGTTTTCGGAGAGAGAGCATTTTTCGATGGGATATCTTATCCTTCGTAGCGTTGTCGTTGAGTCGCTATATGGAGAGCCGGCAATCTTCATCTTCACCAGGCCTTGGTCAATGGAACAGCTTTTGCTAACGTGCGCCCAGACTACATTCTTCCCATCAGCTTGATCTACGCAGACTATGGAATTCCAGTCATCATGTGGGACCATCTGGGCTGCGGCGACAACACTCATCTCAAACACCACGCCGGAGATACATCCTTCTGGACATTCGCTCTTCACATTGCCGAACTGGAGAACCTCAAACGCCACCTCAATATCCAAGACTTCTATCTTCTTGGCCAGAGCTGTGGCGGCATGGAAGCAGTAGAGTATGCAGTTGATCACCAACCCAAGGGCCTCAAGAAATTGATCATCTCCAACTCTCCTGCTGCGATGCCAACTTGGAGCAAAGCGTGCAATGGGCTGAGAGCTGCTTTACCACAAGATGTGCAAGACGCTCTGGWCAAGCACGAAAAGGAAGGCACAACGGTACGCAAAAACACGACTATAACTCGCCTTTGTTTGCCGCATTGCTAACGTCTTTTGCAGGGTACGTTTGACGACACCAATAGCCACATACATTTAGCACAGTCACTAATAATACCCTTCTTTACCCAGCATCGAAAGAGTACGAAGAAGCAACCATTGCTTTCTACCGCCGTCATCTTTGCCGTGTTGATCCATTTCCGCCAGAAATCGAGGCAAGCCTGGCTGGCGTGGCTGCGGATCCAACGGTGTACAACACGATGAACGGCCCGAGTGAGTTTACTGTTGTGGGAACTGTAAAGGACTGGGACTATACTCCCAAGTTGCATACCTTGACAAATGAGAGTATCCCTGGCGGTGTCTTGTTGATCAATGGAAAGTACGACGAAGCGCAGGATGAAGTTGTGTGGCCGTTTTTCCACAACATTGCGGCGAGGACGAAGTGGATTACATTCCCATTAAGCTCGCATACTCCTTTCTTGGAGGAGACAGAGGCTTACATCAAGGCTCTTGGCGAGTTCTTGCAGGCTAAGTAGGACTTTTCGTGGAGTGAATCGACGATGATGCTTGCGGGCAGGTAGTTACAGGCACAAAAAGAAGATTTCTAACGGAGAGCTCCACGTTCTCGGATCATGTCTTGCTAAGGGTTGCATTGTTATTGCAGAAAGCACAGCATTCCGGGTCTAACCAGTGCGGCATACTTCTGTTTCACCGCCCCTTGCACGCCCGGATCGATGGGTGGAGAGCAGTAAGTTGGAGCTCGGTCTCGATTACTTCCACCGGAGATAGCAGAGCCGTATTATCAGTTGAAGCTCACTCTCGTCATCGGAATAGGAGGCACCATTTTCAGCTTGGCAAAGTCCTGGAAGGTATCGAGCATCGCCTCTGAAGAATCAACAAAGCCATGCCATCCAAGCTTTCGGCTCTTGTCCATGCTATGTTATCATCAGCATAAGGAGATTCTCTTTTAATATCAATTAGCACATACCTGAAAAGAAGCGGAGCTGCTCTGCACAGCGTTCCATCCAGGAACCCAAACACCCTATCAACATCTTCTAGAAGTCCGTCCCTGAGTGCGTATTCTTCCGCCAGTTCCTTCCAGGCCTTCTGAACTTTTTCCGTTTTCGCCCAATCGACAGTGCGGAATTTCCTCCTTGTGATGCCCTTCGGTCCATATCCTCTGGGAAGAAACCTCGACTCAACTTCCTCATACACATCGCCATCTTCAGGTCCTCTCGCCTCAATCCCAAACCAACCCGCAATTCTCGGCCAAGCTTTCTCCCAAGTAAAAGCCGAGTTGTCGCAAGTATTGTACTTCTGATCTCTAGGTCCTAGCAATACAGCCCATTCTTCCTGATAGGCATTCAACTGCGCAGAAGACATGGATTGCGGCATTTGCCAGGAACTGATATCCCCAGGGAACACTAGCGCTTGATCCAGCTTTTTCGCGACAGAGGCATAAACTGCGAGAGGGAATGCACAGTTCATCGCTGCATTAGGGACAGCACCGACGATTGGGCCCGGCATATGGATGTTCCAGCCGCAGCCGGTCTCTTTGCACCAGGCGAATAAGAGGTCCTCCTGGAAATAATAGAAATTATCCTCATCGGGAACCCTTGGATCGGTCTCTTCTTGTGGAAGTCTCGTGGGTCCGAGATGACCTCCGTAGTTCTTGGCCCCTGTCTGGAGCATGAACCGTTTTGGGGTAATGGAGGCCTTTTTCATCGCTTCGAGGAAGTTGCAGAGGAGCTTGGAATTGACGTCGACTAGATCTTGGGCGTTGGTCCACAAGCCTGCCCCGGGTTTGGGAGTTGGCTGAATGTAACTGAAGAAGAATACGTAGTCTGCTTGGACTCGGTTGTTTTTCAATGTCTGAGTGATCTCCGAGGGTTCTTTGAGAAAGTCCAATGGTATGTGTTCAACGTGATTGGGAAGACCGCCTTCGACGAGAGGAGGTCTACGACTAAGGCATACAATTCGTCTCCATCTTTTGGGATCTGCAGATAGAACTCTGAGCATATAACTGCCACTTATGCCATTTGCTCCGGTGATCACCGCCGTCAACCCAGAATGTTCGTCCGGGTAGACAGGCAGGCCATGGAAGATGCCTTGATTTCGGATTTGTTGTAGCGGCATGACAGTGAATCAATCGATGGTAGGTTGCCGCGTGAAGTGGGAGGTCTGTTGGAGTGTACCCGTTGTTCAAGAGACAACATCTCAAGCGGGGTTGCCAGGTGCCGACAAGCGAATAATGGAGCTTCACACAGAGCTTCCTACTCTGCGGGTTCGTCATCGTCCATGCCATTTCCGTTTCTACTTAGAGGATTTACGACGAGTTGAAGTGGCCCAGGAACTGACGCTTGTCATGATACTGTATTTCAGGTGACGTTGTTCATCCTAGAACAGACCAGCCTGACCAATCGTCTTTCCGCCACAAGCCAGTCAATTTTCGAATATGCCGCTTGTTGTTCGACTGCGAATGCATGACTGCGACCAAAGATTTTCGTAAACGCTTGTGTGGTCGACTTTCCTCAACGTCTCCATCAGGACGGTGTCTTTTGGCGTTTGCGACCCCCAACGTGATAGGGTCGGGTCTGTTGAGGACTCGACTCCTACGCTGAAGCGAAGCCAGTCCGGATCCCTGCACGGATGACCTTCTTGAAGAGCGCGAATTTCTGACAGCGTTCTGTGGTGGTATTACAGTGGTCGAAAGCTGGAGGTTATGCCTACTGTACGTCGAGGAGAGATGTACACTGTTCAAGCTTGCAACGGCATTTCGGATCATTGCCAGGTTATGATCCCGCTGTGACTGTGATACTGGCGGTGCTGCTACCACTGCCCATCCAGAGGGCACATCCTCGCTTCCATCGCGTAGAGACCGAATCACGTCCTGGAATCGAGGCGATACTACCGCCGCTTGGCTGTGATCCGCCGCGGCATCGAGAATGATGTCCCTCGAATCTTCGATCTCGGGCTGCGTGTGCTCTGTTGATAATGTCAGGCCAGGCGGCACATCTGCCTTTGATGATCTGGGTGCGGCTGCCGAAGTCTCGATGCTTCCATAACCCGTTCCGTCGGAGCTGCTGTCCTTTCCCGGTTTAGGAGACCGAAAAGCCAGGCTGATATGTTGATGGCTACCCGACTCAGTGCCCTTGCGCTTCTTTACACCTTTCAGCGCCGTCTCTTCTGCATGGCGTCGCTTGGTCCCCAACGAAGCGCCTGGTGCAGGTGCTAGTAAGTTCTTGGATGTGTTGACGGTGGACGGATTCTCAACCGTGTCGATCTCGCTGGCTTTTGATCCTGCGACACCCATGATTTTGAAGAAACGGTATTTTTCTCAGTAAGTGGGGAGGCGTGTAGGGTGCGAGCGCATCCACGCCTACTGTCTCGATGATGTCTCAAGTCATTTGCGCCGAACAAAGACAGACAGCACACATATCATGGTCTAACAAACAGATCTCAGGAGCACTGCTCGCATGTCTTCGAACGCAAAATTCCGAATGCAGAGTCGAGTTGATGTTGACGTAGGCGCACGATCTTGTCCAGCTGAAAAATTAAGCGAGAACCTGCGTCGGCAGAATGCGTGCGCGAGATGCTGTTAGATTGAGAACGCGCATGATTATCGGATGGCGGCGTGATTTGCGCAGGGAGTTGCATGAGAGTTTCCTGATGACTGTCGCGTGAAACAGTAGCGAAATGAAAGTGAATTGGAAAGGAGAAGGCCGATGTTCCCATCATCATGGCATCAACCGACAACTGTCCGCTGTACGTCTCTGTAGAGCGCGCTGTGAGCACGTCAAACTCATCCCTTCTCATCGGTCGTCCGTGCTGCAGCTCGGGGGGTTACAGTGCGATTTGCTGGAGCTACGAAGGCCATGCCATACGAATCATTGCCTGCGTGGATGGGAAAGAATAATGTCCGAAGTTGTAGTGACAACAGGCGACCGGTTGGCGATGATCTTCGTGGAGGTTGCACGTGCATGTGCAGAGCCGCTCGTCATTGCCACGCGCTGCCAGATCCGCCACGGGACCGGCGGTCACGATATCGGATGGCGGCAATGTCTTGCGCATTGCACACATGGGGAGAAGGTGTTGTTTGGTCAGATGTGTCGTGCCAAAAGGTTGCGGTATTTGTGAGGCTATAATTAGGGCAGGAACGGAACCTAGAAATTCGAATCGGAAGTGCCACGCATGGACCCTGAGGGAAGAGTTAGTTTCTGGGGAAGATCTTGACAGCGAAGCCTCCTGAAACTCGACTCGGCCTTCAAACTTCGCGCTCTCAAACACACACTGCGCTCCTGAAGTTGACATTGACACTGACTCTCATCTCTGCCAAGGTCTTGTACTCCACCGCAGGACTGCCCCACCTTCGCTCATACCGCCAATAGCGACCACGACCGCAACTTGCACCAGCTCACCAAAACACTCATACCCCCAGCACCATGAAGGGTAAGGACTTGGAGACTACAATTGCCTTGTGCCAATGCTTACAACAATGCAGCTTTAATCCTCGTCGGCGGCTTCGGCACACGTCTGCGCCCTCTCACCCTCACTCTCCCCAAGCCCCTGGTGGAGTTTGGCAACCGGCCCATGATTCTCCATCAGATCGAAGCGCTCGCTGCTGCTGGTGTCACGGACATTGTACTTGCCGTCAACTACCGCCCCGAGATGATGACGGCCGCGCTGAAGAAGTACGAGGAGATCTACAACGTCAAGATTGAGTACTCGGTCGAGACGGAGCCACTGGGTACTGCAGGACCTCTCAAGCTCGCGGAGCGGATATTGGGCAAGGACGACACACCTTTCTTCGTCCTCAACTCCGATGTCATCTGCGATTTCCCCTTCAACGAGCTGGCAAAGTTCCACAAGGCGCACGGCCAGGAAGGCACTATTGTGGTCACAAAGGTCGAGGAGCCGTCCAAGTACGGAGTTGTCGTGCACAAGCCTGACCACCCATCGCGCATTGATCGCTTCGTTGAGAAGCCCGTCGAGTTTGTTGGCAACCGCATCAACGCCGGAATCTACATCCTCAATCCATCAGTGCTTAGCCGCATTGAACTCCGTCCGACCTCGATCGAGCAGGAGACCTTCCCCGCTATTGTCAAAGATGGCCAATTGCACTCCTTCGACCTCGAGGGCTTCTGGATGGACGTTGGTCAGCCGAAGGACTTCCTCAGCGGCACATGTCTCTACCTCTCGTCCTTGACCAAGAAAGGCAGCAAGCTACTCACATCCACCTCCGAGCCCTATGTACACGGTGGAAACGTCATGATTGACCCTTCGGCAACAATTGGAAAGAACTGCAAGATCGGACCCAATGTCACCATTGGACCCAACGTGGTCATCGGAGATGGTGTCCGACTCCAGCGATGTGTGCTTTTGGCCGGTAGCAAGGTGAAGGAGCATGCATGGATCAAGAGCACGATTGTCGGATGGAACAGCACAGTTGGTCGCTGGGCACGGATGGAGAATGTTTCCGTGCTTGGCGACGACGTGAGCATTGGCGACGAGATCTACTGCAATGGCGCCTCGGTGTTGCCTCACAAGAGCATCAAAGCCAACGTCGACAGTAAGTCTAAATTTCCTTCCCCATGGGAATTGGAGCTAACACAAAGACCCTCTCAGCTCCGGCGATCATCATGTAAAACCTTCCACATGCTTTCCCGGCTTCGTTCCGAACTCAGAGCACACAGTTCAGGACACGGCTCCGCAGGCTTTGGATTGGCGACTGAAGGGCACCATGGACTGTGTGGGCGTTCATGGCGTAACTGGGCGCCACATGCGGCCAGGACTGCAGCCCAACTTGCCGAAATTGTACGAGAGTGCGCGCCGCAGAGCCAGATTATCAGAAGACATCAGATWTGGGTGATGGGTCATTGGTTGAGTTGTGCGATGTTGAAAACGCACACTTTTATTGTCGTCTAGCGCGCTGTCCACACCGGTTGAAACGAAGATGAGCCCGTGAAATCACGGCAAAAGATTTCCATGCATGATGAGCTTTGAACACGAAGGGTCCATAGGAATTACCTACCTTAATTGCACGGGCATGCGGTGGATCACACCGTCCGTCGTGCAGCTCGCTCTCACAAATCATTCCTGCAAGCACATCCCCCTCGCGCTTCATTCCGCGTTCCTCGCGAGAAACCGGGCCCACGCAATTGGCCGAGGACCGTGCATTCTCGATCCTCCCGTCACACCATTCATGCATTCACCGGGCCCAATCACAAACCTTCCGTCATCAGCCCTATTTCGCGTTGGCCTGTGTGTGATTCAAGCTCCTGAACTGGTATGGCCAGATCTGGACGCCGCGCCTCCCCGTGCGCAATGCGCCTCCTCACTAAACCGCGCGTGGTGCTGGTTGGTGTGTTTAAACCTTGCTCGAAGAACAAGGAACAAGGAACGCTTGATGCGAGCGGACAGCGAAAGCTAACAATCGGAGATGGTGCTGATGCTGGGACGAGGTGATGGCTTGTTGCTTCTCGGCCGTCTGTTTCCGCCGCCGTCTGCCTCCTGCCGCCTCTCCTACCTAGGCCTAAAATAACAAGCGAAATCCCAGCGCCTTGAACCCTCAGCTGCAGGTGCATCTCCCTCGCATAGGTACATATGCAACGCGGCCGGGCGCTGTCCACTATAACACGCGAGCGCCCTCTCCGGACTTCTCCCACTCACCTGTCCTGTCCATTCATCCCTATTGCTGCACGCTTTCATCAACACCGATGCGTGATGTACCCATTTGCGTTACTGCCTCTGCTACAGCCGCATCGTCAGCATACTGCATCGCYCGACAACAATGGCCACAGCTACTACAATGGACAATTCGCTTTGCCTCTGCTTTCCGTGTCTGATTTTTTACTTGGGTGGCAAGCATTCCCAATCGACTTCTCACAAGTTGTACAACATTATTAACACTTTCCATAGGCTACATTCCCTCCAGATCCGAGGACCAATTCTACCCCACTCTCGAAAACAAAGGATTCTCMGCTAGCGACAAGAAGGCCATTGCAGAGGAGTGGTATTGGGTGTCTTTTGAACGAGAAACCGCCGTGAAAGACTATCTCGAGGGATATGTGACTTTTACCGATGGTTGTTGGTGGAGGCCACCACCTCGACCACCGATGCGAGCACCACCTTCGCAACTACCACAACATCCTCCTGGGGATTCATCTCGACGACGTCCGGGAAGCAGAGCACGGCGAGCATCATCAGTGGCATCTACGGAAGCTTCTTCTTCCTCTGGTCCTAGTGTGTGATGGTTTTGGGACATGGGTGACTTACTGGCGCCAATGTGCAATGAAAGCGGAACCCAGCTGTCAAGACAGCAATGTTACAGTCACGTCGCTATTCGATGCCACCGCGCTTTACGCCGAGCTTCAGCATATCGATCGGGCGTTGACAGCAACCATGCTCCGCAATGACACTGGAACGACTCCACTCCCACTCACCACCGTGGCATCTCCACTTCTACAATGGACGCCCTTGGATGTACAACAAAAGTTTGCTCATCCCTTGCCGGCAGCATTGCACTCCTCTGCCTCACAGGCGCTCTCCACTCGGGACTTACTCATGGACACCTGTCACACCCCTGCTCTTCCAGGAACAAGACTCTCTTCACGGAACAAGGGTCATACCTTGCGGCACAATTCCCCGCCACGAATCGGCACACATTCCTTGACCTCTCTGGTATCCATCCGACGGGACCACACTGGCCACCACACTGTCGGGAGGCCGCGCTATGCAGAGCGACCACCGGGATTTTAGGGGCGGTGTAACGATCGATAAAAGGCATCCAATTCATGTACGCGCGATGAAAAATGTTGGGAATGCAGGTCAGTTTACAAACCTGTGGACGTAGAGAAGCATGCCCTTGCTTGGTCGCAAAACCCACATGCTGATCAGTGATCACTGGCCCCGCCAAGCATTTGAGACTCGGTGGGCGTTTGGATAGCAAAATATTGGCAGCGGGGTGCGTGGTGCAGCATGCAAGGCTAGAGCTTGGTTGCATGCGGTGTTTTCTTTAGCGTCAAGGGAGAGGGATTTCCAAGTTCTATCCAATGATTAACCCCCTGTTCATGGCCGGCTGTACGTTGACGAGCTCTCCACTCCGCCTTGATTCGGCCTTTGGCAGGCTGTCCGTTTCGTAGGTAGATCTTGTACGGTATACGACCACGAATGAGGGATGATTGGGTTGTGGAAAATTCCTCTACTTCTATTGCTTCATGCAACGATGCTCTTCAGTCTTACTGTGATGTCGTCTTGACGTTTCAATACTTAGCTTTATCGTGCGTTTGGTTGGGCCAATCGGGCTTAAGTGGTTGCGTCAACGATGCAATGCAAGAAGATGAGCAGCAAGAGCTCCGACGGGGGGAGATGTGGCCGCCTTTTGCGCTCCCGAACTTTGGTGCAACATGGACCAAAAGTCTACTATACATGCATAGTTATGCAGGGATTCCAGCAGGTCTGTAGAAGGGCCGCAGCGCCGCAGAGCCCTCTGTCAAGCTGACATGTCGGGGAAGTCGGAGGCGCGGGTACTTTTGTTTGGGATAAGGTATGGTGCAGTCAAGCTCCTGTTTGGACCTCTCGTCGTTAGTAGGTAGGATCTTGGTGGTTTCTGGCACGGCGGTTGTAAGGCCCAGGGTTGAGTGGATGCGTTTCATACAGGTACCGCATATCATTTTCCATGATATTTCCCTGTCTTCTCCCAAGCTGCGCGGCAAATACGGACCTGCGAAGCTCGCGGTGGATATCTGGTGGATCCATGGGCACGAGAAATTGTCAGCCTGCAGTCATACCCGGGACTGCGCGCGCATGTACATACACGAATCTTGCGGAGTCTACGGATGCCTGGCCCATGGTCAAGGGAGTGCTGTTGCATGAAGTGTTGTAGGCGAACCTGGCGACGCTGCATGATCGATGATGCACCCTACATGCCTTAGTGTTGCCCGCATGTGGAGAGCTCTGCAAGAAAAGAGCAGGGATCTTGTCTTGTTGGCGTGATGCGCTCGAAGACTACGCTGCACAGTGGTGGGTATAATTGAAGGCAAAGCCTGGAAAGAGTGATGTGCAATTTCCACGTGCAGTTCGCGTTAGCATGAGAGAAAGCGCGCTCCACATTATTGGAATACTCGCGAGCCGCTTTGTCGGGATGCTGAGAGGTACATATGTCGCTGGTGTTGGGATGTTGAGTCTGTCATGTGGTGGGCAGTTGTGAGAATGTTGCGCCGTCGCTCATATTTGAACTTCGAGCTTGATAATAATAACTCTTCCATCAGCATGAACAGGTACATGTAGCGGTTGTAAAGGCCGTCCTGCAAGACTTGGACGGCTTGTCCTTGTACTAGAGTGATCCATATCCATACAAACCATAAGGTAGTCCGCCTAAGGGAAGCACCGTGAATCCCTGTCAATAGTGTTGGACCAATCCGAATCGCAGCGCATGTCGAATGTGGTAGCGAAGTGGACGATAGTGGACTCCTCATTGGCCTAAAGCCATTGTCATCGTCTCGCGTTCTTGTTGGGGCTTCCCTTGTATTGGTAGATATCGATGATGCCCAAGTGAGAGAGCTGAAGCTGGCAAGCTCGAGATTCATCTTCAGGTTCGGCTGAGCCCGCGCCTTGACATCAACAGTCCAGACATCAAGACTTCAATCATCTTAGTCTGTCGAACATCCAGAACGGAGAGTATGGATATCATAATACAAAATTTCATCAGAACATCGTTTGGGTGGTGAAGATGAGTGAGGATCTGAAATGATAGTCGAGCAGGAACATACCTAATTGAAGATCCATGTCTTCGGATCTAGCGCAACGCCAACTGGCTTCACCTGCTCCGAAGCTCACCCTGATCACCAGCATTGGTCACTTTCCCAGGTCATTTCCTCGTCCAGCAGTCCACAATTGCTTCCAATTTTCAATGGAGGATTTCGCCAGACATCCTCGTAGATAACAGGGCGCCCGCTGTACTTTGCACCCATGGATTCTGCCGATTCCATCCCCAACGAAGTGTGGGAAACGCTGGACAGAGCTGCGAGCACGCCCTGGTTGCTATGGCTGGCTTTGGGAGGTGCCGTCGTGGTTGCATCAACGCTTTTGGTATGGACTCTATGCACTCCAGACGATCTAGTTAGAGCTACGACTGACAAGTAATCTACAAGCTTTACATCCTCCTCTACCTCTTTGCTCCCACACCACGACCCTCTCGAAAGTCTGAGCAACATTACATCACCGTAAACGAGCATGGCTCTATATCCGGTCCAAAAGCCTTGCCATGCTGGTATGATAACCACGTGGCTCTCAAAGATATGGTCCGCAAAAAGCAGATCCCCGTGGAGGAATCCTTTCAAATCACCGATGCGGAAGTGTTCATGTCTCTGGTGATCCCGGCATACAACGAGCAAGATCGACTGAGTGGAATGTTGGAAGAAGCAGTGGAGTACTTGGAGGAGCAATATGGTCATCATGGAACCAAGAGCAAGAGCAGCAGCAATGGAAAGCTAMAGGCCAGTGGCATGCAGGGTGATCCGAGGCGAGGGTGGGAGATTATCCTCGTGAGCGATGGCTCAAAGGATAAGACCGTTGAAGTCGCCCTCAACTTTRCTCGAACACATCAGCTGGGCAAGCCTCCGCCAACTCCCAAAGGACCGTGGAATGGCAATGGTACCTCCCGACCGACCACCATCACGCCTGGGGCGATTAGGGTCGTGAGCTTAGAGGAGAATAGAGGGAAAGGTGGCGCGGTCACCCATGGCATGCGGCATGCAAGAGGAACCTACGTTGTCTTTGCGGATGCAGATGGTGCAAGTAGATTCACCGACCTGGGCAAGCTAGTGACGGCGTGTGAAAAAGCAAAAGACGAGCGCGGTCGAGCTGTGGGTGTGGGTTCGCGCGCTCATATGGTCGGTACAGAGGCCGTTGTCCAGGTACGCATGTAGTCTCATCATCCCTCCTTCAGCACCACTAACATCATCTCCAGCGTTCTGCTCTACGCAACCTCCTGATGCGGGCCTTTCATCTTGGGATCTGGCTACTCACAACACCGCGTGTTGCTCAGATCAGAGATACACAGTGTGGCTTCAAGCTGTTCTCACGGCCTGCGCTGCCGTACATTGTGCCATACATGCACTCTGAAGGCTGGATCTTCGATGTCGAGATGTTGATGCTGGCCGAGAGCGCCAATATTCCCATGGTGGAGGTGGCGATTGGATGGAAGGAGGTCGTGGGATCGAAGTTGAATGTCATCAAAGACAGCATAGGCATGGCGGTGGGCCTCGCGCTGCTGAGGGTCGCTTGGGGTGTAGGAGTGTACAGGCGAGATTAGCAATACCAACACCGTATCGCTGTGAGGAGGGGTCCAGCGGGGCGCGCCCGCATTGGAGGAGGTGAGTCCGTGACCTTTGCAGATTCGGGAGGGGCCGTGTTGGTGAGGTCGCTGTTTGTTCGCTTCGTTTCTTGCTCTGGCTTCTTCTCTCTTTGACACCAACACACAGCACGTCAGAACTGCAGAAATGACAGCAACTGACAACCGCAGCAGCATCGAAGACTCCTGGGAAGCCATCGGCCTCTCGCCGTCTCCGTCCACCATGAGCCTCACGTCAAGGTGATGATGTTCTCTGCCGTGCGATTCTAGAGCTTCCTCACTGACCAATCTCGTAGCGACACCGTCGACCACGACACCCCCAACAACAGCGACGGCTTCACCGATGGCGGCCTCAGCGACATCGACAACAGTGACGGATTCACCGACGGCGGCCTCAGCGACATCGACACCATTGAAGCACACAGCGAGGATGAAACTGAAGATGATCGCAATGCATTTACCATCTACTCCACCCCAGGCGGCGTTCCTCCACGGTGAGCTCGCTCTACATAATCGTCCATCAAACTTGCTAATGCTTCTGCAGTGGTAGCTTCAGCACTGAGATCATCGAGGTGATGGTGGGTGCCGAAGACATGGCTGTCACCTACAAGGTATTGTGTCCTGCACCAATGAGTCATTCCCGTACTGACTTCCGGTGTCCAGGTCCACGTGGGCGTCCTCACCTTCTACTCCAAGTATTTCAAGATCCAACTCGAAGGCGGTGTCCAGTCTGGCCGTGGCCGCCGTGCTGCCCTCAAGCTCAAGCTGCCCTTCGCGTCCGCCCGTACGATCGAGGTGTTTGTCCACTGGATGTACACCCGCGACGTCCCAGAAGGCAACTCACGCGACACCTCCTCATCCACCGGCAAGCTGTGCACGCGTGTCTTGTGCGAGCTCTGGGTCTTCGGAAACATCTACGTGATCCCACAGCTGCAGAACGACATGGTGACCAAGATCGTTGAGAGGGTGATGGTAAGCAAGAGTTTCGATACATCATTACGTGAGCGTTGCTGACCATACATGTGTGTATCTAGCACAGTGTGTGGAAAGACTCCAACATGCACGCCGAGTACGTCTACACTCATGCCGACAAGACCGAGTTGAAGGAGTTGGTGATGGACCTCATCACCTTCAGCCTCAGCGTCAAGAAGCGCACGGTCTACAAGTACAGCTGGATGCAGGAGCATGAGGAGGGCCTGTCTGAGACCACGGTGGTGAAGACCCACAAGCTCACGGACCTCGCGAAGTGGGATCTCCGCCCATATCACGTGTAGAGAAGCTCTTTACACTACTGCAAGGGCCAGAGAAAGTGCGAGAGTGGCTTGAAGTGACTGAATAGAGAGTGTGTCAGAAGTCAATAAGGTAGCAATCAAAGAAAATGAGTGAGTTGCTATGAGTTCCATCGTTTTCGACGTTTTGACACATTTCGAGAAGGAATTGTAGGTTGTAGAAACGGTCTTTTTTCTCGGCAGAGGTCGGTTCCTCCACCAGAGTTTCCTTTCTCTCGCGACCGACTCTACTACTCTAGAGGTACTTATGCCGCCAGAGAGACAAGATTGAGTCGAAAGCAGGCCGGAGAACTCATAGGTAACTCGGCGTCTTGGGCGCATATTTCAAGCGAGAAGACCTCACGCCAGAGTGAGATATAGGTCGTAAGTCTCGATGTTTTCTGCTTTCTGCGTTGAGAAATATTCCGCAAGGATATATTGTTCAAATATCGCCATCCTGAACTCAAGTCTCTCGTTTTTTTTTTTCGAGCGACACTACTGATGATAAGGATGCTCGTAGTACTTGAATCCTCGACTCTGTCGAGAGTCGAGAGGTCTTAATAGGTCGGCGTAGATTTATAAATCTGCTGTGTTTAGAAATGTCTCGTTATATAGCTCTCGCGAGAAGAGTTTTAACTACGAAACGCCCCTTTTCTAGACCTCTCTATAAATTTTAAACCGACTTTGCTAAGGAGAAGGATTCTAGTAGGTATAAACAGCGTCGTTATCTTAGAGAGAGTATATTAAAACAGGTAAGGGCGGACCTTAATATCTTATAAAAAATTACTTCGAGAGGACTTTACTCGAAGCGGTCTATAAAAGAATCGCCCCCTATTCTTAGATTTCTCGATTTACTACTAATAGAGCTCTACTAAAGCGGAGGATTCTAGAAGTCTTAATTACGCTGATTCTACGTAGAGTACTTTTGTTCAATAGGGGCGAACTCTACGATTTTCTAAGATTTATGTATAGAAGAGAAGAAAGTATTCGTAAGGAGAATAACCTAAACATTGGGTTTCAGCCTACTACTTTATATATCTCTCCTTCTTTGTCTGATAGTCTAGCCTAAGTAGGAAGAAGTGTCTTAGACGCTTCAAAGGCAGCGACTCCGTCGAGAGCACATTTAGGAAGATAGGGGCGGAACTTGATATATTGTAAATTGCACGCATGGTAAAAGCAACGAGAAAAAAAGACATCGCCGCGAGATATCTTCAGGAAGAACGCCCTTCGCCCAGGGTATCTCTACAAGCACAAAAGAGGATAAGCTAATGGAGTGGGATGTAAAGGTATCAATATCAACGACTACATCGAGAGTGTGCAATGTTGGAAAAAAAGGGGATAGCTATTCCGTCTATCTCGCACGTGAAAGAATTAATCAATCAATCAATCAATACCAACCTCATTCCAATCCTTGACCCGTAATCCCTGTTTCGGCGCCTCAATGATATTACTAAATCTCCCTGCTCTGCCATTTCCTGAATACGGCACTGAAAGACCGTCCTTATTCCTCTTCGCTGTGGTGTGTTTCCGCAACTTCTTTCGAGCAACCATAACAGGTACAGAGCTCTTCGTCACCAGATAGTTTGAGAAACTTCCCAACAATACACCTTTGACTGCGCTCCTTCCTCTCGAGCCAATAATGACAAGTGTGGGCGAGAGAAAATCGATGACCTCGGTGATCATGTGTCGAGGTGATTTGCAGTGAAAGACCTCGACGACAACACGGACCTGTAAACGCGTCTTCCTCAGCAGACGTACGCAGCGCTCCGTGACTCCTTCTAGGCCCTTCCGACGTTCCGTCTCCGCAGCTGAATAGACACCTCGACTTCTGCTTCGTTCTGCGCCACGCGCGAGAGGAGATGATACGGATTGGGTGTGGTTGATGGCAGGCAGACCTTTCACAATCGATGCAGTGTCTTTGACACTGTCCGCTCCATGACCAATCTCAACGCCGCCTTCACCGCTYATAACGGACTCTTCATCAGCGGCATACACCGCGAACAAGGTATCCCCATCTCTCAATACGGTACCAATCGTCCATTCCAGTGCGTACTCTGCTTCCGGCGACATGTCTGTGGCTACAAGATACATACGCTGTCGTTTCCTTCCATCCTCAGCTTCGCGCTGGAAATGTTCAAAGTCGCCACGGATGATCTGACGAATGACTCTATGCGCGGATGGCGTGGAATGGATAGCAGACATTGATAGCGTGAGTTTCTGCGCCGCTCTCAACTCAACTTGACTCTCATCGTCTGAGTGCATGGGACTAGATGCACCAGAGGGAGCAGCGTCAAATGCAGTCGAGGGATGAACTCGGCGCCGACCTCCAGATCTTGACCTGGAGGGTCTCAGTTTGGGATCCGCCWGGAAAGACAGCTTGCTTTGACCTTTGGTCGGATCGGGCTTGACTCCGCCTGCAAACTCAATCACGCTTCCTCGCTMGGAATCTTCGCTATCTTCGCGCACGTTTGTCGCTTTTCCGGAAGTGGTTCGACCGGGTTCGGGTCGTTTCCTACCGCGACCTCGTTGGCTGTCATCTCCATCCGTGTCGTTGTCATTGTCGGCATCGGCGTCACTGTCGCTGTCATTGTGGCGATCCTCGGGCCCAGGCTCCGGATCCTCTTGAAGTCGCACACCGCCATCATCGCTCAAATGTCTGCTGTGGTGACTCTCAGGCACAGGGCTACCCGTCGCGCTGCGATCACCTGCAGTGGCCGAAGGCGCTGGTGATTTTGGCCTGCGCGGATCATTCGGTCCCAGATCTCCGGGAAGTGATGCACCCGGCGCAGGCGACTTCGGTCTCCTGGGATCTTTGGGTCCAATATCGCCTGGTAGTCGTATCTTGGAGGTGCCATAAACGGAGGACATGGCAGTTCTCCGTCGTTCTGGAAGTGGATTTCCTAGCCGATCTGTCCGCGGTCGAGCAGAATAATAGTCCCGGCTAGGGCTCTTGCTATCCTCTGGAGGTGATACAGGGGGTGATACTGCAGGCGATTCCACGCCGGATGATGCTGTAGCTCTATCTGTGCCTTGAGCCGACGATGAGGCCGCAGAATTGTTGTTTGCCGCGTCGGCTTCATCAACGACCACGCGATTAGGCTGGATCTCGCTTTCACCCTCGTGCGCCATACTTCGGGAATGCTGAATACTCGGTAGTAAAACGGAAAGTTCAATGTTATCAATGGGCGTCGGGGCAACTGCCGGCAAACGACGAAGAGGTGACGGAGGTGCAGTTGTTTTCGGTCAATATAAGGCAGGTCTAGCGAGCCGAATTCTTGGCATGCAGACGCCGTCGTCATCATACATTATCCCCAAGCATTCACATGCTCATCGATGATGAGGCAACTCATTGAAGCGGCCTTGGTCAGAATAAGTTACCATGTTGTTGAGATACAGGCTACACAAGGTTCGATACTAAGATCTCAACTTTACTTGCTGCCTGCGAAGGTTCATTTGCCAACGGTCGCAAGTCTAGATGCGACAGTGACCCGTTTGATGCAGCCCACAGCTTGCTTCTGACGAGGCTTGATTTTGAAGCAGCCCATCACTGATCAGCCCTTGTGGTCTGTAAACGCTAACATGTTTCGACGCACACAGTGATTAGACCGGATCATCCATTGATCCGAAAGCTGCAACAGTGCCTGATGCGTGAATAGCGGCTCATAGCAACCAACTGTGGATGTGCTGAGATCCGCTTTTGGCAATATGCGATTCAGGTTCGCCCGATATGAAAAGATGAGGGTGAGAATGCAGCGCTCCGAGGAAGAGCGATGATGTGAAGCAGCATTTGCAATCAACCTCGTACCGCGATATCCATCTTGCCCTACAATTTCGTATCTCCATAGGGTGGGTTAGACACTGATTCGCCCAACGATTGTTTGTTGTCAGAGACCCCTGCTACCGAATCGTCTCCGGTAATCACGTTTCATCGCTTTGGGAACCATGGATCTGGACTACTCGCGCGCTCAGCGCTTGTGCAAGAATTCACAGGAGGGCGCCGGACCGTTGGTGAGGCGGTGGAATCACTTGGTCTTTGTGACACTGGTGTTGCCCAAGGCAGATGATCCGCGAGCGTACCCGCAGAAGCCTGTGAATATGCCGGGGTACCTGACGGCTTCTCGTGTGCCGTCCACGGCAGTCGATTGCCACCGGGAGTGAAACTGGTAGGATCGGTATCGTATGGAGCGGCGCCTTCGTAGACACAGTCCAGCGCGCCCAGTCCGCCTTTGATGCAAGCCGTACACGGTTGGCCTTCATCGCACTGTATGGTAGGTCAGAATGGATCAATGTCTATTGGTCGGTGCTTCACCAACCTTTCGTTTCCCACTCCGGCACCGCTCGCAGCTTGTCCTCGCTCGCCTTTGTCTCTGCATCAGTTCATATCCAGTGGTAATGGCGGGACTTTGACCCTCGCCCTGGTACATTGTAGCGGTTGGAGCATACGTCGTCACTGGTAGACCAGCCGGGGCTGAATTGCCGACAGGTTTTAGAGTGGTGAAAAGGCCCTGCGCTTTTGGATGACTGCCAGCCGGCTGCCCTGATACCTTTTGTTTGAATGGCGGCTTGTGCTGTGTCTGCGCCTGCTGGAGCTGCGTCGGGGCAGCGATGTGCGTAGAAGGTGTGTGGTTCTTTGATGGTGGGTATGGAGGCTGATACGGCGCGGGATAACCGATGTTCGCTCCATTTTGCTGCCGATTGTTGAGAGGTGGCGGTGGTATCTGCCACGAAGGTAAATCGTATGCTATCGGCGCTGGCATGTGAGATGGGTCCTGTCTGCTAGATAACTCGCCCACTGCGGGTGTCTTTGCGCTCTCACTCTGCGATAGAAGCTCCATAAGAGAAAGTGGCTTGTCGGGAGGACTCCTTGGGACGGGAGGACTCCTTGGGAGGGGAGGGGCTGATTCACGCTTTCGCTTCAGAGGACGGCCAATGTTCGAGGACTCCGGGCGATCTACCATGGCGAGCGCAGAGCTAGCATAGTTCTCGGCCTGCAGCGTAGCCAACAGCCCGCCGCTGGGCTCTGCCACCAGACTGCTGTCGACAACCTGTGGTAGCAGTGCACCTCTACTCACGAATGGGCGTCGCACTGCAGGCGCGCGCGGCATTTGGGCTCGTTCAGCCACGGTTGGGTGTATAGCGTAATGTCTATAGTAAACATCACAGCGCTGCTTGGAGGTGCTGAACTTGATGCTAACGCTGCCCTTGCAATCATAGGTCGGCTTCCTGGGCCCTCTGCTGCCGACATCCCCTTTCAAATGCTTGATGGTGCGTGGGTAGCCGTTGGCATGTCTATCTTTATTCTGCATGCTRTCCTGACATATGTAGCTGAACCGCGATCCCTCGCCATCTTTGGCATTCCACGCGTTGTTGAAGCTGTAGCGGAAGCCATCGGCCGCTTCAATCGCTTGCATGACACCCCGAGATGCAGCGCGTTGCACAATGGCTGCCTGTTGGGCGTCGGCGACATTGACGATGTGGCCTATAGAGGCACGAGGCGTTTGAAGCCTGGAGGGGATCCCGCTCTCATCGTTGTTGTGCTCCAACCCATTCTCCACCGCTTGCATTTGCTTGAACTCGAGCGGGAGGTCCTGTTCGCCGCCGTCGGCATATGGCCCTACGCCCGGTCGCACCAGCTCCAACACCGCGCCAGCGGACAGGCACAGCTCCAGTGTTGTACATTGCGGCTCATCGCCCTCTGTGGCGGCAGCGTTCTCAGTCCGCAGGGCCTCGGCGAGCGCATCGAGTGTATCGTAAGCGCCGATAGACGATCGGATTCCGATCCCTCCGGGACGATCAAAGGCGGTCCCTGCCCGCGATCCGAATGATACACGCGACGACGACATGGCGGCTCATCACTCGCGCATTAGTGGACCGACAAGAAATGTTGGACTGCAAAGACTGAAGTTGGCATGCACGGGAAGTCGAACATCCTCATCTGCTCGGGCCTTCGGAAGCGTGCCCTAAAGAGACTCTAACCTGAATGGGATCTAATGTCGCCAGGAATTCCCTCCGCTCGGACTGGCCCGCCATCCCGTTGATGCACCATTCGTCACCATTATTAAATAAGACAGTGCAGGTGCATGCAGGTCAACGGATCACATATACATGGGTACCTATATCCATCCCAGCATATCGATGCAACGATGGCAGCGCGAGCCCAGCATCCTCGGTGAATCTCGCCGCATCGCTACCTAAGCTTTGCCCCACACATCCTGGCATTTGTGGGGCTCTAATCAACCTGCCAACTTCCAAGKGACGTGCGGTGCGCTGCCTAATAAGACACTATAGTAGCACTGAGTATATCACATATCATACCTTTTCGCCATCGCGTCTGGAAGCTCCCTCGGCAACGCGGGCGCGATCCGAAGTCCGGACATAGGTATCTTCCGCTGCATTTTGGCGGGGAAATTGGCGTAACAGGCGCGAACGACGATCTGCCGCCATCAAACCTACACACTACATGCCGGATTTCTGAAGCCGCGGCAGCAGCAAGCGTTTGAAGATACCAGGTACCTTAGGTAGGTGCTTCACGAATCGCCATCTGCCGCCTGCCACAGCAGCTTGCCAAGCAAGACCCACGAATGTCAGTCATGACAGCCAACAACCCGAAACGAACGCGTCGGTGTCGTGGTCGTGTGCCTCTGCACCCTGCGAATGCCATCACATTGGAGCCGATAGTTCATCGTCTCAGAGCTTCTCGAGAAAGTGGGCCTAGGTGGCGCAATGTCCGTGCCATTTCGCACATAAAAATCTCCGGGTTTCGTCAGCATCCCAACATCGCATCGATTGGACGATGGTGTGATCACCACGGTTTGACTTTCCGCCTGGTCCTCGTGCTAACGTTGTCGGGTATCTGMAGGTAAATGGACCGTAGACTGGATCACGAGAGGTGCACTGCGACTGCGAGAACGCAGCAAATGTTGCCGAGAGATGAGGTCTCGGAAATTTATGAGTGGCACAGGGTATATGATACGAGGCTCCAGGAAAGCCATGTATCAGACGGGCCCCGAAACGCAGGCCGGCATTGTTTACCATCCTGTTTATCTGACTCGGGACACTACTGGTCCTTGACCAAGTGAAGATTATGAAGAACGTCCTGCAGCAGCTGTTTTCCAGTTGGAAGAAACACACTCCGGCCTTTGAAAAGCCTACGAAAGAAACCGCTGCTTCCATTGCGGACTCTGGCTATCAAGCCGCTTCATCCACCTCTGGAAGGACTACGAAAGAAGCAGCTGCTTCCATTGCGGATTCTGGCTATCAAGCCGCGTCGTCCGTCTCTGGAAGGACTGCGGGTAACCGCAGCACATACATATCGGACTTTCATACCAACTCGTCGACGTGCGGAAGCCTTGCGAAGCAACGCGTTGATTCGATCTATAGCCTATCGTGTATCGATTCAGATCACGTCACATCGTCAATCTGCGGAAGAACCGTGGGAAGCCGCAACTCATTCCATGAATCCACATCATCGACGTTGAAAAGGGCTTCGGAGCAAGTCAGCATGTTCGATTTCGGCAATTCGGTATACAGTCCATCCATCTGCGGAGGAAATGCAGAAGAAGATAGCAGGCCGGATCACCAACTTGTATCGTCAACATTGGAAAGAGGCGCAGAGAAAGTCAGCTTGTATACTATCAACGAAGACGGCCAATCGAATGCTCCGGTTGATATCATTCTCTTCTGCGATACCGATGCTTCCCTTTTCAAGGCCATTGTAAAGCACCATTCGTCGGAACTGGACGGGACGATCGCGAACGAGCTTGGATATCTCAACTTGCATCACCGACGAAGAACTGAATGCGGGTTGGTCCTCAACTACTTGGAATTCGAGTACTTCAGTAACACCGATGGAAGATTTTATCGTATAACCCGCTTCGATACATTGGAGGATGCTGCTCGGTTCTTGCTTTCGGAACCATACAAGGAAAGAGGCGCAGTACTGGTCTGCCCGGCTCGTGATTGTTCAAGCAGCTGCAAAGCTGACGGTGAAGTCAAGACCGAAATGGCTGTCATGGMGAAGGCGCTGATTCGACACACGCTCGGATTTAGTTGTGTCGCGGTGCTCTTCGATGAACCGTCAATCCTACAGACTCACGATGTTGGTCGCGCAGGATGGCAGGACAGATTGATGAACTTCTCCGGGAATGGTATCGTTGAGAAGGGCTTCGTAACACGAGTCGAGGGATCCTCGAAAGCAATGCTGGATGCCAGACGAGGACAACATCCAAAGCAAAATGCATGGTGGTGTCCGTCACCTGTGGAGCAACTCCAATCCATGCTTTCCTTCTTCCACTTCAGATTGCCACAACGCGATGTGTTCGACGAGGTTTATGCGAATGGCGAGCTCGTCAAGACTCGACACATCTCCAAAGTTCTCACTGCTCGCTTCTACTGCTTCAGTCTGCTAGAAGGTGGATCGTCAATCACTGCATTGACTGAGCTGAAGATCTCGATTGCCGGGAACGTGGTAGCTGAAGGCCACATTGTGGACTCCCCTGGTTCGGTCATTGAGCCGGGCAAGCTTTGTCCGGGTAATGTGCTCGTACTGTTACAGAGTGCCGTCCCTGCGGATTCGAGAGATCAATTCGTCGCCAGGAGAATGGACGGGACCAGTGTTGGAGTTGGGATTATCGTGAGCTGTAGCTGAAAGATGTGTCAGCACAGCGAAGGGCAGAAGGCATCCCACGCAGGTATTGAAAGAGAATGCCGACGACGACGACACCTCTCCGCATCTGTGAATTGCTGGGAGACCAGAGGTATGTTCTGCCGGCCCCGAATATCTGAGACACCGTTGACACTTTTGCCCTCGGCTTTTAGGCATATCCTCCGTGCTACAAACTCGGCAGGCTGACCACCATCTTCTCCAGCTGTTTCGTGTTCACCATTTCGGGCTTCAGCTCTCCCAGATTCCTAGCGCCGAGATACGCCATATTCGTCTGCATCTCCTTTCGCAGGATCTGGATCATCCTCCTGATTCCATTCCTACCATACCCAGACATGCTAAACAGTACGGGTCTCCCGATTCCCACCGCGGTGGCTCCCAAACACAGTGCTTTGAGCACGTCGGTTCCTCGTCGAACACCGCCATCAATAAATATCTGCATTCGATTGCCCATGATATGCGGCGCATACATCCGTACTTCGAGCAACGTCAAAAGAGGAGGCTGAGAAGTGTCTTGAGATCTGCCACCATGGTTCGATAACACGATACCATCTACACCGTGCTCATACGCCAGGACCGCGTCCTCGACGCACAGGATACCCTTGACCACGATTGGCAATCGGGTAATGGATCTCAACCACTTGATGATGTTCCAATCAATGTCAGCGTTGATGAAGGACGTGTTGGAAGCTGCGACTCCCGCGCTCTGGGAGCCCTCCACCACGCTCTCGAAGTTCTCATCGGCCTGTCATGGTCAGAACAAGACGGTCCCAGCGAGACGAATGAAAGGAGCACCTACCTCCATGTCAAGCGCTGCGCGTCTCTCATCCCTTTCCCTATTTCCAGTAACGGGCGAATCCACCGTCAAGAACAATGCCGATACACCGGCTTTCTCTACCCTTWRAACAAAAGCTCTCGATTTTTCCAAGTCAGAATTTACATACAATTGCCAGAAGACCGGCTKGTCTTTGGACACCCTCGCATCCATAATCTCCTCGATCGGCATGGACGAGACGGTATTCACGATTTGAATGACCCCTTCCCGGCCAGTGGCTGCAGCGATCGCACATTCGCCTTCAGGATGCACGAGCTTCCCGAGCCCTACAGGCGATGTATATATCGGGAGACTGGATCTCTGGCCGAGAATCGAGGTTGTCAAGTCGATGGATGGAACGCGACGTAGGATCCGGCCCCTAAGTAGAACACGCTGGTAGGCAAGAGCGTTGGCGTTCATGGTAAACTCGTCGTCTGCACCGGAGGAGACGTAGGCCCAGGCTAGAGGTGTCATGGTCACTTCTGCTGAGGCTTGAAAGTCGGCGAGATTGATCCTGGACCGGAGGGGTGGGAGACTTTCGATCGGCTGTTTTGCTGGTAAATCTGATTCGACAGACGGAAGGGTCGATGGATCTATCGTCCCAAGACGGCATGATGGATCTAGGCTAGAGTATGTCAAATCTTGGTATTAAAAGCGCGGGTCGACCTGCTTACGTTTCTCTTACTAGTGATGCATTGTGAAATGTCGAATACTGCTTTGTTGCATCTTGACCAGCGACTTTGAGAATCACATTGGCACCTCCGGGATGTTCAGACAGGAATTCAGTCACGTTCCAGACGACGCCATCGATGGCTAACCAGCAGGACTCTCGAGTGTTGTTCTGGATAAATAGATCGGCTGTGATGTTGGCCATGTTGATGGTCATCCAAGATTCCATTCAAGGTGTGCGCGAGCAGAGGTGCAGGTGGAGTGTCCAGCCACCTCCTCGAAGATATGTATGATCGCCTGACAGTGGATCTTGCCCGGCAGAACATGCATGTGGTCGGGATAAAGCACACCGGAGCCAGAAGTGGGGGGGTCATTTTTTGGGGGGGTCGGGTGTTGATCTTCCCCTCTCCCTTGTGCGGGAAAAGGCATCTATCGGCGAATGAAACTGAATCGGACATAGCATTGCTCCCTTCCRTCTTCATAGACATATCCAAGAGGCCACTCAACGACAATCTTATAACTACAAACCTCAACAAGACCTGACGAGAGCGAGGAGACGAGAGAGATTTCGTATCCTAGGAGACAGTATGACTACGGCAAAGCCTTCCCAGCAGATCAATGTACTTATCTTTGGGCTCGGAGCGTGAGAATAGTCTTGTCACCATCGCATGATTTCGAATGTACTTCTGACCCTTCTCAGCATCGGAAGCTTTTATGCTTTCATCCTGAGCAAGAATCAAAATGTCACACTCTCAGTGATCGCCAGGTCCAACTACGAAGCAGTAAAGCAGAACGGACTGCAAATTGAAAGCAAAACCCATGGCAATCATAACGTTCGCATAGGTCACGGTACAGTAGTCGTTCCCTCTCGATTCCGAGAAATCATTCACTTACCTTTTCGCTAGTTCTGAAATCGCCTTCCGAGGCTTCCGGCCCTTTTGAATTCATCATATGTGCTCACAAAGCCATCAACCCTGCTTCCGTTCCATCTCTATTTCAACASTTGACAACCGCTCGCACGACTTTCGTCATTATTCAAAATGGCGTGGGAAACGAAGATCCTTTTCGTGAGCTGTATCCCAACTCTTCCATCATCTCCTGCGTGACTTGGGTCGGGGCAGTCCAGAGCTCTCCAGGAGTGATCAACCACAATGGAAATGAAGATATGCAAATCGGTCTCTTCCCAAACCCTGAACCCGCACAAGATGAAGAACGACTAGATCTCTTCGCATCTCTCCTTCGCCACGGCGGCACAACCTTCCAAATCTCCCAAAACATTCAAAAGGAACGTTGGGGAAAAGTCGTCTGGAATGCAGCTTGGAATCCTCTGACGACATTGACAGCTGTACCCGTGCAGAACTGGCTCTCTTCTTCGAATGAATCTCTGAATGTGACGAGGCAGCTTATGCGGGAAGTGATTGATGTTGGGAAGAAATGCGGCGTACCATTGGGATACGAGCTTGTGGATCGGTTGATTGAGAAAGTGCTTGCTATGCCGTCGCCGATCTTCAGCAGTATGTACGTGGATTCGACAGAGGGGAGGGCTTTGGAGGTGGATGTCATACTGGGTACTCCGATGAAGAAGGCGAGAGAGTTTGGGATGGAGGTTCCTGTTTTGAGGACGATTTATGCTTTGACTATGGCTGTTAATCAGAGATTGGTGGCGAGTGTCTGAATCTAGACGGCGTGGCAATGAGGAGGATTTGGTTGGCCAAGACATATCGTACCCTATGTACTGATGTTTTTACCCAAGTAGTTGGACATGGAGTTACCGGAGCATGCATCAGAGTCAGTCACTCATTCCGGCATTACTTTTGAGGTCGCTAGGTCCGCTTCGCGGACGAAATCTCTGAAGGCATAGAAGAACATACTCAGAAGCCCGTATGCAGAATATTCGTAGTTGATACTTCGCACACTTCCGGGGTTCCTCTGTTCTCTCGAAAACAAGACTTCTCAATGCGTTGCCACTAATCTAGCATGCATAATTTGCCCGATTCCTGACCTACAGTCCCGAATCCACAGAGGACGTCGAGACCTTCTTTGTGCTGGCTTTTCGTGGATTTTGCGATTCGAAGATGTCATCGAGTTCCTCAAGTGTCCTTCCTTTGGTCTCGACGAAAAAGAAATAAATGAAGACGAACTCGAAGAGGTCCCAGAATACGAAGAAGACGTAGAACCAATAGCCAATCTGTAAAAGAATCGTCAGTCGTTTGGATAGACGGGACGAGAGCGGAGGATTGCTCTGAGGAACCTACATTCTTCAGTGCGACAGGAGCCGCGAATGTATTCACAAAACCCGCACATCCAGCGGTCAACTGGTATATTCCCATACCCTTCGCCCGCATATCGTTAGCAAGGACCTCGCCGGGATATATCGGCTGCATGGAAGTAAAGGCGAGTGCAAAGACCGAGCCGAAGATGTAGATGAAGGTGATGGAGGTAATGGATGTGACTTGGCTGCCAGTTTGTTCGAACCCTGCTGCGGTCCCGGCTGCGATGGCCAGACAGATGGCCATGCCGAGGGTGACTCCCAACAGCATCTTGCGACGACCAATAACATCGTGGAGTCGGGCTCCAATCATTGCTGGGATCCAGCCACCGACGGCATATATGATGTTGAGGAGAAGCTGGGTGCTTGGCTTTGTGATGCCTACGAAAGCTACGAGACTTGGAAGGTCTGTGACTGTGTCAGTTCAAGACTCACATGGCGCAGAGATGTGGTGTGGCTCGACTATAGGATGTGGACTCACAGTATGAAACGACGCTATCGGACCGTGGGTCAGTTGGTTGTCATCATGTATCGGAAGCAGTGACTTACTTGTTTCCAGAGAACTGTCCAAACCATGCAAAGGTCATGTTCAGCATCATACGATAACGCCTGGGTCCAGTCTTGAAGAGACCTGCTACATCAAAGTATGTCTTCCACGACATGACACCTGCTTCAGCCAGGGCTTGACGTGCTTCGGCAATCTCCAAATCTACAAGAGGATGATTGATCTGCCCGTCTGCATGGAGTTCTGCTGTTATCCTTCGCGCTTTCTCCACCTCATTCTTCGCGATCAAGTATCTTGGGGACTCAGGGCAAAGCCAGATGAAGAGAACTACGATACCTGGACAGACCATTTGTAGCCACAGCGCCAGTCTCCACGCGAGAATGTTTCCCATTGGACCCCATCGTCTTTCAGAAGCGTAGACGACTGATGTTGCGAGGATCGATCCCTACTGAACGTCAGCATGCCACTGGAATATAGCAGCAATGATTGTTACATACGAGGTAATACAGGGTGTTATACATTCCAGCCACTGTTCCGCGATACTGTGGAGGAGCTATCTCGATCAGATACAACGGAGCGGAAGTGGAAGCCAGCGTCGAGAAGAACGACAGGAGGAATCTCCCGCCTATGAAAGCCGGGATCGTCGTTGCAATGGAGGTGACGATAGTACCAATACACACTCCAAAGCATCCGACGAAGATCGGGAGACGTCTTCCACGCCAGTCCGCTATCCATGTGAAGAGCGCACCGGCCATCTGGCCAACATTGAAAATGGCAAAGACAAGGCCGGTCCCACTGTTACCTTCGGGAGGGAGGCCGTAGTAATCGATGTAGCTGGGAACAGCATTGATGGAGCCCATGAGCGATCCATCATAACCTGTGATGGGTCATTAGAAGGAGATGCTGCAAGGTCTTGAAATTGTCAAATACTCACCATTCATCGTCGAGCAAAGATACACTAGCAGACAGATTGCGTACAGTCGGAATGCACCACGGCTCCATGGACTCAGGGGATGTTTTTCGAGGATCGTCTTGAGAACTGCGTGGCGGTCGCTGTTGTTATCAAGGGCCGTCGCGAGATTCCTCGCTACATCTACGCTTTCGACATGTTCTGAGAATGGTTGTTCTTTCTCCATGGTGCGTGAAGTCAACAAGAGAAGAATATCGTCTGGATGCTTTGAAATAAACTCGCCGAACGATCGTGGTGCTGTGTATCTCCGGGATGCTAGCAACTGATGATCTAAATGCAAGGATGCCCCCGACCTTTACGCACCATTCGGGGAGCCAAAGCTGTCGTCTCAATGGAGCACGGATTACTGTCGAGAGTTTCAGGGTCTAGAAACCTGCAAGGGTAGGTGGRAAGTGCTCAAAGGCCTCCTCCTCTTCTTAGCGCTGTGTGTCACAAATCAACTTTCTAATCGGCTTTCCACGATCGCGTGCCCTCATCTCCGCAACGCAGCGACACAGATCCGCAGTAGATCAAACATTATGCATAAGTTGAGTGCGTGGCGTCCACGTGATAAATTACCCCGGATCTACCTCGACCCAGTCCGGAGCAACCAGCTCCGTGCTCTTTTCGGCTTCTTGCCAAACCTTGCTAGCGACAGATTGTGTACTTCCTAGGGTCAAGTTCTCAACCCTCGAAAGATCTTGGATGTCATTGAACTGATCAGCTAATATGGGCGCAGTGAACCGCCAGCAACACTCTAGATAGCACGCAGTTGCCCAATCGAGCTAGCGCCGGGTGATCCCTGTCAGCATGTCGAAGTGAATGTTGCACATGGTTGYCGAGCTTCTTGAACAAGACCAAGACGGCGTTTACAGCATTCAGAATGCAGATATTGGACGATATTCTCAAGTTCGGGATTTCTGGTGAAACGAGCACATGAAGACGTTTCCCTCAAGGATGGAGAGCTCATCGATCATTTCTGGATCACACTCCAAGGATCCGTTCGAACATTCTGTGCCAAACTTCGACTTGCGAGATATGCGAGAGTTTTGTGGCGGAGCTGCCATGGCTGTTCCAGCTCGAAAAGAATCGTGGGTTTAGGGCGCAGCATTGACGTCACGGTATGATATGGTATGAGTCTTCGTCTTGAAGCCCGGTATATCACAACGCATACCCACACCCACACGTAGTTTACTCGAGTCGTCAGATTCCTGCATTCAAAGGTCTGATTTTACCACAAGTGCAAGATGACAGACAACGCAGATCCCAGCTTAAATGCTTCGCAAGAAGACCATACGTCCGCGTTACTTCAACGCCAATCAGAAGCACTCTGCCGTTTTCTCTCCGACCCTAGCATATCGGCATCCGAAGCTGCACAAAACTTGACAGCACCGACTCTGGGAGCTCAACGCAAAGCAAAATCGAATCATGAAACCCTGTCTGACGGTTCAAAGTTGTGGAAGGATATCGCCAATGCCATTCGGAACCAAACAGATCAGAATGACCGACTCGTCGAACTTGTGCGAGAGATTCAGAAGATCTCCGACGATGACGATACGTTCAAATCCATGGCTGGATACCATATGTACTGGACAGAATTCGCCTATGATTTCAAAGTCCCTCGATCCGATGATGCAGACCGCGAAGCCCAGATGCAGGGCTGGGTGAACATGAATGCATTCTGTGCTAAGCTCTCCAGGAGTAGAGTGCCGGCGTTGGACGAACGTTCCCGTTCAGCATGGGTCATCAAAGAAGCGCTTGAGAAAACTCCCTGGGAGCAGACCTCGCATGCTGATTTGGAAGAAATGTTGGAAGATGATCCGGACGATGAAGTGGTGGCTGAAGAGGTTGCTTACGAGTACGAAATTAGAAAGATTACGGTCCTTGAATATTGGATTCCGGCGGCAGCAGCATGGATGAAGAATGACAGTCGGGGAATATATGAGATGGAGGGTAAGATCTCGATTGCTGATGATGAGGGTTGGTATCCAAGTAATTGGACTGGTCGTAGAGGTTGGTCGAAAGATCGCTTTGCTTTCTGGAAAGATCGATTCAGAACTATTAGCGATATCGAGGAATTGAGCGAGTCGACCAGGAGAGAGGCTGTGGATGCTGCTGAGTGTATGGAAGCGGTCATGAGAGGAAGTACGAGTTGATTCATGTCGCTCGTCCTGTTGGATTTCCTTGGATATATCGCAAGTAGACAGGACTACCGATCAGCCGATGCCATTTTCTTGAGACGAATGATGCTTTTCGATGGTTAATCCGGCTTATACACACCGCGCTGCATAGTACATATGCTTCTACTCTGACGTCAAACAATGAAAAGAGGCCGATAGTGTCTATGTAGGAAAGATTCCCATGCAGTGTACTCGTTAGCATTCCTCTGTCTCGTGTTGCCAAGATACACGTCATTCAATTCTCTTTTCCAACCACCACAAAGGCGAGAGAACATGGCACTTGCAACTTTTACAGCCATATATTTAGTGCGTATACGAGACTCCAGCATGGATCAGTCTCAACAATCGTGTTATGTATTGATGCAGTTGGATTCCAAGAAAGTAAAGACGCATAACCGTCCGAGGGAATGGATTGATTCGACAAAAGCCCTGTCCAACGACGAAAGACTGGACGGGATGTAAGATGTTTTCCCAGCTTTGCTGCTGTCGCTAGTTACAAGCGCTTTGTAGGCTGTCGAAATGCAGCATTCTGTTACGCCAAGCCGGATAAATATTGAGCCGGCGTACCAAAGTGAATTGAGCTTTTGGATTTACGTCATCGCAGGTAGAATCGTATCGGATGCGACAAGCTAGTCACAACAAGCCATCCGTGCGGTCTCTGACCACAACACGTCGCGAGGCGCCCGTTGTCTACACWAAAGCCTACCGACAAATCTCCTCAAAAACTCCGTGAAGACCATAGAGCACACACAAGCGTGACCCTATGTGCGCTAAAATTGGAGGGCTGTTAGCGTGATACGGAACAACTTTACATTGGCTGAACGGAACGGCAGTACTGAAACTTCACTTGGCTCATCCTCTAGATTTTACGTGGCTCACCGTTGATATTCCTCGCTTCCGGAAACTTGGTGACCGTGCATCGGCAGTGAGACTGCTTGACCGGGGTGTATCAATAGCGACCAAGAATCCAAGATGTCGTTACTGAGCACTAGGCCTACCATGGCGACTTTGGGCAGCACATGCTTGCAAGATCCTACGACTTGGGCCCGGGATGGCAATTCTCGTCTCGACCACGTGGGATTCCTTGACTTGCAGCACTCAATCGAAGTCGCTCGCATTGGGTCGTGTCTACTCCAGGCGATACGCTGCTTTGCCTATGAACTTCTACGTTTCGTATGCTAGCCCGACCTTGCGCACGCGGTCAAGGCACTCACATGGCGCGAGAAGCCGATCCCGTATCGAAAGTATACAGCGCGGCCATCTGCGGCAGTCATATGGCCTTTCCTCTTCTATCGAGACCCGAGGTTTCTCCTCRCTCATCGAGTATGGCGGATATGGTGTGAAGCACCTTATCGTGTCCGAGTTGCCAGGCACTAGAAGGCGGCAGAATGTCTTGCTTGAGCACTGACTGCCAATTGCCGCAGCGTCCTGAATGAAGACTGTGCTTTAGACTATTATAACTCAGATGATGCGACGAGACGACATAAGGTCGGGTTTCGCCTTGATGCTCTTCTTTCGGCTGTCTCAAGATGGATTCATCAACTTTTCGTAGCGCAGCGCATCGTGCCGTGGATTACAGTATGTACAGATGAGAGATGAGGAAAGTTCACATTGTTAACAGGATCATAGTCGCTGACTACTACGACCACGTCGCCGAGTTGCCGGTGAGATCTGATGTATCACCCGGATACCTGGTGGATCGTCTACCACGTGCTGCCCCTGAAACATCAGAAGAATGGTCATGTATCGAAGCGGACATTCACAACCTGATCGAGCCGGGACTGTGTCATTGGACCCATCCTGGCTTCATGGCATACTTTCCTGCATCGTCCACTTTTGAGGGTATTCTAGGGGAAATGTACAGTGCGGCGTTCAATAACCCTGCCTTTGACTGGGTMTGCTCCCCGGCTATCACTGAACTGGAACTCGCAATGGTAGATTGGGTTGCTGAGCTGCTACACCTTCCCGAGGCCTTCCGGAGCGGTCAAGACAAGAGTGGCGGCGGAGTCATCATGGGGAGCACCACCGAATGTTTGATCACAACAATGTGCTCGGCAAGGGACAAGGTTCTCGCAGGAGCAACTTCGAAAGAGGATCTCCGATCTAAACTCGTGGTAATCTCAGGCTCCGAAACACACATGTCCACGAAAAAAGCTGCCAATGTGGTTGGTGTCCGGCATCATAGCGTACATTGCGATCCTTCTGACGGCGTTGGCTTGACGGGTAGTCAGCTACAGGCCGCAGTGGATGAATGCTTAGCCAACGGCCTGATTCCTTTCTACGTCACTGTAAACTTCGGGACAACCAACTCCTGCGCCGTGGATGACTTTCGAACCATCGCGCAAGTGAAGGAACGCCATCCAGAGATCTGGATCCACGTAGACGCTGCGTATGCTGGGGCAGCACTTGCTTGTGAAGAATTCAGGTCGCTCGCGGACGGCATGGAAGAATTTGACAGCTTCAGCGTCAATATGGGAAAGTGGCTGCTCACAAACTTGGACTGCACGTAAGTGGCCTAGTGTACTGGTACCTATAGCGCGAGCCTCTACTGACGTCCACTTCCAGCATGTTGCTTGCAAGACAGCAGAGCAACATCACCGATAGCATGAAGAACAGCTGCACGATCGTGGAGAACGATGTGTCTCGAGCCCGTATCACGACCGACTTCAGAAACCTGCAGCYATCTATGGGACGACGGTTTCGCTCCCTGAAGATCTGGTTCGTGCTCCGCTCTTGGGGACAAGAAGGTATTCGACGCAACATCCGACACCATATCGAGATTGCAGCTGCTTTCACGGATTGGATACAATTACGACCCGATTTGTTTTCCTTTGCGACAAAGCCTCAGTTCGCTTTAAACGCCATTCGAGTCTCGGACGAAGCTGCTGATAGGCTTGGCATCGACGTAGATTCCGCGACGCTGAAGCTCTACCACGTTATCAACGCAYGCAAGGACATGTGGGTTTCGAAGACGGCGATTAATGGTTGCACCGCGATCCGTACTCTTGCTGCGAATCCCAAGTCTGATGTGGAATCCTTGCGATTCGTCTTTGATAGCCTGGTTGAAAGTCTTGAATCGCTGTTGAAGACTCCAGATAAGCTTGCCAGGAGCAACTTTATACACTCTTCAAACTAGCAATGGGAAATCAGTKATCAAATTCACCTGACACTTTGCAATAGTCTTGGCAGTTAGGAGATAGATGTGGCGCTTTGTGGGAAGATCCTCTGCTGTACTACGATCCGATGAGCTCCTGCAAGTGGACAGATCGAAATACAGGTCCTATTCCGGTATACTCATGTTCTAAAAGAGCAAAAGCCAAGTACTGTTTAACATTCGGCAGTCAGCGGGGTTTAGGCTTCAATGGCGCCGGGCTGGTTGAATCTGGCAACCTTGTTTCAACTCCTGCTCGAGAATGCCGAGGGTGTATAAGTCCTGGAAGCTCTATCAAATAACTTACCGCATAGCCCTCTGGTCATACTTTCAACAGTGGCAGCCCCTCTGACCTCGAATGTGCGAGCGCTTGCAAGGCTCATCTGGCCTTGTCAACAAACATGCTGAATGCGAGATCGATTTACATAATGATAGGCGTTGTCCATATACTGCGTCTCGCCGATCTGGGCACAGGCAGGATGATCATTGATGATGGCTCGCAAGCTATGTATGTGTGTTCAAAGTCAAAACGAGATCTCGCCCATCAAGCCCCCTCATGTGTCTCATTTCAGAAGCTTCGCCCGTTGTACAGTATGTGCAGATCTCCAGAAGTCTAAACCCGCCGCCTCGGCTCCGTTCAACAACCACTTGGATACTTAACCACAGAGCACGACACAGTTGACATCTGTGAATTCTGTACGATCAATCTTATTCATCAGCTATATCCTCTCACCTGAACATCTCTCATCTCGCTCAACACACTACCAAATCAAAATGCAGTTCCAAGTCATCGCCATCGCTCTGTTCGCCAGCCTCGTCGCCGCCCAGAGTGGCACCTGCTTCGACGACGGCGACTGCTTCTTCTCCGGCGGCAAATGCACTAAAGCCGATGGCCAAATCACCGGGTATGTCATGCAGCGATATGGACATTCTGCCATAGACCATCTAACGTCCCAATGAACACCAGTACCTGCAGCCCCAAGGACGGCACTCCTACCACCACCGGCGGCGCTGCCCCAACTGCGACTGGCGCGGTCTGCTTCGACGACGGTGACTGCATTCTGTCTGGTGGAAAGTGCGTCAAGACCGAGCTCCTTGGGTAAGTGTAGTCGCTTTGATGGTATGCCAGAAAGGGCAGGCAGAGTAGATCGCTAACAGCTCGAACAGTAAATGCTCAAAGTAAGCAACTCGTTTGATGTTATTTGGGAAGAGTTGAGGGCAATTCCGAGGTCGAGGATGTCCAGATAGATATGACAGGCATGATGTTTATATGTATGTATGTAAGCCAGGTCGAAATGGAACGCTTCGCAATGTCAACACCTCCATATGGATCCATCATAAGCCAGCTTCGGGTAGGGGCTCTCGCAGCATTGAGCATAGACATCACCGATGTAAGGCGGACGGCAGGGATCCTGTTTGATTGTTAGAACTCATCAGCAGTAGAAGCGACCATTACATAAATCATCGAAGAATGGCATCTTGCTGCCAACCTCCCTGTATTCGCGAACCCATTCCTTCTCTGGTAGATGTCGACGCCTGCACCAAGAACAGCGCGGCGTAGTTTGCTGCGGCACGCTGGCACCGCACGTACAATAGAACTGCACCCGTTAGCATGTCAATCCCAGATCAGGAGGTAGTTGACATCGCACATCTCGGGTAAATTGATGGTCATGCACAGATTTAGTCTCATCAGAATCGGCATCCAGAACCGTGTGATCGTGATAGTAATGACCAGAGAAATTTTGCTCTTCCCGCACGCATTTCCAACAGACCCAGCGCTTGTATACATCGCAATCACACAGCACGTTGAGGTACCGACCTTGAAGCTCCTGCTCGACCTCGGCGTCGCATTTCGGACAGAGGCAAATAATGTTCTCGCTCTCAAACGACGAGTTCAGATGCGGCCGGCGCTTTGGATAGTGTGAACGAGGTTCCTCACGAGGATAATAGCGGCATTCCTCGCAAATGCCGACATTGCACTTCTGACATGGAAGAGCGTTAGTCGAATCGCAGACCGTCTTCCAGAGTCGCACTTCAATCGGCTCGTCCTGCCACAGTTTCCGCGTATTTCCCCAGGTATACGCTCCTGGAATTATGCTGTAAGGTCCGGAGAAGTTGTGTCGTAAAGCTAGACCTCGGCCGTCGCACAGGCAGTTCCGCTTTAACGTGTCAAAGTTCCGCTCAATGGGCAAGCGGCACGCTTGGCTGGCCGTGGCAAGGTGATGGAGATCTAGAGTCGAGATGAAAGAGCTTAGGCTTGTGAGGATTGGATACTGTGACAGTAAATCTGACAAAGCATGCATCGTGGAGTGAACGGTTGAGAAGGAGAAGTGCTGGATAGTGAGACGGCGCTTGCAATCCTTGCCTTAGAGTCGTGAGGTCGATGTACTTCCCGAATCGTCTTTCACTAACTTGTGGAAGACTTCCTTCAAGTGAGTCAACGATGATGAGATGCCGTTGAGGGCGATGCAACTTGCAAGTGGGGGCGATTATGTCATGCCACGCTAATGCCGAATTAAGCCCGGCCGTTCTCAATATCCCCTGGCCGAAAATGCTTCCATGTATAGAACTCGCAGCATACCTCCTTGAATGAGATCAGATCAGATTGTACCATGATCAGACTTTTGCAGCATSCTGCTACCTTCTTGGTCAGAGGAAACTTCAAGATCACCTCGGGGACTGTCACGATATTCGCAGCATTGTTCTTAGCGACAGACTACTTCTGATCACGGCAGGAAAACGAGCATGTCCTCTCTATGGTCTGGCAGTGTGTGCTGGGAGGGCGTGATAACGCTGCCGAGCAATTGCTATGATTGTCGTAATGATGCTGATGGGACACCATGACTGGTCTCTTACCAATTCGGACACCTATCGGGAAACGTGGCTTATAAGTCCACAAGTAATGATTTCTGCCGAGTCTGACGCTACCCCTGAGCGGTCAATACTGAGCACAGCATCTAGCCTGCTGTTGTTCCGGAACCTGGTCGGATGCTTGCCGGAGAGCGAGCCATGCAGACAGCCATACGCTGAAACTTCGTCATATGCTACTCCCATCCGCGCCGAGCTTCGTCAGATGTGTGTTCGATCAACACTAGACAGCCCTCAGATGCTTCTCCGATCCTCGCCGTCTGCTAGACCACAGTCTTCGAGAAGATAGTCACCAAGGACCCTCTCAGTGCAGAAGAAGCACGATCGAAATTGAAGCCAACGTCAAGAGCGCGGCGCCGCAGTCCGGCTGCAGGGTGGCCGCAGCTCCGACATACGGGTAGCCGGTGACACTGAACTGAGAATCCGACTCGCGGGACGTCAAACTTATGCTCGAGTTGGCATCGTGCAGTCTAGCAATGAAACCATAGTCGTCGCTGGTYGTCAAGATGACTGTGGTGGAAGCCAATGCATCACGCTTGTTGGTCGGAACCCAAGTGTATTGGCAGTCTTCAATGGAGATGTTCTGGGCGATGGCGTAGCAGAAGTGGTTGCCCTCGAAGGAATCGCCTACGAACGAGAGGTCGACCTGGGAGGCATCCTTGTCGCGTCCGTAGGTCCACTGGATTTCGATGGCCGAGGCGGAGAGATTCAGCGCTGTGCCTGCAGCGGGTGAAATGATGTTGAAGGCAGCGACGATGGACGCCGCGAGCACGATCCAGAGGGCGAACATGCTTGAGGTGAGCATGTTGATTCTTGCCTGTGAAGTGATGGCTGTCAGTCGATTGGTGACGGAAGCAAGTGATGCGGCCAACGTACCTGAATAGCGGCTTCTAAATCACAACAGCTTCGATGATGTTGATGTTTGTGATTGTTGGTAGCAAGGTGAAAGGTCGCGGCAGTCAGTGAGAAGTTGTCGCTGTACTGTGAGATGGTTGCTACGGTGGTTGTTGATGGTTGCTACTACACAGCGCTGTAGAACAGGACATTCATTGGCTGCCGACCAAATCTAGGGGCGGAAACCGGGCCGAACTCTATTTCTTCCAGCGCTCGATACCATCTACCAAATCCACCGGTAAAGCAACCTCCCATTAGCCGGGATGATGGAATGGCGACCCTCACCAGAAACCTCTTCAGAAGCAAGTCACCCAAATTCTCAAGCGTAGTCCTGGTGGCACATGTTCTGTCGGTATGTTCAAGACGCATTGCATCACTTGGACTGCTAGTGCCAATGCCGACTATGGCTACTGTAGTGTATCAGAAAGCTGTCCGTGTAACATCTTCATTCACCGCAACTTGAGGACTCGCATCTTGTAATCGCACCAAACAAGTGTCAGTATTTTCAGCCTTACGGTCTCCGTGGCTCGATCTGCCGTAGCAAAAATCAATACCCATCATGTCAAGAACAATGCTCCGGCTGGAGGACCGCCTTGCGGGACATGAGGCGGTGGCTTGGCTAAATCCTAATTCTTAGACGATCACGGTGCATTGAGAATGGAGATGGGAATCCGAGAGCGGGCAGGAGTCGCAGGTTTCCGGTCGTTGGAGCGCTAGGCCAAGCGAGGCATATATGAAGCTTGAATTTTGACATTGAAAATGAGCGCGTTGATTCGGCTTCGCCTACCCTCTACATCTGTCTGCGACAAGCAACTAATGCTAGAGATGATGAAATGAGGGGGTTTGCGTCTTTCGATGGGGATCTCGTCGACAAGACTTGACATAGCCTGCTACGTTTAATTCACCCAACGAACTCGTAGCGCTGTCCTGTCCGCATGCCATAATGAGCACAACATCGCCTGCTGAACCGGACAGAACAAGTATTAGAAAGATCCACATTCAACACTCGATAATACATAGCTATAGGTATCCTAGGTCAAGTAATGCCTTCACTCATCTCCCATCGTTGCAGGGATGCTGTTGCGCCGGATAAACTTTTGTCCGCTCGGGGGTTGGACATGACCTGACTCGCATCTCTCCACTACGAGATGACATGGCTCACCCAACACATGCTTGMTGGAATGGTGAAATTGAGATCCAGGATTAATAAGAACAGACAATGGAAGGAAGAGCGAGACGGAAGAGCGAGATGTAATCAAAAGCGATGTCTTGTCTCGCTTCAAGAGAGAAGCTGTGCCACGTGGACCGTTCTCAAAACGGTCGTAAACATGTGTCAAAAGTCTAAAATGACCTACCAAGGCCGGCTTGGCAAATCTTCCACTCGGCCATGGTCAGATACTCGGAAGCATGGCTATTAGGATCCATCATGAGGCACAGCTCGTAAAGACAGCCCGATCTAGGGATACGAAGCGCTGCTACGGCTAGGTGGAATTAGACTTCTCCATCGGATCCGGTGGACAGTCAATTGGTCTTTCTGTTGGAAAAAAGACACAGACTCAGTTCGCAGATCAAAGTATTGTAATCCGGGCCAAGTCAGCAAGTGCAAGGGAGGCTCTACTACACGTACAAACCGAATCAATACCAAGGCCAAAGGCCTGCAGAAGAAACACTCTCATAATAGTCTGTGACCTAGCTACTGTAAGACTCTATATTGACTGTTCTTCCCAATGATACCGGCATCTTCAATGCACCTCAATCATGCCCATGACTTCTATCGCGTTTAGCAGAAAACACCTATGAGCCAACCCATCCCTATCCATCACTACCACCCTGAAACAGCAGCAGCCAGCCCCAATCTCACTCCAATGCAACAAATCTTCCCCATTAACTGCTTCTCCTCGTCCGAATCTCCACCATCCCCTCATCGTCACTACTTCCACTCCCACTACTGCTATCCTCCGCCTCGGGAATCTTGCTCTCTCCCTTTGGCAATCCGAAAACTTCCCTCCCATCATGAACTTCATCAACATCATCATCATCATAGTCATCATCAATAGAAACTCGACTCTTGGCCTCAGTGGTGCTCGGTCGTCTCCTCCTCCTCTGTTCCCCCTGTTCGAAATCTCCCTCCTCCCTCCCAATCGTATGATCTCTCCCCGCATCGCCCTCATCACTACTACCAAGCCCACCTTCCTCTTCATCAGAGCTATCCGAAGAACTGAACAGTCCAGTGACATGCCCCGCCGCTCCAGAACCGCCGCTGATAGATCGGAGACCTGTGATCTGCAATCCACTTGCCTGCAACATTTCCTGCTCGGTAGCGGTTCCGAGATCTACCATTCCATCGCCATCCTCGGGCATCATTGCGGCGGTTTCCACTGCTATGGCATCTGCGGCGTCTGGGTCTCCGCTTTCCACGGCCTGATTCTGCGAGCGTTGAGCTAGACGAGCCGCCAGAGTGCGGCGAGCGCGGGAAGGTGGGATGTTGAGTGGCGGTGGCTTCGTGTTGTCATCCGTGTTTGTCTACGGAGAAAAGATGTGTCAGCATGTATTTCAACGCCTTGTTGACAGGAATACCGGTACGATGCGATGGGATGCGAAGGGAGAAGACGAGTCGGAAGGGGATGACAGAGAAGTGAGACTAGGCGAGGAGGTGTCTTGATTCTGCGTGGAGTAACGTCGTCCATCTCCTCGCCTACACTATCTCTTGTGTTGTGTCGCATGCAATGTTGTACAGATCTTCCCGCCCTTTCCCGCAGTGTATGTTGTGTGTGAGAGATGTGTGCTGTGCTGTGTTGAAATGGTGCAGAGGTGGCGGGGTGGTAGGGAAGCCCTGGATCAGTTATGGCCCATGCTCCTCCTCACCCGCCAGGGTWTATGTGCAAGGATCATCGATAATCCATATCAACATCAAACGAAAGTTCACCGACCTGCTCATCATCATCCACACCTCCCGTCCTCCTCTCCTCTTCCTCCTCGTCATCTTCGTCATCGCCAAAGCCTCGCAATCCTCCTTCCCTCTCGATTTCGAACGTACTCTGTCCCACGGTACCCTCGGACAACGCCAGCGTGTCCTGTGGCGTCATACTACTTAGTCCCGCGCTCACTAGACCTCCTCCGCCGAAGCTCCCTCCACCTGCTCGAACTCCAATTGCCGTCKCTGGTCTCACGCCCCCAAGCACAGCGTTGTCACGATCTCGTGTCTCGGCTAGAATGCCCTCCACATATTCCGTCCACTCTGCTCTTGAGACTCTTTCACCGATGGCGGAGTCCAGCACTTCGGGCGATTGCCGATTGCCAAACTTGCACACTTCCTCTGCAAYCAGAGTCAAGTGACCCATGTAGCCGAGCCTCATGCCCCTTTCCTTCTGGCTGAGCTCGCTTGCCCTCTGACCATCCAGGATACGTGTTGTGATATCTCCTGTGTTGGCCAATCCTACGATCTCAGTACCATCAGAGGTCTCTTTGGGGACTGCTGTGAAGAGATCGAATGCCAGAGTTCGGTTGTATCCGCGGTCGAGTGTGCCGTTGAAGACCTGCTGCACGACATCATAGACGACGTTGTGGAGAAAGTTGTTCCACGGAAATCGGAAGAAGAAGTCGAGTATTGTGGGGACAACCTGATGCTCCACGAATCGAAGTTTAAGCAAATCGCCCACGACTGGGGAACCATCCAGCTCCGTGTCGTAAGGTGCGCGGTCTGTGTTCAATGTAGGAGACGGCGCTTGGAGTGTGGCGACGCTTTGCGAAACCTCGCCATCTTCTGACGTTGACGCCGCGTTCTCGTTGTGATCGCTTGATGAAAGCGCGGCGGCATCCTTCTTTGCCGCAAAGAGTGGTGCAGGCTTGTCCGCCGAACGCGCCAACTCCCTTTCCAACTCAGAAGGTGCGTTGTCGTCATCTTGAAAATCTGGCTCTTCACCAAACTCGCTCATTACTACATCTTCGTCTACAACATCCAGAGATTGTATCTTGCTGGTGACGCCAGCAGTAGTGGGTGAATCCGCTGCAGCTTCGGTTGGTGGTGGGTCAAAGTGGAGCGAAAGTTTGGTGGGAGACTTCTTGGGAGATAGAGGCGCAGGCATAGGTGCATCCTCGAGGTGAGCCTCCATTTGAGTCGGTTTCACCTTTTCAACCTTCTCAAGAAGAGGCAGACCACCGTGTGTCGTCCTGTCGATTTTATCGTCGATGTCGTCAAAGGTGACCTCTTCCTCATCTGCTCCCGGTGCATTGACCTTCTCGAAGCCCTCCTCGTCGCTGGCATTCTGAACTTCCAATCTGCGATCCTCTGCCTGCTCGTTCATCTCCTCCTGTGTAGGTCGCTCGGCGTGGTGGAATCCATGAGAGTCGACCGAGCTTCCAAACTCATCGAAATTGCTCCCATTCGCACCGGGACTACCAGGAGCTCTAGGAGTAGCAAGCTGGCCTTGCGCTTTGAGACGTTCCCGCTCAGCATCCCGTTTTCGCACCTCCTCATCCGCGCCACGCTCATTCAGTAATCCCATATTACTGCAGTGGAGCAACTCCGCCATCAGCTCACACGTCTTGAATCGATCAAACCCTAGAGGCTCAATCTTGCCGCCAAAAGCGGCTTTCAGGTCGGGCTTCTTGGCAGATTGCGAGCGGATGAGGTTCATGAAATCTGGCACGTGTGTTGCAAATTGTCGGAGAAGGGTGCCAAGATAGATTGGATCTGAGGTTTTGGGTTCAGGACCGACCTGATTGTCGAGGTCATAGTCGGAGTTGTTCTTGCGGATGACTTCGATGATAATGCCGACTCCTACAGTAAGAGGGTTGCCGCCCCGCAGCATGTCGGTGATTAAGGTGTGGATGCATTCTTCTGAGACGAGCTGGCGTGTGAGCTCATTGGGACCAATCACTGACTGGTCCTGTGTCGTGGCGTTTGCGGAGATTGTGATGATGGCTTTGAGAAAGTCACCAGCGGAAGTTTGTGTCGCGGAGCTCTGTTCTGGCGATAGGTAAGTGAGAAGCAGCGGGATGAGATTTTGACCTTGTAGCCAATCCACAATGCCCTGGCCGCCCTCACTCTTCTCCAACGAGATGATCTTCAGCAGGAGATCCATGACCATCGGGCAGTCCACATGCTGCAACATGGCAGGTATGATGCCGTCGAGGGATTTGAAGTGCGCCAACATGTCCTCTGTTTTCTTATCCAAGAGGGCCTCGTTGACTTTGGTGAAGTACGATGCTTGTGTGGGATCTAGCGGCGCGGGGCGACGAATGTACTGCCAGAACTCGCGCAAATGATCGCGCTGCTCAAGCACGGCCTCTGTAAGCGACCAGACCTCTGAAGAGAGGACTTCGCACGCGACATAGGCGTACTTTTTGCGCTGCGCTTCATTTCTTTCTGCCTCCGTCTCGCCATCCTTGTGCAAAGATTTGGAGCGATCGCGGTTCTTGCCTTTTCCAAAGAAAGATATGGGTGACTCGACGCTCTTTTCCTTCTCCCTCTCGCCTTCTTTGCTGGGCGTTGTGGGTGGCTGGCCCGTCTTCGCGGCTGCTATCGCATCCTCATCTGGCGTGTCGGCAATGACATAGTCGAGCAGCGTCTTCAACACCGGCTCGTCGCGCAGAAACTCAATCAGCTTGCTGTTTTGCTGCTTCAACTCCTGGATCAAATCGCTCTCATCCAGCAGCTCCTCGACAGTGACATCGGGCTTGTCGAGGATGCTGTCTAGCGAGGAGATGTTGGCATATCCTCCGAACCTCCAAAACATAGCTGCTGTCTATCGTCTTATCATGCGCAGGGAATGCGGGTGTCCGTCGTGGTGTCGTGTGTCGTGGTTCGCGTCAAGTTTTCATGGGGACATTCGTGTAAATAACCTTTGTGGTGATGGAGAAGTCCGGTCAGGTCAAGTGGACACGAAAGGGAATGATGTCGCGTGCCGCCGAGTAAGTGGCACTCGTGATCAAGGTGGAGAAGGGGAGTGGATGTTTCAAGATGTCGAGGTGTTCGATTCGGCCCTGCTGGGGATAGGGTCCCGCGCGGATATCGGAAGTCGGCCAACTCACTAGCGGCGCCCTGTCCGCTCCCACGTCCGATGTGGTCAAAGCAAGATATTGATTCAATCTTCATCAAATGATGCGAGCAAATGCGTCAAATGGATGCCAGGTGTGCATGTTGACATTCAGAATTTCATTCCCATAATGCATCCTCCTCTACCCAAGCCTAAAGTGGTATCATGCAATCTAAACAACTCCAGCGCGATGCTCCCAAAATCCCCGTAACCATAACTCATAAGCCATAACAGCCCCGTCATGGTGCCCTCGTCGTTGAACTCTCTCCCCCCCAGACCTCCCTCTCCTCCTCCCCAAGCCGTCTTTCTACCTCGCCCTGCAACTCATCCGTCTCCGGTGCCTCATACGCCGGAGGTGGTTCACTTGGAGCTTCTGTGTGAAGAGGCACCTCCAATGGTCTTGCCACGGGACTGACGAGTGGCTGATCACTGACCTCCGAGTAGACAGGCAGATCCTCCATACCTGCGACATGAACATTCGAATTCGCTCCGCTCGCTTGATCCCCATCCATTCCCGCGACCTCCACAGCCTGCAATAACCTTTCCCTCACCCTCTCATACGCCGTGTGGAAGTCAAATGCTCCTCCCTCTTTGAATGTCAACTTCAACTCCACCACTCCGCCACTAGGCGTTGGAATCCCGCCGCCTTGGACAGGCTGGAGGAGTGCTATCCAGGCATTTGGTCCGAAGAATGGAGCTGTTACGTGCGAATCGTGGAGGTTGAGGATTGGCGCGGCGAAAGACTGCACAGTCGCGGAAGGTTTGTCCGGGAGGTAGATGATGCGCCGATTTGTGAGATATACCGTTCCAGACGGATGGGTAAGGGAGTATGGTTGTTGTTGTTTGGCGGGATAGTGCGAGGGAATGCTGATGGACAGCGATATTCGTGGTGGTGAAGTGAGGACTGTGGTTTCCGAAGGTAGCGGCGTGTATGGTGTCTTGGATGCGGTAGGAGACAGGAGAACCCAACTAAGGRGATGTGAGCGTATGGCCGAGGAGTGAATTGTTTTCTTCATGCTGGAGGCGAAAGATGGCGTGGGACTTACTTGACGGACATGGCGGATGGTCGTTCCCTTATAGTTCGTCTTATTCCTTGAGCCGAGAGCAATTCAACGCCTCTGTCGCTGAGATGGCACAAATATTGGCTTGGCTTGGCTTGCTGCGAGTCAGGTCGAGATGCAGTTGGGATTGTGATGCATCGCATTTATCGCTCGTCACTTGCCCCACATCTCAAGTTTAAGCGCACCTGCCGCGAATCTTGGTCCGTGCTTTCCCCGCCTAGATTGTCAAAGACGCGTGCAGTTCTCGACTTCACTTCGACGTCTGTTGCACAAACCATCCATTCCATCAACCGCCGTTCGCGCTTTGTGCAACAATTCGGAGATCAAGCCGACAACCATGCCATCGGGGAGCGACCTCATACCAGATCTGGGGCAACAGGGAGAGAGACAGTATCTCTAACGTCCACAGCATGTCGCCTGCCTACGCATTCAATGATCATGTGCCGTTGACACCACGAGGCTGTCACTCTACAGCACCATCCGGAGCAGGATAGCGCTGCACAGCGCCCGTTTCGACCATGACGTTTCCTCAATGTACCGTGCCGTCAACTCCTGCGACTCATCATCAAGCATTTACATCACTTGTCGGAACTCAAGGCTGATGAGTACTGGAAATCCATTTCCAGCATTCCTTGCACGACTCATGTTGTCACGGTGTTTCCACCCGTCCAGAACGGAAGTCCTTGGTTTGAGCTCGCTATCAACTCTGTTGTCGRGAGGCTCGCTTCCCTGCCCTGAACGCAAGTTCTTGGTTTGAGCTCACAGTGCACTCTGCGATACCCGAGTGCTTGGCCTCAGCCGTCAGCATTGGCGCTAGGAACATGGACATGGTTCACCAAAAGTGTCAACATCAGACGTGCTGTTCTCGGCTGGAATTTTCTAGCAGCTATTCAAGTCCAACGCATTGAGGCAACCTGCAGAGGCGACATCGCTTGCAAGGTGAAAGAGAAATGGTGCGGATGACAAATACCTCGACAGAAGCATCGCGGATCGGAAGGGAGCGAGCCACTGTGCAATGTGAATAAGGTGAGGAGGGTATGAAACGGCAGTGGCGCGATGCGAATTGTTCTCTCTCCGTCACACCGACGCAAATTTCCCATATCACTGCCCACGCTGAACCCAAGTTCTTGGCTCCCTACTGCACAACTCACGTTGTCAGTAGTTTGCTGCTTAAATATCGCCTGGAAAAAGGAACGATGTAGGTGTCTCTACCGACTCGCGACTTCTCACTCCGAATCTGCTCCATCATCTCAAATCTTCTCAAATCTTCTCCAATCTTCTCAATACACTACCAAACAAAATTAACCACCCAAGCGATGCAGGCCCGCATTACCCATGGCGCGCGATAAGTCTCACTCGACCCGCTCCTCGCAGTCGTTGTCGACACCGCCGAAGCCGACGTGGTCTCTGCCGACTGGGTATGAGTGCCGGTGACCTGAGTCGTGGAAGTAGTGCTAAATAAATGCTTTCGCGACTCTGTGCTTGAGACGCTCGAGCAATAACCTCCATCCATACTACCGACACAACTAGTTACTGTAGCGCTTTCCGAGGCCGCATGATATCTCCCATAGCTGTCGTAATAACCACCGTCTGAAATGGACGTGGATGCGTCAGTGGCTGTGGATGCAGGCGCGAAACCCAGCGGAGATGATTGCCTGTGGAACACCACATCAGCCACGCTGGATAGAGACTAACGAGTATTAGAGGAACATATGCATGGCCTGTGCATCTTACCTCGAAAGAACAGTCTGGGTTTGATACCACGAGGCCCACTCAGTAGGCATTGTGAACCCTAAACAACCAAATAAGGTAAGCAACCAGTCACCACCAACAACCCGTCCAGCCCACAAAACACTCACCATCCTCCGTAATAGTAATCCCATGCTCAGTAACCGTAGCCGTAGGCACCATAACAATACTCGGCACACAACTCGTCCCCACCACAAACTCCTCAATCTCTCCCCCTTGCACACACCAATACATACACCAACCCAACTGATCCGGCGTCGCGGAATTCCTCTCCTCGCAGCGAGAATTACAAGCCGGTGCGGCGGAGGATTGGGCTGGAGTGACGCCTTGCCGCTGTCGAACGCAGTTGAGACGGCAATAGGGAGTTTCGGTCGAGTTGACTTGGCCGGGGAAGAGGTCGCCTGTGGCTATTGTTACGCCTAGACCACAGTTTAATAGGCAGGGTATGGCGTTGTTGTTGAAGGGTTGTTGGGAGTTTATGCTGTCTTCGCATATTGGTGCTTGGTTTGCTGAGGATGGGGAGATGCTTGTCAGGAGCGATAGGAAGAGCGTGTAGCGCATGGCGGTTTTCTTTGTTGGCGGCGAGAAATGTAGAGATTGATACAGTCGGTGATAGATGTTGTGGTAGCAGACTTTGTGATGAAAGCAGAATCCGAGTTGTCGTGGTGAGAGGATTGGAGCTTTGAAGGATTCGAATGGCTGAACTCTCCACTGCCGTAATTCCGTAGCATCGTATATCTGAAGACAATCTTCTCTAACATTGCCCTCTCTTCGATTCTATCTCACTCTAATGCTAGGGAGGTGACGCGAGTTCCTCATTAACCAGCCGCCGACAAGAGCCGCAGTACTAACTGCACCCATGACCATCAGCGTGGTGTCACTGACAAGTGACTCTTCCTTGACTCTGCCGACATGCACAGACTTCTTCTCCTCAACAAGGTTCTTTCCACTGCCATTGGCGTCAAAGTCGTCGAACTTGACAATCTCTACGAGGTGCTGGTAGTCCAGGACTGCATTTCACATTAGTCCGAGGGAAGTACTTTACAAGATAGGGCATGCTTACCTGTACGAGACCAATTGTTCGTGATCAAACCCGCCTCATTCTTGTACCAGGAATTGCAATTCGGATCATTGAACGCGCTAGACCGTAGCTCAGCTTGGATCTCCTCGTTGAAAGCTTCGATCTTGTCATGCTTTGGAGTCAAATTCAGTGCCTTGCCCTGACTTCGGGCTTCCAGTACCGGCTTGATCAATGCGTTGATGTAACGACTCTGGGCCTCAATCATCAAAATGATTGAGTTGTKTCCAAGATTCGTGTTCGGGCCGTAAAGCATTGCGAAATTAGGCATGTCTTCGACTGTCATGCCGTACAGGGCTTTTGCTCCGTCCTTCCATACTTCGTCAATGGGACGGCCGCCTTTTCCTGTAAGCTTGATGGGATGCATGAAGTCGACTGTTTTGAATCCTGTGGCACAAACAAGAAAATCGAAATCTTCAGTATTGACGGGCTCTCCGTTGTCGCCCGCGACCTTCACGGTGTTGCCATCGATACTGTGAATCTTTCTGGTCTCAAGATCAACGTGGCTTAGCCCAATGGTCTAGAGTCGAAAGATGGAAAGGTCAGCAATGTCTTGCAAAAAACACATCAAAGCCTGTTGTGGCTCGAGGGACATCCTCAAATTCCCTTGCATGCCCTCTGTACTTCACTTGAACTTACAGGGAAGAAATCATCGCTGATGATAATCCTCTTACAGCCCAAGTTATAGCTCGGAGTCAACTTCTTCCAAAGCTCCGGCTGATTCGGGAGTTGCGATTGCATCATCTCGTGRGAAGCTGTCGTGAATTCAGCCGCAGTAGGCGAATTGCTATCAGAGATGAAGCCGTGCGTAGACTCTCGATAGTCCATTTGGCCTGCTCGCTTTCGTGCCATGACTCCTGGMACATACTTGTAGATGGTCCGCCAGAGAGGTGTCACTGGAGCGTCAAGGCGGGGAATGACCCAGTTGGCTGTTCGTTGGAAGACGGTGACTGTGCTAGTGTTAGCCGTCTTGTGAGAAGATTTGGTGTGAAGTTTCCCAACGGACCGTGTTTGGCTACTTTTGCAATCTCGGGTAAGATCTGAACTGCCGTGCATCCTGACACAGTCTGTCAGTATGGAGCTTGATTGTGACATTCATTCCAAAGCAGCTCACCATTTCCAATCAAACCAATCTTCTTATCCGTCAGATCATAAGACCAATCCCATCTCGCCGAATGCATCTTCTTGCCCTTGAACTCCTCCAAACCCTCAATCTTCGGCCACTGAGGAACATTCAACTGTCCAACAGCACTGACCACAAAATCCGCTTTGATTTCATACTCTGGAGTATACTCTGCTTCCTTGCTCCCTGAAGAAGTCTTGACTTGCACGCTCCATTTCTGTTCCGCTTCGTTCCAAGTCGCATTTTGCACCTCGGTATTGAAGCGGAAATGAGGCAAGAGCTTGTAATCTTGAGCAACATCTTGAAGATATGCAAGAATCTCTTCCTGACCGGGATATTCACGCGTCCAATTGGCATTCTTTGCGAAGCTGTAGGAGTATAGTGCACTCCAGACATCGCAGCAGCAACCAGGATACTTGTTGTCGAGCCATGTACCTCCTAGACCAGCGGATTGTTCAATGATGATGAAGTTGCGACATTTGTTCCTTTTAAGCAGATCGATGGCAAGACACATGCCAGAGATTCCTCCTCCAATGATAACCACGGAAACGTTCGCATGGTTCTTGTTACCCACAGACACTTCTGGCCATGGCATTTCACCCGTCATGTTGAAAAGCTTATCGGTCGATATAGAGCAGAAAAAGAGATTTTGAGAATGGATGAGCTGTCGCAAGTGGCAAGGTGAAGCTGAGCTCCAAAATGTTGGGGTCAGATGTACATGTACCCTCGGCTCCGCTCGCGCGTGTTTGCGTGTCCGTGTAAGGCATGCAAGGGCCGGCAGACGGTTAGCGAGAGTGGTGGCGATGCGGGGAAGTACTCCAACGATGCCAAGAAAGTTTCTGGGGTGGTGAGTAAGAACGACTACAATTGATATAGTCGACAGTCTACCAAAACACTTTCCTCTCCCATCCGTGATCAAACACAATAGGCTTGCAAGCTTGTACACGCCGAATAGCATTGATCCGTCGTTCAGCGGCAATCGCTCGCTCTTCAATCTCAAGCCAAACATCTGCTTGACGTTTCTCAACGCCAAAGATATCGGCCTCGTCCAGTTCAGCTTTGCGCAGCTCAAGTGGATCGAAAGATTTCAGGTAATCTTCTAGACACCGACTTTTGTACGCCGTCATAGTCTGTCTTGGGAGAGCTTTCAGACCTGGGACAGTCGGCAGCCAACCCTGTCCGACAAGTAATGTCGTGACGTTCTTCCAGGTTGAGATGAACAAGCTGGGTGTTGCTATTCTTCTAGACCATGGGTCACTCGTTGTATCCTCACTGGCGGAAGTGGGCTCCGGCTCAATGATGTCTGCGTGGAAAGCTAGAGCCGGAATCCACTCCGTACAACCTTCGAGATCCAGCCATTGAAGATATAGTAGGCTGGCACTGAGCTGTCGTAGGATAGAAGCCGGTTCGGTCAAGTCTTGATCAAGTGCTGAGTAGTAGTGTGAGCCACCTGCCGTAACATCAGGACTATGCTGGCTCGAGACGGTCGTTGTGGCCAAGTTTGGAGTCAGAGTAGGTCGCGACCAATACGCGAGAGAGAGGTGAGTGATTGAAGGTGTATGCTTTGCGAGTGACAACAAGTCACGCCATGATGTCCCTGTCGGCGGATGTGATAGAGATATGTGCGTTAGCTGCGAAAAGCGAGAGATTGAAGGGCCCATCGTCAACGCAGCTTCGAAAGTAACATCTTGATCCCAAGAGTCCACGACTACTGGCGAGTTCTGTGGTGACTGCTCTGCCGCTTGGTGCTTCGTAAACTTCACCAGCCGGTTCAAGGTTAACTTGCCGTGTCCAACGAGTCCAGCTAGGTCCAACGATTTCATAGGCTCGCTTCCGCCGACCAGAGCTTGCAACACCATCATATCTATTGGCGGACCATAGTAGCCAAGATAGCTCAGGAGTCGCAATCTTAGCGGCAGTGGCAGTTCGGCTGCCAATTCAGGCAGATCTTCCACATCAAATAATTCCCAATGTGAAGCTGCAGTCTTCAACGCAAGATGCAGAAGCGTAGGGGGAGAATCAGGCTCTCTTGGCTCAAGCCCTGCAAGACGGGCAAATCTCAACAACTGTTTCGGTTTGCTACGTTCATCGTCAGCTCGACCAGATCTACCATATCGCCTTGCTCCACGCAARGCCAAAACAGGCGTCCACATCGTTTTGCCCCAACTTCTCGGCGGCGCGGGTCCCGGAGTACGATTTGGGATTCTCGTTCTGACTCCACGTTTTGGTTTGGGCGGTGCGCTTTCGGGAATCCCAAGAATGGAACTCAAGGATGGGTGGACTGACGCTTGATGGCTCGTACTTTCGGCGAGTTCGCGTTTTTTACGCACTGCATCCTTCCCTTCAATCTTCCTCAGCTCGTTGAGGCGCTCATTGACTGATGGTCCGGCGTCTTTGTTGCCATCTCGGGCTGGCTTGCCACTCGATTCGCCTTGGAATTGCTTAAGATTGGAGAAGTGGCGCTTTTTGGGCATCAGATGCGATGCGATGCGATGGAGAAGTGTGTCCAGTCCCGTTCCGTCCAGAGGCTAGCTTCAAGTATCCCAAATTCCGGAATGTGAGTCAGCGGGAGTCATGGCTGTGCAGGATGCGACTTCTCGTTGTAAAGTATCCAAAGGATCGTGGCGGAGGATCCTGGATGCTGTCATCACCAGATGAAGCCGGAAGCGAGGGTTTGCCAAGAGATGCAACGGCGTCGACGATCGCGACAGAGCTACTCGCAACTTTCCCCCTACACCTCACATCATGTAGACAACCTAACTACCCAATCTACCTTACCAAAGGTACAATCTACAGTAAAGATGCCGCCCATCACCATCCGTCCGCCAACATTCTCGCCCGCCAAAGCACCAGCGGGATATCAAAACCCGACCATCCCCTGGCTCAGTGAAACATGGCACGTCACCCACAGCACGCTGCCCATGTGGAAGAGCAAGAAGAATGTGCGGATTCAATATACTCCCATGGAGCCCTCGGCGCCTTCCATCCCTAAAGATCAGACCGACCGCATCGATGATCTGGTCACCTATCAAAGCGCCGATGCCACAACGGACAAGATCTCCTCGATTCGCGGGATTGATAAAGCTGCGGTGGGAGATAGCAGAGGCGAGTGGGATTGGCGCGGTAAAGGATGGTTGATGATTGCGAGCAGTCATTGGGAGGTCCTTGCGTGGGGAGAGGAAGGCGGTAGTGGCAACAAGTATGTGGTTACCATGTTTGCGAAGACGTTGTTCACTCCCGCGGGTATCGATGTCTACTCGCAGAACAGCGCGGGTGTGGCGGCTGAGACGTTGGAGAGTATCAAGGAGGGATTGGCTACTGTGGAYGATGATGTGGTGAAAAAGACGGCGGTCGAGTTGTTTGAGATCAAGCGCGATGATACCCGGAAGGATTGATTTTTGGCGTCTATATCCTATACAACTGGCCTGGGAATCGCGGGCTGTTAATAACTGTAATACGAAGGAGCTCCTTTGATTGAAAGCTCGTCAAAACTTCCAAGAGAGTGACGAGTCTGTAGCCATGTCACATCGCCTCTCGGACGGCCAAACGCTGATCATCGCTCCAGAGTCCCCTCTAACGGCAGAGCGCTCGTTCATACTTATTTAAATCGCAACGCAGCATCAGAATCGACCATCAAACCGAAAGCTTCGATTGAAAGAGTGTTTACAAACCGCAGCTAACTCGATCATAGACAAACGCAATCATTTCTCGTCTCCAAAAATTTCGTTCAAAATACCCAAAATCTCCATGTCCAGCAGGAGCACCACCACACAACACATCCCCAGTCAATCTACGAAACAGTAATGCTCGACGATCCGCTGGACTGGTAACCCTCAGTAGCAACGATCAGGTAGTCCATCGTGCCGAGAACCAAACCCGCCTTCTTCCAAGCATCAAAGTGGTTGGCCATGGTCACAGTGCCTCCAACACGCTTGTTGCGTCTCACGCTCCAGTATTGCTTGAAAGTGGCAGTGCCGATAATCGATGGAGCATTGGTTCGAGTCGTCTCGTAAATGTCATACACGCTCCCGTCAGTCGTCACGGAACCAATAGACTTGGAACCAGAAGAAGGGTTGTACGTTCCGAACGTCTCGACGATGTAGTACTCGACCAGAGGGTCTTTGGCCCAGCCGTAGATGGAAAGGTAGCCGTTACCAGCAGTCTGGAAAGATCCAGAGTACTTGATCACGCTGTCACGAATGTCATTAGCGAGGAAACTCCAAAAGAGTCGAGGAACGTGATGGGATTGACATACCGAGCACTTCCCTTGGCCCAACCCTTGCCAGCGACGAAGTTGCCCACGTTGGTCCATTTGGTGGAGTAAGAGCCCGCGGCTCCGTTGTCGTAGGTGATTTGTCCGCCACCATCGGTCCAGTAGGAGTACCAGAAGCCGTTGTTGGTGCCTGTGCCAGGTTGAGTGGCACGAGTTTCAAGGTGAGTGTTGGGGTCTCTCTGGGAGATGGAGTTGGTGGCAGGGGCAGCAATGGCTCCAAGAGCTGTAGCGCAAACAAGGAGGGCTTTGAACAACATCTTGAGTGATGGTGTGTAATAGTTTGTCGTTGAGGAGTTGGCGAGTCTAGGAAGTGTGGTAATGGATGGAGTATTTATCATTCGGCAGAGCCCCTACTCGATCCACGTGTGAAGTGCTGGCCCACTCCCAAGTAGCTACCATCGCTTCTATTCGAAACCAAGGTTGCCGAATGTAGTCGCTTGTGGCATAGTGGTAATCTAGCTCATACAGAGCTAAGCGAAGCTAAGTAGGCGCTAAGCATTCCGGCTGAGAGCACGGATGGTATGGGCGTGCTTGTGTATGAAGAAGGCGTGTGCATTTACCGATTGGAGCGTTTCACCTCATACACGTTGGCTGCTTAGCTTAAGGCTTGTGGGGTTGCTGGAAATCACTAGGCATCAAGTGTGCGGTCCGCTGCTCCATGTGGTCTATGAGCCGGACGACAGCAGATCAATAATTAGCCTAAAATCATGACTGCCGGGTGTTGAAACAGCTTCCTGATGCATTCAAGCATCGTTTATGGGACGGATAGATGAGGTTCGTCATATTTCCACGAGTTGGATAAAATCGGCTTTGCCGCACCACGCCTCATGACACCTCCTTCTCCTCCCCATAGCGAGAATTTGGCATGAGCCGCAGCCTTCGGGTGCAATTTGCTTTGGAGAACTTGCCCATTTGAGACACCTTTGTTCGAAAACTCTCGTCTGTAGCGAAATAATCCAATGTGGAGCCCTCGACAATTGGTCCACTTCGATGTCGCAGCCGACGGACGACCGAGAGTGTGTGTAGAACATGAAACCTCTTTGGTTACCAGTCAGCAGCCAGATATTGAGGTTTGCCTTCGTTGACAAAGAGGTGATCCAGCGTTTTGCCATGTAGTCAGTCCCGTCGGATGGATATCGTTTCAGGCTAATTGCTTCGTATGACGATGTCCGGTGTGTACATCTAGTTGTTAGCATTAACACAGCCCCTCAAACTTTCGTCCGTATCTTTTTGAACGCTCTCTCGCCAGTCCAACAAGATGCAATCGATAGCAAAAGCCTTCGCAATTTCCGCCTTTGCAGCAGGCGCGGTGGGTCAGTCGTGTCCCAACATTCACATCTTTGGTGCCCGAGAGACTACGGCTCCAGCAGGCTATGGCACTGGRGGGGAGTTCATTGACCTGATTCTCAATGCCTACTCCGGGGCGACTGCTGAGGCAATCGATTACCCAGCTCAGGGCGATGGGTTATATGCATCCTCTGTCCAGCAGGGCACAAAGAATATTGCAAGCCAAATCAACAGCTTCAACACGAAATGCCCAGACAGTAAGCTGGTAGTTGTCGGCTACTCGCAGGTTTGTTGGAGATATCTTCCGACTTCTCGACCGGTGCTGACTCTTCCAAGGGCGCACAAATCGGCGACAATGCTCTTTGTGGCGGAGGTGATCCCAACCAGGGCATCTCAGACACCAAGGCATTGCTTACGTCTTCTGCGAGCGCTGCTGTAAAGGCCATCATTTGGGCCGGAAATCCGCGTAATTCACCTGTGGAGAAGAGCGCCTTTGGCCATGGCAGTTGCACTGCGAGCGGTGTAAGCCATGTTACATGAAATGTCAACAATCTCTTCTGACAGAACACAGTTCGACCCACGGCCATCGGGCTTCAGCTGCAGCATTTTCCAGGCCCGCATTCGCTCGTACTGCGATGCGGCCGATCCTTACTGCTGCAATGGCTCTGACGCTGCCGCCCACCAAGCATATGGTCAGGTCTACGGCCAGGATGCGCTGACCTTTGTCAAGAGCAAATTGGGTTGAACCGCAGCTGTGTAAGATTCCGTCTCCAGAGTCTGATCAATAGGAGCATGCGGTCTAGATAGTTTCCTGGCAACCCAGATGATTCTGCTGCGAAGACATTTGTCAGAGAGAGGCGCATCCACCACTAGCTCCATCTCAAGTGAAGTTAGAATGTGGTAAGAGTCGGATGATGTCGCGGCAACGGTCGTGTCTCGCAAGGATGACGAGAGTTTAAATCTCAAAGTCTGTTCCAAGGCGATCCAGCAAACAAAGCCGCTTGGGGCGGAGCTCAGTCCGCTCACCGGACTCCGGTCCGTCGCCACCATCTGGTGGGATTTGCAGAGTTTGGACTTGGATCGCATGGTGAGATCTGACAACCAAGCAAGGCAACATGGCAATGGCATGGACAGCAGCCCGACCACACTTTCCGCACGAGCGATACATGCATATCCGCGTTGCCTGGGAACAACAGCGAGATCGAAGCGATCAAACATGTTGCAGCCAATGAGTGGCGTCGGAGGTCATCAAAATGGATCCGGAGGTACGTCAAGAAGCATCATTTTGCACTGGGATCTCGCGTTTGCGCGGGTCATCAAGCAAGCACGCGTAGTGGCGCTTTCTCAAAGAAGATGGACAGTCAAGGTGCCTCGCTCTTCCCTTATATACTCATTCCCTCTCCTTCAACGCTATCCTCGCAACTACCTCCCCTCTCATACCCACATAAACAATCATGGCCCCATCTGCAACAGAATCAAAGCCCGAGGCTCGCCAGAACGGTGCCTATGCCCGCAGCTATGAGGAGGACCGCAACACCAACGCTAAGGATACCATCTACGCCACCAGCAATGGCGTCCCAATGCCTCACCCCTATGAGTCCCAGCGGGCGGGAGACAATGGCCCACTCCTGCTTCAAGACTTCCACCTGATCGACCTTCTCTCTCACTTCGACCGCGAGCGTATTCCCGAGCGTGTCGTTCACGCCAAGGGCGGCGGCGCTCACGGGTACTACCAGACCACCAACTCGATGGAAGACATTTGCTCCGCCGACCTCTTCCAGGCAGGCAAGAAGGTCCCAATCACAGTTCGTTTCTCCACCGTTGGTGGCGAATCTGGATCTCACGATTGTGCCCGCGATCCTCGCGGGTTCTCTGTCAAGTTCCGCACTGAGGAAGGCAACTGGGATATGGTGGCAAACAACACTCCGGTGTTCTTCCTTCGTGATCCGGCCAAGTTTCCATACTTCATCCACACACAGAAGAGAGACCCGTCGACACATTTGACCCACGCGGATGACAGCACCATGTTCTGGGATTACCTCTCGCAGAACCCTGAGAGTGTCCACCAGGTTATGATCCTCATGGGTGATCGTGGTATCCCTGACGGCTGGAGAAAGATGCATGGTGAGTTTTTTCCCTGGTCCTCGCTGTTAGAGACAATTTCTAACATGATCCACTTTTAGGCTACGCGGGCCACACCATGAAGCTCGTCAACAAGAACGGCGAGTGGGTGTATGGACAGATGCACATGAAGAGCAAGCAGGGTACTGCTTTCATCACTGTAAGTTATTAGATGGCAGATGGCCTTTCCGACACAAAACTACCTCTCTCATCCTTCATACATACTCCGACATTGTCTAGGACCTCGCTGACATCTCTGGTACTTGCAGSAAGAGGACTCAGCGTCATATAGCCCGGACTACGCTCAAAAGGACCTCTACAACGCAATTGAAAAGGGCGAGTACCCCGGCTGGGACGTATGCTGGCAGATTATGTCCAAGGAGGAGAGCGAGAAGTTGTGGGAAACCGACAAGATCAACGTCTTTGACCTGACTCACGTCTGGCCACACGACAGGTTCCCTCTACGCAAGGTCGGAGAGTTCTTCCTCAACGAGAACGTCCAGAACTACTTTGCGGAGATCGAGTCTATTGCGTACTCCCCATCACATCTCGTGCCTGGCATTGAGCCTTCCGCCGACCCCGTCCTTCAATCTCGCCTCTTCTCTTACTCGGACACCCACCGCCACAGAATTGGAACCAACTACCAGCAGCTCCCAATTAACGCCCCAAGAACCGCATACAAATTCGCCAACTTCCAGCGCGACGGACACATGGCGTTGTACAACCAAGGAAGCCGCCCAGCATACTTGAGCTCAATTCAGCCCATAAGTTTCAAGGAGCGTAAAGTCGACCTGAGCAAGACTCACGGCCATTTCATCGGCAACGCTGTCAGCTTTCTATCTGAGATTCGCCCAGAAGACTTCAACGCACCACGCAACTTGTGGACGAAGGTCTTCGACGATGGTGCCAAGGAACGCTTCATCAACAACATTTCCGGCCACATGGCGAACTGCCAGAAGGAGGAGATTATCAAGCGCCAGATCGCTATCTTCCGTGAGGTGTCCGAGGACCTTGCCTCCCGCTTGGAAAAGGCCACTGGCGTGAAGGGGTACCCCGGCATCTCAGGCCTTACTTTCAATGGAACACACAACAGCATGGCGAAGGACTCTACTCACCGTGCTGCAAACCACTTGTCGGAAAACAGTGGATCTGTCGGCAATAACGGAGGTCCTGTCGCTGGCTCCCACGCCGGCCTCAGAGCTTGAAGTTGTGCGATGAGCAGAAGATACCCGATATGATTTGACGATGAACGGAAGAAAGCAGATCGGCGCTAATGAATCGATGCGCGTGTAAATAGATAGCAGCGTTACAATGGAGCGTGAGCGTATATTTCATATTCCATCACWCTCACTCTCACTTTCCATCAGCGCCAAGAGAACGTGTCGGAGGTTGCTGCGCTGCAGTGCCCTCTACTGACTTGTCAATCTCGATTGAAGCCTCGAATTTAAGCTCTCATTCTAGAATCTCCAAAAGCTTGTCTTGATCCTACCATCATGGTAGTGTATTTGAGAGATATACTGATGTGTGTGCAAGGCGAATGAATTTTGTCTGGATGTCGTATTGTGGATTCTCAAATCGATTAATATATACAGCGATATCGATTTGCTTCTTTTCCAACCATGAAACCAATTCGACGCATTGACAGTTCGCTTCTGAGGTAGCATGCTCGCTCCCTCAACTCATTGCATCGCGGGATCAATCCAATGGCTCTTATCCCATTCCACAGTCTCGAGCCACTGTAGGAATTCCGCGTCGTTTCCGATGGGAAAGTTCAGAGAGGAATCATCGAAAATCGCGGGCTCTCCTGTAGCGGATATTGGCGGWGGGATGTTAGGCGAAAGAATCTGGTCGAGGACTCTTTTCAAAGCTCGACGACCCTGGTCGCAAATCGAAAAGTTTCCCTCGCCTGGACCAACCGTGCCCAAAGCAGATATGAAGACGCTGAGGTCTTGTACGGTTTCGGATCGTGGGAGTATTTCTGGTGTGTATTGCTTCGTCTGTTCTTGTTTGAGCATTTCCACGGCGAGAACACCGGCTGCTGGAACGCCATGCAAGGCAAGCTAATTGAAATGTCAGTCGTGAGCAATGTGTTGTGATTTCTTAGGCTTACCAAGTAGATCAAGTCTGATTGAAAATCTTTGAAGAGGTCCTTCCTTGACTGTGCCAACAGTACAAGCTTGAGCATGCGTCTTGATGTAGGGATCAATTCTTTCGTATCGGTGCGCAGTCGACTAATCACGGCCCTCTGTAGTAGGAATTCCGTATGAACCATACCTGTATGAACATTCAAAAGAAAGACAACGTTCACTTGACGATCGCCAAATCCATTTATAAGGCTCGTGGCAGATGCGAAGATCTGTTCAGGTGTAATCTGCATGAAAGCCGGCATGGACGAGCAAGTCCGTTCCATTCTTTGGCGAACCTGCTCGGAGCGAAAGAGGATGTCTTCCTCATCCGAGCCCAACGCAATCTCGAGGATGTCCTCTCTTATCCGGCAATGTTGGAACCAGATTCGTGACCAACAATTTCGGTTCAAGATGCCTGAAGTGTTCCAGCCGTTAGCATCCAACCCAGCGAGAGCGGCCTCAAGCTCTTCGCCCTCGCTGAATAATTGGTCATCATTGAGATCCAGAGGCCAGTCCATCTTGCAATACCTGTAGCTCAGCCGAGGCGGTCGTCCCATGAATGTCGCTACAACTTTGTCATGTCCGTAAGCCGAGATGAAGATCTTCTTCCGTAGCTCGGCCAAGAAGAAAGGCGTGTTGGCATCCGGATTGTTGCCCTGGTGGAGACCCATGGCAATCACAGCATCGCAGACTTCGCCGGTCCGCTGCCAAGCTGCCCAGTGAGCATCTCCCTTCAAACATTCAACCAGCACCAAGTCCTCGAACATGAAGCAAAGGTATATGTCGTTGAGCACCTCGCTCTCGTAGCAGAAACAGAGACAGTACTCGCTAGCCTTCCGCATGCGTTCCGCGAATGTAGCACGATCCACGTAGCGCTCTCTTATGGACTCAAATATGGCGTCCCAGTTGTTCAGAGAAAGAGATATGAGTCCAACCAGGGATAGAATAACGCCAACGGATTCCCATCGTAGGTTACGTCCGGACGCGGAATGCGCCCAATCTCTAGCAGTCATGTCGCCTCGCACCTTCATTGGCTCTCTGGTGTTGCGCCATACCAATTCCGAGAGGCTCAGGAGTTCTTCAGGTCGACCTTCCTCCAGGATTGGTCCAAATTCCAACCAGAGGCCATCCAGTAGGCATTGTGTTACTGGTCGTGTCAAGATGATTCCATCGCAAAGCTCGAACCATCGGTCGGTGAAACGTCTGTAAACGGGAATATCTCGCAGCAGGGAGAGGACTTCGGCACCCTGTTGGAGCTTTTCTGCTGAGATTGCCGGGAAATTTGGCGTGTCGTTCAAGTCGGGCGTGTTCAAAATGGTTGAGTTCTCGGTATACACGGCAGAATAGCTTGTTGGACCTAGAAATCCTGTTCGGGCATCTCTGAAAGCCGTGGCGCTCTCGGGACTAGCATACGACGACAGCTGTCTAGATCCCTCCATAGGCTTGAGGCCCCATTGTGACTGCTGGGTCGACTGCGTATTTGGAAGGGACGAGGGACTTTGCATTCGCCGGACCACGGTCTGATCGGGTGACTGCGAACTGTTCGTGCGAGGACTGATAAGTGCGCGGTGACTATGAAGAAGAATCCGAGAATCAGAAGACGGATCAGGAGATTGCATACGCAGGATCCTACCACGCCGGAATGCCCATCCGTCAACTTTGACTTGGCTCGCGCGAACGTCCCTCTGCTGTATCGTTTCGGTATTGATCGCAAAGCCTCCTAGGCTCAGTGAGAAGTCGACATCGCGCAGAGAGGTTCACACGAGTGACGGCCAACGCCAACGAAGGGCATCCGGCGGCGGTCCCATGCTGTATTTCACTTTCGAATGCATTCACCCGGGGCTTGTCACATACCTTTCTCGTGAGATTGTGGGGTACGGCCCCGTGTGATTCTGTCTCGGAGATGCCAGCGAGGAAGCGTTCGCAGATCGATGAGGTCCGATGCCCGGGCAAGTTCGTGGCTTTGTTAAAGGAGCTGGATGATAGATGCACTGGTCGGATTTTCCACGCTTTGCACATCTCCCACATACAGGACTGGTGTGATCGCATCTGTAGGAGATCATTAACGCCAAATGTACCGCCCGAGAAGCATCTTGGAACAGCAACAATGTACCGACGCCGTTGTATTCGATGGAAAACACGGCCTGTCTTTGTGCACGTCCGAAGGGAAGTTGAAATGAAGTTCTCTTACCTCAGTTTACCTCGCCGACACTGCGAATGTCAGGACTGTCAGAGGTGATGCTACAAGAAAAACAACATACTGGCTCACATGAGAAAAGCTTCCCATTTCGACGATAAGATGGCGTGACGGATACTGCTGGCTCTACGGCCGGCAGTCCTGTGCCCATTGCGTCCATGATCGGTTGACTTTTGCGGCTGAAATGATCGAAGAGCTTCTCGCAGTCCTGAGTCACCAGGCTGGGAGTTGCGTCCAGGTTCCGAGACTATTGTTCGGATCGGTTGGGAATGATGATATGCGTCCAACAATCATGCTCTAGGCCAGGCTGTAGGATTGCGTGTCTTTTCTCTGGATCGCTTGAGCGCTGTCTCAAGGCCACCGCATTAACGCATCTGCATCAACGCTGGTCTCCGCAGATGGTGATGTTGATTATGATGTCGAGCGGCAGATACGCCCGTCGATGCAGGCCAGGCAGCAATGGATCGGGTAGCCGTCGGAGTTGAATGTTGGGGAACGCGGTGTCGAAGTACAGCACCTACCTTCCTGAATTCCCCTCGGGTAAGCTGCGGGGTTGGTGATAATTGAGGGAGCTAGCCGGAATTGGATGAGATTGCAAGCGAAAACTTCAGGCATCCTCGTAACTTGTAAGCATGCTTGATGAGTCCTTCCTTGCTTATCGTCCATTGCGACATCACCAACGATGTCGCTTTCATGCATGCAGCTTCTGCCTTTCGAGGTGATCGGCCCACAGCCCTTTGCATGGAGTGGTCCATGAGCTCGGAGCTGATCCTTCCTCGAGCGCCGAGCTCCGGCTCGGACTTCAGCTTGTGTCCTTCTCTATACCACTTTGTCGACAAGATCTATGTATCTACCAGTCACTTCACACAATGACACGGGAGAAGCGCGCGTGTGTTCGAAACGGTGGACTTGAGCTTGGATCTTACAATCTCAAGCATGCGTCTTGTCAGGCTTTCCGCAGCAATTGAAGAGTTCGACCTCATTCGTCAAAGTGGAAGCCTGACACATCATACTCCTCCTCCGGATCTGAAGTCCCAGATCTACGGTAGGGATCTAGCGATCAGAGCCATCGTCTATCAGCGTGGCTTTCTCCTCCACGCATGAGCTCGGAGTTCAATACGTTGTATCTGGCTGCCTTGCTGGTACCGTTGATGGTAGGTATATGTTAGGCAGACATATATAACAGACATGTCTTTCACTGTTTTCCATCTCATCCAAATCATTGGAACTACCATTGCACTGCATCATCACTCGTGCCGCAACCATATCTGCTCATCCACTTTCATCAAAACATTCAAAGGCTCAAATTGGTCAACGCTCTTGGACTCTCAACCGCCGGCTCAAGAATACAAACACAATCACCTCCAAAACAGACCAGCGATTCTAAGAACATTGCCCAAATGAGTGAAAAGGAAACAAGCTCGCAGGGCACTTCCAAGTCTGGAAAGATGGCTGCGTTGAAGTCAATGTTCCAGAAGGACGAGTCAGCAAAGCGTGCACCAAGCGTTGCATCAACATCAACTGATGCACCTTTACTTGGTACGATGCATAGGATTACATGCTCTCAATACTGAACTCCGCTGACTGGTGACAAGATCGAAATGGCAACAAGACTGCCAAATACACCACGGCAGAAACGATGCAAGGCCAGTTCCGGTTTACAAGTGGTTGAGCTGGGACAATCGACCTTTCGCTGTGAAACTCACAGCCCTGGACGACGTACTATCGAGGAGCGACTGCAGTTTTTGGAATGCACCTTCCCATCACAAATATCATCTGTAGCGGAGGATACTTCAATCAGGCCAGCTGGATTACTACGGCAGGGGAATGTCTTGACGAATCGATGGATGCGATGCAATCCCATGATGGAGTCGGCGTTTTGCGATACATGTATTGACCATGTATCGACTTCACTTGAATAGTGTCGATGGCACGACCTTGGTCTTTTTTTTTACGTGCTTAGACTATATCGACTTCTCCATCGCACATTCTCTTAAATTTTTTCCCATTTCGACGCATAATCCTAAACATATCCGCGTCTTGCACAGCATCAGAAAGTTCGCTCAGCCGACCATCGACCTTCTCATGCAGGAGGACGGGCAGATGTATCACAATCAATTCATATAGGAACACATCATGACTGAAGACCAGCTACCCGCACGAGTCTCGCGTGAAGCATTGGATCTAAGACATACATGAGTTTGCGTCTTCGCTCACAGCATGTCTCAGACAGAAGCAAAGACAATGGAGCAGCGACGAGATATTGTCAACCGATGGCCGTCCTACGATCCGACCATCCTTCGTCTACTCTCCGTAAAGCCCACATAGCGGTACCATTCATGACATTCTCCGATTTCGTAGGTTTCACCACGCAGACTTTCCGCAGAATCTACGACGCTTTTGAGAGGAGAGTGTCCGTGGCCGAAATGATGGAGTCGGCGCCACAGTCTACTCCAAACATTTCTCCCCGATCTCCCAGACCGTACGCTGCAGCAAGGAGGAATAGCAACGAAGGCTTCTCCATCGGTCCACAAGTATCGTCCAACACAATCCCGATTTGTTACGACAAGGAGTTTGTCCCCTCTGGACTTAGGGATCCTCAACGCTATCGACGTGAATTGAGGAGCTCCGTGAGTGAATTTACCGATGTTACAGATACGCATTTCGACATCCCAAGTCGTCCTACCTTCCCAGCTCACCGAGTCGATAACGGCGAGGTCTTAGAAACGTCTCCGACAGATATACTTCGCCTTCACCCACTGCTTCCGGACGGATTCCAATCGCCTGGTGGATCGACCAACATCTCTTCATCTCCCGTGACAAGACATCATTTGTTCGCACCAGAAGCAACCCCAAATATAGAGTCCTCATCAACATATCAAGGATCACTCAGCAACAACCTCCATCAAAAATCCTCTCATCATGATCTTTTCGCAGACCATTTGGAATCCGCATGGCGGAATCTAGAAGCTGCTCAACAAGAACTGCAACATACCAGAGAGTCCCTCGCGGACAAAGAGCACGATGTCCATAACCTGAACATCCAAGTCTCCAATCTGCAAAGAGGATTGGTAAGTCCTCGTCCTCATCCCCATCACCACTCCCTCCTTCACACATTGACGCCTTTGCATAGGACACAGCGCTCCACCAACACAACGCCATGGCACGCGAACTCTCCGACCTAAAAGCATACCACACGACCCACAAACCCCTCAAACGCTGCTCACTACTAACCAACCTCTTCTTCCACTCCTCCTCCTCCAAATCCAAAATCCACCATCTCGAAAACAGACTCCACAGAGCCCAAACCGACATCCAAATTCTCCATGATCGATGGCGCAGCACCCATCACTCTCTAACCCGCACCGAAGATGTCCTGGAAGAACAGCGCGAGTGTATGAAAGTCCGAATCATAGCTCTGAAACATACGCAGATGGAATTGGGTGCTGTGAGAGGGAAGTTGCAAACTGCGGAGAGGATGTTGGAGGATCGAAAAGCGGTGCTGGAGGTTTTGAGGCAGAGTAATCGGGATTTGGCGTTGGAGATTGCTTATTTGAAAAGAAGAGGGGCGGGGAGGACGGGAGTGTTTTGAGTGCGATGGAGTTTGGAGGAATACCTAGCTTTTCTGATTGCGAGAGTGGAGAATTGAAGAAATGATTGATGGGCTTTTAATGCAAACGAAACTTTTGTGAAAACTGCATTGCAATCTTGCATACCGAGGTGAGTCCAGGGAAAGAAGCAATGGTATTTCATTGCTTTGAAGTGGTGAATTCGTCTTACACGCTCATACAAACTTTGTCGGTCGCTGATGGCCCATAAGATGCAGCTTTTCAGCAGTACCTGTAATAGTGTCACCACACTTCCAGAGCGGCCCCTCTTGATACGTACGCTCCGAATACTACATGATCATGTTCATCAAAAGTCGCCTTGCCCCGAGTCCGCTTACCGCCCCAACCCTGCGTCTCAATCCACCTCGATGGGCTCAGCCCGAACACCACTAGCCGAAGCCTTGGGGGCAATTCCACACAAAGCCAACACCCACAACGCCGGCTCCTCCTCGCGCACACTTAGCAGCTTTACCATTTGCGGCGTGCCCAGCAGTGCCAGTAGGGTCTTCTCCTTGAGTTCCTTGTGCTTGCGCTCAAACAAGTTCCAGTTCCTTGTGGAATGGAAGATCATGGTGATGGCGCCCTTGAAGAATAGGTCGTCGAAGTCTTCGATCTTGGTGGTGGAGGGGGCTGTATGTAGCTGTGCGACCAGAATGGTGATRGCGAGGCGGCGCAGTGGGGAATTTGGTTCGGGTGTGCGCGAGAAGATGAACCTGATGTCTTGTGGGGTGAGAAGGAATGGATGTGTGCCAAGGAGTCCACGGAGGCAGGTCATTGCCTCATTTTGGAGGCAGCTGATGTTGTGTCTGTGATCTGTCAGCTGTGMTCGATGATTGTCCTTTGTCTATTTCCGTGTGCCATGGACATTGAATGAGAAATACAAAGTAAGGTGTACGTACTCATCAGTGAAGACCCACAAATCAATCAGCGTATCCTTGTCGTTGCGAAGCTCTTCCACTGTGGCGCCCTCTTTCACAGCAAGATCGAGGTATTGGCACTGATATCGACTTAGCTTGCTGGTTTTGAAGTGCCATGTCAAAGTGCCATATTACCTTGTAGCACCAATGCACGAAAGTCTCCACCGAGCTCAAAGTGACACGCTGCAGCTGGAGCTGGGCTTGACCGTCTTCCAAAGCGCCAGGCTTGGAGAGGACTTTGGCAAAGTACTCGGAATGGAGAGCGAGGAAGGCCAGCACGCATGGAACGCTGTGTCCTGTGTCGCCGACAACGAGGGTAATGGTCGGCGTTTTGAGAGCCTGCATGTAGGCTTCTTGAACGAGCTGCATGGTGAACTGTTCAGAGAGGGGTGCGGTAGGCGATGTGCGAGGGGATGGTGTTCATGTTTGAAGCGGATGATGCGGTGTCGCAGATGTAGATACTTTGCTGTCAAAGCAACTTCACTTAAGCAGCTGAGAATACATTGACTAATGACATGCGTTAGCGCAAAGACCTTCGAGTGAATGAAACTCCGGCAACTGCCGAGACGAAGCTTGGAGATGTGTAGATTAGAATGGGAATACCATGATGCATACCGCTAATTAGCCCCACGGAACGTGTCTGACAACCCCCCTAGCTAGCCACGTCTCTGCGCACCCTCTCCGCCTCCTGCGGTATCCACTCCCGTAGCCCTACCCGCTTCACCTTCCATTCTGCGCCTCAGATGATCGAATCGCTCCTTCTGTTCGCTCCCACCCACCAACCACGTGGGAGCACGCCACCTTGACGCCCCTGGCAAGATCTCTCTTCTGTATGCAAAGCCAACGATCCATCCGATCCCTGCCGCTAGAGCCGAGCCTGGCAATTGAGACAACGCGAGCTGCAGTGGAAGAAGGTAGAAGGTCGCCTTGGATGTGAGCATCATGCCGTACTCTCGATCCGCAGATGATCCCACGGGAATGGCTCCCGATATGCGATATTTGTAGATGTAGGGGATTGCAGCGTGATACTGCGCGAGCAACGCGAATGCCAGCGGTGTCGGCCCGGATGGCAGGTAATTGATGCGGCCAAAGCTGAGAGGCCGGATGACTACCGCCAGAAGAATGGGTGGGAGTAATGCGTTGTAAAGGAAAGTGGACAAGATGAAGGACTACCTACCTGTCAGCCCATTATTCCTCGCAGCTCTTGGGACGCGGGATGCGTACGGCGAACTTCCTGCTACCCCAGAGTCGCTCGATGATGCGCAAATGGTAGAAGGTCATGGCTGCAAAGAGCACTTCGGCACTGTTGGTGTAGGCAAACTGCCAGGTCAACAGTCGCCAGAACTGGCCATAATCGAGCAGATGTGGCCGGATCTCGATCCAGCAAAAGACCTTTGTGTCTGTCAAGCTGGCGAGGAAGGCGGCACCCACCACGCCAAAGACGAGCAGGCGCGAGATGGGTGCACCTGAAAATCCGGATGAAAGCATTGGATTGGATGGTGCTGGGGGAGAAGGTAACAAAATGATATCAATGTCAATGTCAATGTCAACGTCAACAGCCGGGAGGTCCGCTTCTAGTTCTAGAACTATCAAAGAACACTTGGCTCGTGCTTTCGTCGCCCAACTTCCGGCCCGCACCACTTCACCACCACACTTCTCCATTACTTCGTCCATGCAAACTCCATCACGTTCGAAACAACAGTGTGATGCATGGGGAACTGTCTGCGGCGCAATCAGATGTGAGGTGTACATMAAATATCGTCTTTAGAGGACAGGATTGAGGAACATCAACGCGTTTCTACAACATTTCAACCGCGCGCTGCCATGCCTCCAGCCCTGGAAATTATAGATTCGGACGAGGATCTGGAGATATCGGATGAGGAAAATGTCTTCACGAAACCACCTTCTCAATATTCTCAACGGGCCTTGATTCCTATCATTCAACGCACGAATGGGAAACCCGCACCAGCAAGACAATATCCCGACGGACCTCTACCACTGCGTCCTTCTGACCATGCGCCTCGACGAGCACATATCACTGGACGTGTTGCTGAAGATGATGGTGTATACTACACTTTGATGGTTGGCCAATCGCAGATTACTGACGTCAGCGTCACCGAAATACTGCAATTCGTTAGTCCCTATGACTTGGAGGAGTTTGAGAATGGCCAGTTTCTTGAGGAAGAGGAAAACCGCAAGATCGCACAGGCCGCCGAAGAGGCTGCTGAAGAGGCGCGGCGTCTGCGTAAGCTTGAGAAGATTAGGAAGAAAGGTATCGTCTATTTCGAGGAGCGCAATGAAGATCTGGAATCGAACGAGGAAGGCGAAGTTGTGCTTGGACGTCACGGACGTGCTCGACCGACATATTCTCATCTTTACAAGGTGCCAGGTGGCGGCGAAGATGGTGGCAAGCGAAGGAGGCGAAGACGGGATCCAAGTACCGGAGACCTGATGCCCTTGAGTGAYGAAGAAAATCTCCACACTATGGGCAGCTCTGATGAAGGTGTCGATTTAAACAGATCGTCCGGCCGATCGGGTGTCAGGCAAGCACCTGCATTGACGTCTGGACTCCAACCACCTAAGCGGCGGCGACGAAAGAGACACCCTATCACGAATGAGCTGATGCCTCTGAGTGGCGATGAAAATGCTGGCAGCTCCGATGGCGGGCCAATTCTACAATCGAGGACATCAAGCTCCGTTCCCATCCAAGCCGCAGGACCAAGCTATGCGCAGACTGCGGAGCCTTCAATGAGATCAAACTCCATATTCGAGGATTCGGGAAAACCAACTTCCGCACCGATGCAACAGGCTACTATCGTTCCCAGCCCAGCACGAAGAATGCTGCCAAACGTCACAGTCGAGCTGCCAAAGCGACGCCGACGCAGGAGGGACCCAATAACGGGCGAGCTGTTACCACTTGAYCCTGATCCGCAGGACGTTGCAGTGTCGGAGAATTTATCCTCGAGCAGATTCTCGAATACTGAAGAGCGGCAGAAGCGCCCTAGGAGGAGAAGACATCCAATCACCGGCGAGTTGATGCCTCTTGGCTGGGTCTACAACCCAAACGCCGGTGCTGAATCCTTCGAGTCAACTGCCAATGGTTCGTCGATGCAAAGCTTGAGCATCACCCGCGACAGCAAACGAGTGAAGCTCGCTTCTGAGCCGTCATCTTCTTCCCTTGAGGACCCACGACCGGCAGTAGCACCAACGTCAGCGGCATCGCCAAACGTCCGACAGCCAAATGTCATTGAACTTTCCGAATCGGACCAAGAAGAGCAGGATGACTCCTCCAGCATGCAGCTATCGATTGATTCAGCTCCAGCATCAAAACCCACCACCCAGGTCCGCTCTCCCAAACACGGCATGATGCAGAGAGCACGATCCTACTCCTCATCAAACGAACCCATTACTTTGCAATCCTTTTTATCCACCACAGCCACAGGCAAAGCAGGCAGAGATGACGACGAGACTTCCGAAGACACAACCTCGGGGGAAGAGACTGCTCTGAAGAAGACGCCATCTCAAAAGACGAGCATCATGAATCCCACGGCTTCTCAGGAAATTGCCGACGACGAGGACGATGACCAAGACATTGATGATGAACTTGATGAGGGCGAGTACTTTGTTGAAGCCATTCAAGCCCATCACATGTCTGACCCTCGCACACATCCTGGAAAGGAAAGGGTGATGCTATACCACACCAAATGGGAGGGTTGGGATGAAATGACTTGGGAACCTGCTGCCAGTTTCCCAGATCAGAGTGTTGTTGAGGAATATCGAAGGCGTGCAGGGTTGAAGCCATGAAGGTGCAGCAAACGAGTGTGAATGATGCAGTACGCAAGTGTCACATGGCCGTTGATTTCCGATGGTACATCTGAGCAGTTTGGCTGCTGCGAGAAGGACGCATTGTTTGTAAAGTTACATACTGGTCCTTCCACTTCAGCTTGAGCGACATCACCTCGCTGCATACTCCTTGTTGAAAGTCCTTCCTATCAACATCCGTCGTACTTCTGACGTGCCTGCACCAATCTCATACAGCTTCGCATCTCTCATGATCCTCCCCGCCACCATTTCATTCATGTAACCCATTCCACCCAGACATTGGATAGCATCCAAACCACATTCCGTCGCTCGCTCCGCAGCATATAGAATCGCACCGGCGCAATCCTGCGTCTTGATCTCTGGGTTCTCGAAGCTCTCATCAATGGCTCGAGCCACAGAATATGTAAAAGCCGAGCTGGCCCGGTATTTGGTATACATATCCGCGAGCTTGCCTTGGATGAGTTGATTGTGTGCCAGTGGAATGCCGAATTGCTTCCGCTCGTGCACGTAGGGTAATGTGACATCCAGCGCAGCTTTCATCAATCCCAGAGGTCCAGCCGAGAGCACCAGTCTTTCAAGATCGAGACCTTCCATCAATACCTTGACTCCTCGGTTCAAGGGACCCAGCATCGCGGACTCTGGAACGAAGACATTGTCGAAAAGGAGTTCCCCCGTGTTGGAACCTCGCATGCCCAACTTGTCGAGTTTGCGAGCTACACTGAAACCTGGTGTGGTGGTATCGACCAAGAACGCAGTGATACCTTTGCTCGCGGCTTCCGGCTCGGTCTTTGCGTACACAATAACGACATGTGCGTCGGGTCCGTTTGTGATCCACATTTTTGTGCCGTTTAATTGATATCCACCATCCACCTTTTTCGCGGTCATCTTCATGCTGACAACATCACTTCCAGCCGTGTGTTCGGACATAGCCAGAGCGCCAATATTCTCTCCAGAGATCAAACCCGTAAGCCATTGCTTCTTCTGCTCGGAATTTCCATGCAGTTGGAATTGATTGACACAGAGTTGGGAGTGCGCGGCATATGAAAGACCAATGCTTCCCGAAGCTCTGCTCAACTCTTCCAACACGATGCAGTGTGCCTGGTAGCCCATTGCCAATCCGCCATAGTCTTCATCTGCTGTTATGCCTAGAAATCCAGCTTCGCCTAGTTTCTGCCATAGTTCGTTGGGAAATTCGTTTTTGTGATCTGTGGCTTGCGCGAGATCATGGGGGATTTCTCGTCTTACGAACTCGATTGTGCGTTCTCGTAGTTCTTCTAGCTCGCTCTGCTGTGGCGGTTGGAAGCCTTTTGGGTGTTTGGTKGATGCATGTCGTTGCCACTGTGCTGTTACCAGTGGTTTTGCTGTTCTCTGTGCGGTTTTGCGTGATGCTTGTAGCAGGGCTGTCCGGCAGGGTGTAAGGGCATTCATTTTGGCTGTGAGATGGAGAAAAACGAAAATCACAAGTAGAGGCGATCAGGAACAAGAGACAAGTCCAGGATCGCGTGGAGAGGACAGAATGTGGGGAAAGGAAAGCCGAATGTAAGCGTGTTTCGGCTCAAGTTTTCCGGGTCAAGGGAGTGAGGTGAGGTGGGCATCTCCAGCACCGAGAGCAGCAGGTGATTGTCTGAACTTTTCGTGGACAATGGCACGTCAAGTAATGCTTGATGTATAGAGATTGTACATGAGAACAAGAGATGCATAATYGATCGAAGAACTCACAAGATATGGCCTCACTCATCCCCCGCCGCGTCCTCACGCGAGCTCTCCATCACGTCTCCCGCAGAGAGCTCGCTGCTCCATATAGACAGCAACAATTTCGAACGGCGGCAACATATACAAGTCCACACCAGGCGGCTCAACTGTCAATCTTGCAGACGACTGTCGATACAAGCAGCAATGGCTTCAGGGAAAATGCTGCAGCAATGGGAGAATATACTGGCCGACTTACGGCTCTTCACGAAAAGGCATCGCTGGGAGGCCCCGAAAAGTCAAGGCAAAAGCATGTCCAGCGAGGAAAGCTGCTTGTGAGAGATCGAATAACAGCTCTGGTCGATCCGGGTACCAGCTTCCTGGAATTGAGTGCTTTGGCTGGACACGACATGTATCCTGGCGAGGATGTGGTGGCTGGTGGCATTGTCACAGGCATTGGCACGGTAGAGGGAGTCCAATGCATGATCGTTGCCAACGACAGCACGTATGTTACGTCGACTTTCTATAGCACATCTCAGGGTACTGACCGTTGAATTAGCGTCAAGGGCGGCTCATACTACCCTGTAACCATCAAGAAACATCTTCGAGCACAAGAGATTGCTCAGCAGAATCGCCTTCCCTGCATCTACCTGGTGGACTCTGGCGGTGCAAACTTACCCAACCAAGCAGATGTCTTCCCAGATAGAGATCACTTCGGCCGCATCTTCTTCAACCAGGCCAACATGAGCAGTCAGGGAATCCCCCAGATCAGCGTTGTCATGGGCTCATGTACTGCTGGCGGTGCTTACGTTCCCAGCATGAGTGACGAGAGCATTATTGTTCAGGAGCAAGGCACCATCTTTTTGGCCGGACCGCCTCTTGTAAAGGCCGCGACAGGAGAGGAAGTCAGCGCCGAAGACTTGGGCGGTGGCAAGCTGCACACCGAAGTCTCTGGCGTGACAGATTACCTGGCAGTCGATGATACTCACGCACTGATTCTCGCTAGACGGAGCATCTCCAATCTCAATTTCCCCAAATCTCCAAACCCATCTCGAAAGCAGGAATGGAAGGAGCCACTCCACGACCCAGAAGAGCTCGGAGGCATCGTGGGCACCAATCTCAAACAGAGCATCAACATGCACGAGGTCATTGCCCGCATAGTAGATGGCAGCGAGTTTTCCGAATTCAAGCCCAGCTACGGCGCATCCCTCCTCACCGGCTTCGCAACGATAGAAGGCCACCCTGTCGGCATCATCGCCAATAATGGAATTCTCTTCAGCGAGAGTAGTTTGAAGGGAGCTCACTTCATCCAACTCTGCTGTCAACGTAACATCCCACTCGTCTTCTTGCAGAATATCTCAGGCTTCATGGTGGGACAAGACGCGGAGAAAGGCGGCATCGCGAAGAACGGCGCCAAGCTCGTGACTGCTGTCGCATGCGCTAGCGTCCCAAAGTTCACTGTCCTCGTGGGATCTTCCGCTGGAGCTGGAAACTATGGCATGTGCGGTAGAGCATACAGTCCCAGATTCTTGTGGAGCTGGCCGTCGGCGAAGACGAGCGTCATGGGTGCTGAGCAGCTCAGCAATGTGATGGCAGCTGTTGGAAAGAAGGTGGATCCGGAGCTCAAGGCACGCATTGAGAGGGAGAGTGAAGTTACGTTCGGCACTGCGAGATTGTGGGATGATGGTGTCATTCCGCCATCTCATACGAGGCGAGTGTTGGGTATGGGGTTGCAGGCGGCGATGACGGGGAGTGTTGAGACAAAGGAGACGAAGTTTGGCGTCTTTAGGATGTGAAACCAGACATGTCCATGTATGATGTTATCCGAGCTATGTTACCTTTCGTGGAGTGCAGAGTGAAAGATCAGATCCATTTCTGAGAGAGCGCGTGCAGGCGTAATGCAGTCGCCTCTCCTACAGGTAGATGATATTGACACAAGGTGTTGAGGCAAGACTTGCACCCTGAGAGGTTGGCGCTCATGAGGAACCAACTCGGTGCTTTGCACCTATACAGCCTCGTGACTAAGGATATTATGACACAGACTTCAGACTCGCTTGCTTTACATTTTCAGAAGCTAATTAAACAAAGATCAGCATGATACTACTTACTTAGTTCTCCTCCCCAGTCGCCTTGCTCCCCAAATGCTTCGCCTCTTCCACCAACGAAGTTCCAATGTTCTCTGCACGCTGCTGCACATCCTTTGCACCCTCCTTTGCACTCTCCACCACTCCCTTCGCAACTACACCAGCATTGCGTTGGACCTTCTCCAACTCTCCCTCCCAGCGCTTGGTGAGCTTGAGCAGCACGTAATACAATTGAATAATGCCGCCCATGACATTGTCCTTCAAGCTCATGGTCAAACCGTGCTGCAAGAACCCCTTCACAACTTCTCCCTCGATGCCAGAGTAGAGGCCCTTGACACCTTCGGTGCGGTAGATCTTGCGCAGAGAGTAGTACAGCGCAACCTGGCCCTCGAAGATYCGGAGTACTCTACGCAAAGTCTCTTTCACTTTGGTCTTGTTGTCGGGATAGGGAGTGTATTTGTGTGATTCGCCGATCCATTCGTAGCCCTGCGAAGCTTGCGCTCGAGCTTTGGCCAACATGACCGGATATGTCAAGGCTGTGGCTACCACTTTGGACAGTGCTGCCACCAGGAAAGTGACCTGAGCGCTTCGGGTTTCCCGCTGCTTCTTCGGCACCAGGCTTCGCAGGACATTATCTACTGCGAATGTGATTGCTGGGTTGAGCGTGAGGATTAGCTGGGCACTGTAGCCAGCCCAGAAGCCTGAAAGACCTTTCTCGGAGTGTATCTGCTTGGCGATGTCCCGCACACTCGCCTTGCTGCGATCTCCTGATGAACTTGACGACGCTGGGTCCCGAGCGGCGATCAATGCTGCCGTCTGCTGCCGCGTGACAATGTTCTGGATGGGCGACGTGATGGCCTTGGAGAAGGCTCCTGCAAGTACCCCAACGCTCAACTCCTTCAACACTGGCAGACTCTTCGACTCTTGCCTCTTGAGGAAGCCCTGGCGGAGGGCTGCATACGCCAGGAAGAACAGAAACGAGTCGCTCAGTCCCTTAACAACGTCTGGCCCGACTCCAGTGTAGAATGCTGCCAATCCGCCCTCGTTCTTGTAGATCTTCCTCGCAGCGTCCAGTGGCGAGCCATATTCTGCATCGGCATCACTCGCAGCAGAAGGTGCCTCCCTCTCGCCCTTCAAATGGTTTTGAACTTGCATTCGCGTGACGATGGTATCGATCGGGTAGACCGCCGACTTCGCTAGAGCAGATGCCACGCCTCCGGCCAATGCATGGCCAAGTGCAGGCAGAAGTGGTCCACCATCGTAGCTCGCACCTTTTCCTTCCTCCTGCTGGACGATGTGGTAGAGGGTGAATGCATCCTCGGAGGAAAACTCAGCATTGAACAAAGGGACAATAGTAAAAGAGGCAAAAAAGCTCACAAGCTGGTTGTTATATTCTGAAAAACTCATCTCGCCGATTGAACTGGGCGAGCGTTGTACCAGAATATGATGATGGTAATCACGGCGACCTCGGCGACAGCGAGCTGAAGGTTCTTGAATGCGAGGTGGGCGAGTGCTGGCTGGTTGCTACCTGGTCGAGCGAAGCACAAGGTCAGCCTGTCCGGCGCTTTCCCGTTGAGACATTAATCCTTGTCGGTTCCCCAAGCTCCTCGTCTTCTCCTCACGACAGCTCCTCCAGAAGCACATACCTCATCCGTTGCGCCCGGTAGATAACGTCGCGTTCTTCGGATTGCCCTTGCTGAAGGGACCAGGTCAGCCCTGGAAGAKCGCTCCGCGAAGAGGGGGATTGCGGTACGTACTGCGGAGAAGAAAGGCTTTGACAGGGTGCAAATAGCATGAACATGGTCGTTCGAACGGAGACGTGCTACCCCGGTTTCTATAATGCGGTGATCGACGTTCATGCTGTCATCTGTGCGTGCTCTAGCGCGTCTCTGATCGCGACTCGGCTCCTCGGTCGGTACTCATTAAGTTATCGCCAAAATCGCTTAGATCCTTGACATGTGAATGGCCTGTCTAGCGCTGGGGTTGGCGTAGTGCGATCTCTCGATGGCGACGTACTGCGAAGCCGCGTCCTAGACGTAGCGTTAGACGATGAGGCTAGGTATCGAAAGGCCTGCGAAAAGGTGTGCGACTGCAAGTCTTTGAGCCTGGCTTACGCCAAGTCACTGCGCGTATTCCTGACGACGGCATCCAGATTGCATGTCAGACCCAACAGCTGAGACCGAGACCCTGCTCAGATGCATCTGGCGACGAAGCCCGTCGTTTTATACAAGTCGTTCTGTGCTCTAAACTATTCTAGTGACCGCTACTCGTCAAAAAGGTATTCGTGACCAAGCAAACAAACATGACTACGAAGCCGTAGATCGCAATCGCCAAGCTGAGCTTCCGCAGCAGATCATTCTTCCACTGCTTCCCGCTTGCCCGCCCACCAGAATCATCCCCATCATACTCTTCATCATCCTCGTCTTTGAGGAGTCGCTGATGGTGCGGCGAATCCGGAGCGCTGATCTTGTAGTAGAACAAGCCAGGAAGAATGAACGAGATTGCAGTGCTGCCAGTCGATCCAACATATGCAAGGACTTTATCCAGACTGCTGACCGTCATGGCGACGATGTACGACAGTATTATGATGAACGTCGTCAAGATTGCGAAGCGCACCTCGCTCATCTCCTCTGCCTTTGACCGTTGAACAGGCACTTTACCCACTCCGAGCAAGGAGCTACGGCTAGGTGATCCGCGTGAAGAGGTGACCGGTGTCAGTTCTGAATTCCTGGATATGGTCGGTCGCCATTTGGTCACAGCGTCGAGAGACGCCCGGCAGGGATGCACTTGTAGTGGATAGCTGAACATGACCAGCACTASTATTGCTGCGCGACCGATGGTTGATGCTACGCTCGGCACGTACTGCGCAATGATATTGCCTACGACGTGGTCGCCAAATGAGAGGTAGCCGGTGATGGCAACCAGGATATAAATGAACGCCGCGGACCCGATCGAGGAATACACCACGGCAGTCGTGCGGGCTGGTGATGGCTCCTTTATCTCGTTCAAGATGGAGAACATCTGATCGTTGTCAGCGGATCAGTCGCAATGGGAGGGTATTACAATATCATACATTCTGATGGCACGTGTACGCGAACACGATAACGGGAAAGCTCGAGAGTGTAGGCACAGCGCCTTGCCAGCGTACCCAGTGAACCGGTCCCCGATCGGCAATGGTATCTCCATCAACGTAATGATAGACCACAAGGACCACGAGGTATGCAATAGACACCAATGCGACCACAGAGGTGTACTTTAGGCTGTCCAGCCTGCGCAGAAAAGAAAGGGGTATCACAATAAGCCTGGACAGGAGTTAGTAGGTATCACATATTATTGATGAATGGAATACCCACATAAAGGCCGTTATCCAGAATCGCCGATCCACAAGATATAAAGATTCGGTCTGGTCAATGGTCGATACAAATCCACGCACAACGCCGGGCATCAAGTCTCCAATAATGATAAGATACGAGACGCCAACTCCGAAGCATTTAATCATGATAGCTCCATCGAAAAACACGGCCGCGTTTGGGTAGGTGATTTGGCTGAGCGCAAAGAAGGATGCGCCTCCACGGTCCAGATATCGTGCGCATCTCGTCTGTAGATATAGCCCAAAGCCACTTGTAAATCCTGCCCACAAGATGACAATCGTCCCAAGTGTCACGCCCATATTTGACATGGCGTGTGGCATGGCGAGCACGCCCGCACCAACTATTGTGTTGACCAGGTTGACCACTGAAGATATCCAAGATGCGTTGCCTGCGATGCCATTCTGCTTGCTATGCCGGCCGCGGCGAGAAGTGTGCGACGCTATCGAAGACGGGCGCGAGTCGCCATGCTCGCTGGATATCGAAGCATACTGCTGCGCCATATCGGGATCGTGTGCGGAAAGCGAGGGACAAATCTGGTCAAAATATTGCTGGAGTCGGTTCTGGAGGTCAAATCATTGCGCAAGGTCGGGACGATCGTGAGTTCTGGTGTCCCAAAAGATATTGCAGCGGCTCTTGAGTATTAGGGTGTCCTGTGCAAGCAAATGCCAGTGTACCAAGGTGGATGGGTTGTTGAGAGGGTTGTTGGCGGCAGGAGGCGGGCCTTGAAGTTCCTGGCGGCGATCCAAACTTGGCCGTTGGCCGACCTGAAACCGATGACCTTGCTCGCATCCACCACACACGACATGTGATGCCGACATGGCCAACTCCCATGACACCGCCACGCAGACGCTGTTGATGTTGGAGGAGCGCTTGCAGCATGTCGACTATCTCGTCAATGGAGATGGAGAAGCGGCGGCAGCTCAGCGGAGAGCAATTCGATCCACATCGACCTCGACCGGATCTGCGACAGCCCGTTTGCGCAACCTGGAGAAAGCACTGAAGGCGTTGGCAGCCAAGTCGTACGCCGTCTCGGACTTATTGCAGCTGCACAAACAACACCCAGATCTGTTTCACCCCACCGATCCGCAGACAGTGCCCAGCACCCTACCGCCAGCAGCACTGGCTCAGTTGGTTCTGGCCCACGAGCAGCTCTACAAATCTAGTGCTACCCAGCTCACTATGTTGAACGACAACAGTGCCATTCCGGACCCGACCGTCATGGCCAAATTGGTAGCTTTGCAGCCTCGCATTGACAAAGTGGAGGCGAAGCAGAGGCAGCAATTGCAGGAGTTTCACGACCTACGCGTGAGGAGTATGAGAGTGGTCGAAGGGTGGTGCGAGAAGGGCGTGCTGGAGATGGGTGGGAATTGGGCGGACTGGGAGGAAAATCTGAGGGAATGTGAGATTCTGGTGCGCAGGAACGAGGCTGCTAAGCGGCGGGAGGATGACTTCAAATGAAGAGATCGGGCTTTCTGTGGGAAAATACACTTTTCACACTTYAGCTGGACGACAGCCACACCCGGAACACACGAGGGCAGCGGGCCGTGGAGGCCTCGTTCACACAGAAAGCACCTCGCTCGTACGCGCCAGCCGGATTTCCACCGCTCACCATGCTGCAAAGCATCATGTCATACCGAATTGTACCGGAATAGCCAAGGACACAAACCAGTGCTGCTCAGTACAAGTCCATACACAACGCGTGAAAACCGGCAAATGAGACATGTCGATAAGCAGAACCACTCGGTAGCTTGGGCATGCTAGACATGCATCAATGGTCATCAGAATCTCTCGGTCAACAGATCGTATCAACCCTGCTATGTTCCTATACCAGCAGAAACAGCTTTGTGGATGTCGATTCCAGCCTCGGTTCAGTCAACAGTGACTGTTGCGCCTCGAGGGTCAACATATCTTCTGACGATCTTCGATGACCAGGCTCCACGGGGTGAGCATGTTAGGAGACTCGGTGCAATTATGACCTTTTGAAGAAGGCTCATCTCCGATCACTTTGGGCATTGCAGGTCCATGTCCTATTAGACTTCGAAATAGTGTTGGGGCATTCCCCAGCACGAGAAGGGGGTAAATGCAGTCGAAGATGACTGGAATTGATTAAGAAAGTACATTGCTCTGCTGTTGCCAAGTTAATACCCCCCGTATATCGTGAAAGAAGGCTCTTCCCAGCGTGACAAAGTGCGACCAATGACACTAACACACCCACAATTTGTCCAAGACTTCGTAAGAAAACGACCAAGGCTTCCTCCTCGCGCCATGGCTTGGACTTGGACTTGGACACTGGGCGTTGGCTAGCTCCAATATATTGATTGGAGATTCATTGGTATCGGGTCGTGCGGGTCAAGCGTCTCCGCCATCGGCTCAAACGACCTGTGGAGTCTGCGAATAAAAGATTAACCGGACCGCGACGTTCCTCTTGACCATCCATGACCATCCATACACCCTCAATCAATCCCAGAAATTTGTATATCGAAGCAACATGTCGAAACTTTCCGAGCCTCTGAAGCAATTTATAAATGCCGCTCATGCAAGACCGAATACCATTCCCGCACCGAAGAATGTAGCGTCTGTTTACGAGAAGATTGCTTCCGAGGCTGGGAGAAACAAAGTTGGGCTTCCCGCGTGGCTTTGTGCTTCGGTGTGTGTTCGTGAATTGAAGCGTTTGATATAAGGCTGACGAACTGTATAGACTGCGGCGACAATGACCTTGAACTCTCCGGAATCGATGCTTGAATTGTACAAACTGGCCAACTCTCCAGCCAACAAGAAGATTGAGAACCAGGGCGTATATACCGCCGAACTGATGCGAGAGGTTGGCTTGAAGTGTATTGGGTTCAATGGGGTCAGATTTACAGCCCATCACTTGAGATAGCATGCTGACCTTCTCCTTCTAGGTTCCTCGAACAATCAATGTATTAGGCGCCTTCTTCGGAGGACTACCCGCAGACGTACAGACAGCTCTGAAAGAGCGCAAGCCCCGCAGGTAACGAACAATTCTCCAAACGATCAGAACTTGTTCAATACTAAGCTTTGCAGAGGACTTTCCAAATCGAACATCGAAGCTACAGTCGCACGGGGCGAAGCACTCTGGGACAGCATCTACAACCCATTCAGTGAGAAGCTTGCCGCTAAACTCGGACAATCGCATCCAGATCTTCCAGTCTTTATCATTCAAGGCGAATATGGATGTCTGTTCTCTGACCCAGCCACACCCAAAGACCCCAAAACACCCGACATTGGCCGCGTTCTCACTTCTGTCATTGCTGTGGCATGTCTACGAGCACAAAGTGGCGTTGGTCCTCAGGTTGTCAGTCATGTCTTCGGTCTGAGAAAGGCTTTTGAAGATGGTAGTGCCGAGAGTGAGCAGGAAGTTCCTGGAGGGAAGTGGCTTGCAAGTAATGAGGGTAGTCTGTGGCTGCTGGAGCAGGTCGACAGTATCGTTCATGCTCTTGGGGGTGCACGAGGGACTACCTTTGCACCTGGATTTGAGAAGGCCCCTAGGGCGAAGCTTTGAGATGATTGGTCGTGTATAGATATTAAATGTTGGTATACAGTCAATGCCATCACACATCCAATGCTACTATGTGGTTGTTTCGCTATTATCGGATCAGATCTATTCTGGTACTAGGTATACTAAAATCCGGTTACTCCATCCTGCCCAAAGGCTCCGCTACCGCGAACTTGGCGCCAGTCTTTTGCTTGATCTCGTCAACGCCAACACCTGGAGCAAGCTCTGTCAACGTAAGACCGCCCCTCTTGCGATCGACTTCAAAGACACACTATTGAATGTCAGCTTGTGTATCTTCACATGAAAAGGAGGAACTAACCAGATCCGTGATGATCGTGGTCACGACTTTGGCACCAGTGAGAGGCAAAGTGCAATGTTCCACAATTTTGGGTGTGCCGTATTTATCGACGTGATCGGTCAAGACCACAATCTTTGTTGCGTCCGGATTCCCGACCAAATCCATGGCACCTCCCATTCCCTTGAAGACCTTGCCTACGTCGAATTAGCACAGGTATTTCACGCACGACTGCTTATGACCGAACATACCAGGAATCATGTAGTTGGCCAAGTCACCATTGGCGCCGACCTGGAGAGCTCCAAGCATGCTAACATCAATGTGGCCACCTCTGATCATACCGAAAGACTCGCTGCTGTCAAAGACACTAGCTCCCTTCACAAGAGTGACGGTCTCCTTTCCAGCGTTGATGATATCGGCGTCGACCTCTTCCTCGGTTGGGTATGGGCCCATTCCGAGGATACCGTTCTCGGACTGAATCCAAACTTTGCTATCGGCTGGCAAGAATGATGGAGCAAGAGTAGGCATACCAACTCCAAGGTTGACGTAGTATCCTGGCTTCAGTTCCTTTGCGGCGCGTTTGGCAATACGGTTTCTGCGGGCAAGGGCTTCAGATTTGGATCCTTCGGCCTCAATATCAGTTTCCGTGCGGATTTTCTTGACTTCGAGAATCTTGTCTTCTGTTGCCTGRACGATGCGGTCAATGAAGATGCCAGGGAGATCAATCTCATCAGGTCCGAGCTCTCCAGTTTCGACAATATGCTCGGCCTCGACGATGGAGATCTTCGCGGCTTTTGCCATAAGAGGTGCAAATGATTTTGTGGTGTACCGGAACTTGACATTTCCATCTTTGTCGACTTTGTGAGCGCGTAGGATGGCGACGTCTCCCTTGATAGCAGTTTCCATATTGTAGACGCGACCATCGAAGATACGAGTCTCGCGAGCCTTTCCAGRCTCGATGACCTCGCCGTTCTTTAGTCTTGCTGGGATTTGTCCGGATTGAATAAATGTGTCGACTCCAGTGGGCGTGAAAAACGCGGGAATACCAGCACCACCACAACGCAGCTTTTCAGCGAGCGTTCCTTGTGGGGTAAGCTCAATAGCAATATCTCCATTCAGGTACTTCTTCTCGAGAGCCTTGTTGTTGCCGAGAAAGCTGCAAATCGCTCGGCTGACTTGACCAGACTGAATCAAAGGAGAGAGACCGCCACCGATGGCTGTTCCAGCATTGTTTGATACTGCGGTCAACGAGTGCAAGCTTTCAACTCCCCGCCTGTGCATGGCAGCGATGATGGTTTCTGCCGTCCCGCATAGTCCAAATCCTGCACTGAGAACGATGGATCCTGATTTGATGTCTGCAACTGCCTCATCTGCTGATGCGTAGAGCTTTGATCTGCCTCTGATCTTCTCGGGAGCGCCTCCTGAGGCCTCCCTTTGGTATGATGTGCTGGTTCTGAATGTCCTGGTCTGTTGCTTTGCCCGCCATGCTGCCTTGGTGCTGTCTATCACTTGGATCTTAACTCGCGGGCTTGCCGCCAGCCGAGATGTARAGGAACACACAAACTCCATGCTGTCGACCAAGATGCCCCTTCAAAGCTGCTCTTTCGCAAGAGKAATGCTTCTTAAGACATCGAAAGATCTCGCGACGACATCGGCTAGGAAGCCACATTATCCGCAAACTCACGGCTAGAGCGGGTAGTGATGTCGGCAAACCGCCGGATGATGTATCAACCGCGCCAATGTCCAAGTCTTGGCATTGCTGGGATGTTGTGGAGAGCTATGAGCACATGCCCTCAGGAGAATAACATTCAGCCATTAAACATATGGATCACCTTCTGCTGACCTCCGACAAGCTACCAGCTGGATTCGAGACAGCTTTCGTAGCAGACACGATGCAGTTCTCACTCGTTTAGCCCACACATCGCCATCAAGACCCCCGTAGTCTCATCCTCCCAATTGACATCCCCAATGTACCCCACCTTTCCCTCCCCACAACTTCCGAACGCTGCAGGGGTCTGGGTCAGGTCTTCGATCAGCTCGGGAGCGAAMACCATGGACTGAATCCGCGAGGAAGCCGAAGGCAAGTACAGAGCATCGTTCCCCGAAACGTTCGCCAAATTCAAAGCCTTCTGGCTGAAGCGTGGAGTCAGACCTGTGTGATTGAGCTGCTGCATGCTTCCGTTGAGGTAAACCTCCGTTCGATGGTAGTCTCCGGACTTCCAGGGCAGCGAGAACGCGGCGAAGAACGCGTTCATGTTGGGTGGGCTTGCGAAACTGGCGAAATGGCCTCCAAAGACGATAGTGCCGCCGTTACGGACAAACGCTACTGCCGCGGCCTTTTGACCGGAGTACTTGGGTTTGGTGATTGCGGCGTCGGTGGTGAAGACGACTGGTCGTGAGGCACCCAAGAAGAGTGCGTCTGCCTCTGCTGGATCCGTAATTTCTCGTACATTTGCTTTGGATTTGAGTACGTTGAGAACGGGCTCAAACTGCTCGTCGAAGAAGGAGATCTTTGCTAAAGAGAGCAAGACGAGGTCAGGCGTTGGTGCCGACATCTTGAGTGATGGAAAGGTTGTGGTATGTGCTTGCAGATGGGTGTGTTGACGTTGTAAGCTTGACATGGAGAAGTTCCTTCATGTTTACTTGTTGTTTGTTGCTTGTGTCAGGCCTGCGGTTTCAGACAAAGAAGGAATGAGACTCTAGGAAGCACCTTCCTTCCGGTTTCTGCACCATCCACAGAACAAGACGGGACGATTCCAGGACTTCGAAACGGTCAGAACGGGAGTTGATGCAATGCATTACTTCAAGAGCACCTGAGATCATCATCGGGGGTTGTAACCAGCAACCAGTTTTTCACGCCACAGTCTCTTACGTGCAATCAAGTCAAGCAAAGATGTTGGGGGCACCACAAGCGCCTGATACACGTAAATGGAGGTGGGACCAGTCAAGTCCGTCAGAACGCTTGTGTTTGTGGCATGTGCGTTGCTCGATTGATTCCTCTTCTTGCTTCCTCGCCCGTACAGCGGCCTCGACAAACTCGTGACGACATGAGTTACGCCCCAGCGTTGACAGACATGACCGTGGCCTTCGCGCTCAAATAGCACGGCACCTCTCTTGCTCGGGGGTCCCAGGTCAAGGCAAGGAATCAAGAGCGGCTCGTTGTGGAGAAGATGAAACTTATGATTAGTCAGCGTTACCATTCCACCTCACCTGCTTCATGCCTCGTTGTTACACCATCTTGCACGCCTTAATAGGAAGGCACTACGGACCCCACTTACCTTACTTTAGCTTTAGTTCGATAGTAACTCAATCTATAACATAATCGACGATACTATTAAATTAGTAGCTCCGAATAGAACTAAGGCTATAAAGATTTTTCTAGTTACTATCTCGTTATTAAACGAGACTACTATACTACTTAGAGTCGCGTATTAAGCGTACCTACTACTAGAGAGACCTAACCGGACGGTAGAGGCCGCCGGCGATCCTACCCTAATCTATAAGGACGAGCCTAGTCGAGAATACCTATCGGTACTAGATAGCCTTTCTTAGGTCTATCCTTAGAACCTTAGGTCTACCGCCGGCCGTTACGTTTTACTTCGATCTCTTACTAGATTATCGCACTTATACCTTCCTAGCTACTATAGAGAAGGCGCTAATACGTAGCGTAACTACTTCCTAACGAACCTCCTACTTTAAACGTAACTTTTACTTTCTAAGCCCTCTACTACTCTAATACTTTTCCGTACTACTCGATATCTACTATACCTAGTAACTATAAACTCTAAGGCTTACTATACTACTCGACTCTACCCGACTACGCTATATTTCGTCTACGGGCTTTTTACCGTCCTAGGTCTACGTAGTACTATCGTAGGATCTATAACGCTCTAAGGAGGTCTAGACGTCTATAATAGTTCGGTGTTTACCTCGTAGTAAATCTCTTATATACCTACGGGCGACTCCGTAAATAGCGAGTACTATATCTACCGACCCTCCGGATCGGCGTCCGTAAGCTCGTACTATATATCTGATAACGAGCCTCCGGCGATTAATACTTAGGACGGGCCTACTAGGGACTACCTTATTAAGAGCGCGAGTTTCGTTCGTAGTTTCGTTAACTATTAGAATAGACCTAGGTCTACTATTATAAATAAGCTCCGTATCGAAATAGACGACCTTCGGATTCTAGAAGCTATCGTATACTAGTACGGCACTCCGGAACTTCGCTAGGATTTACTATTGCGACGTACTCGTTTAGTTTTAGTTAGGGTTAGAGTTAAATTAGAAGATACGAGCCTTAGATTTCCTAGTAATTAGGCGGTATTCTCTAAGGGACTAAAGAAGGCGCTCGCTTCGATTAAAGCTATTACCCTTTATTAGCTAGTATACCCGGTATTTAAGGAATTTGCCTAGAGAGTAGAGTAGCTTTCGATATAAAACGTATAGCCCTCGATCGAGGAGATACTAGCTCCGCCGTAAGACCTAGCTCTACGCTAATCGAAAAAGGCGACGTAGCCTAAGGGATCTTTATCTAGTAAGGCGAAAGTACTAGTCGAGAAACCGATACTAGTTCGAGTAGCCGATATAGACAACCCGCTAGCCTACGCCTCTAGCTCGCGTACTAGCCTATCCGTACGTAACGAGGATCGTACTCGTTTACCGATAGGGCCCCGTCTTACGACACTCCTACTAGTAATAACTTTAGAGGTAGTATAGTATATAGTAGACGTACTCGCGAAGTAGAAGAGAGATTTTAAGGCTTAACTCCGTAACCCTTTACGTACGGCGCTACTAATACCTCTAATATAGTAGCCCGCATCTATATAGCCTCGCCGCTTATCCCCTTAACGTCCCGGATCGACTTAAGACACGGTAGACGTAGCGGTAAGATTAGAAGATAAGATAGACGTGTTTATAAGGCGGATAGCGGAGAATAACGATAGACTAGTATAGCTCCTTATATAAGCGGCCGAGCGCGCTAGTAGACCTAAGCCCTTATAGTAAGCGCCTATTAACCCCGCCTAACTATTATACGCCGATTTCGCCGCGGGAGACATAGCGTATTACGGTTACGTACCTCTCCGAGACCCGTAAGCCGAGGTAGCCCGTAACTAGCTACCCGTCCTACTAGAATAGTAGTAGGATAGACCTAGATATCCTAGAGGATTTAAAGCTAGAGTATAGCGGATAGGACATACCTAAGGCGACTAGCGTACCGCTACTAGGGGCCTAGGGGTAAACGGGACGATAGTTACTACGGACTACTATAATACCTAAGTATCTTAATTTAGGCTAGTAGCGATAGGCTATTTCTGTTAGAAAGTACAGTTATAGAATAGCTGTACATCTAA